TAACGGACACTCGAATATCACGTCTTACCATTAACATTTTTAACTAATTGTTTGAATTTGAATTGTTCGGTTTGATACCTGCTGCATATTTTCACCACCGTACAACCCACCATAAACTAAAGCTTCATCCCAAACATCTGGACGAGTGGCGGGCTTCCACCGTGCGTTTTTCGAGGCACTTTCTTCCACGTACAACCACTATTTGGAATCAACTTCCAACAACAGTATTTCCGATACGACATCATAACTTTTAAGAAAATAGTATATTCCTTTTTAAAAGGCCGGCAGCATACCTGCAATGCCGTTGGTGTTATGGGTGATCATAAGTAGCGGTAGTCACTTACCACCAGGTGAGCCGCATGCTCGTTTGCCCCTTGTGTTGTAAAAAAAAAACAATTGCCACAACAACTTTAAATTGTGAGATGAGTAGTATTCCATCAATTTTCTGCTTCATACTCTACAAAATATTTATATTATTTCTATTCTTATCAATGTTTATTATTAATCGCAAACTGGATATTTTTTTCAAATCACGTAAATAATTCCCTGCTTTTTTATTTACATTTCTTTGAATACAATCATTTTACTTGACGATGTTGGTTTGTTAGGGTTATGAATTATTATGATAATATAATAGTTATGATTTTGTAACTTGTAAACTATTTTTATTTTATTGTTTTTATTATTTTATTTATATGTTTTTTATAACGATTACGATGTTTTATAACGATATAACGATTTGAGGTATCCTACTTATCAAGATCAGATTATAAACCTTGCACTATCGAAGGGAGGAACCAAAAGCTTCTCATATCATCTATCTGTGTATAAGATATTCGATTTTGTACCAAAATTAGACCTAGCGTTAAGATAATGTTTAAGCCAAGGTACCTACATGAAACATGATAATTGATCACAGACTAAATTAAGATAGATGCAGCCTCGAATGCACTTTGAATAAAATTTATTTATAGCATATGTTATGGTTGTTGGTAACAAAATTGTTTGGTTCTATAGAATTAAATTACGGTTGTGACGAGTTATTTGCTGCTTAATGTGGCAATTCTCCGCGGTTTCTGGCAGCCCTGGCTCGCGTGAGTGCCAACTGAGGTGCAGAAAGCGGAGCCAGTTCGCTGAGTGAATATAAATCAGAGTTTAGTCTCTCTTCGCTCTCTCAACGTTAAACGCGAGTTCACTCAACTGTATACAAAGTTTATACTGACCTCCGTTTAAAAGAATTTTTCTACGAAACAACACAATATCATGTAAATAAATTTATTACTTGAAATAATCAGAATATTAAATATATATATTCCATTGTTATTAATCTAATAATAAGTCTAAACATTATGTTTTTGTAGTGATACTGCGAAAAACATCTAAAATCACATTTCTCTTAATAATGTTATCAATTTATTTAAGAAGGTGTCGTTACCATTACTGTTGTAATTAGTATATACGGGTTTCGTTTAAAACTATTGATTGTCTTGCAAGATTATATTTTAAAATAAATATTTCTTAATATAAACCAGACTTATTATGGTATATCTTACTAAAAATCAAACTAGCAGGTGCATACTTACTTCGTATACTACTTACTCGATACTTACCAATAACCTTTTGTAACCAAACTAACTGTAATTCCTGACTTCGCCCGTGGACGTATCACAATGTTGAATAACCTACAACTTTCCTCGAGAACTAAGTTATCAAATGAAAAAATAATTTAGATTCGATTAATAGTTCCAGAGATTGACGCGTTTAAATAAACAAACTCTTCCCCTTTAATATACTAGTATAGAAATATAGATAGGTATATGGAGGAAATGAGTATAGCAAATTTAAAATTCAAGTAAATAAATAAGAAAAACTATACATTCGAAACAAATTATTTTTAGGGTTCTGTGTCACAAGTACATAATGTTTTCTCCATAGCTTTTCTCTTATATAATATATGAGACCATCATATCCGTACTCCGCTCGTTTATCTATAATACCTATACATTAATCTAGGCTGTACATTATTGTGTAAAATAATAACATATATGAGGTTGAAGTTATAACAACTATTCAACAAGGTTATAAAAACACGTATATATTTTATATACCTAAGATATTATCGAATACCGCCACTGATGTAAGATGAAAAATACTTCCCCAATGAAGCACCAATATATCGTATCGGCACAAACTTAGTCCTCAGGTGTTGCAACTTAGAAGCCTTAATGAGATAAAAATTTTATAAAGCAATAAATGTACATTGTGTTGGGAACGGTGAGCTACTAACTTCTCGACATTTTTTATGGAAAAAAATTACAATAATATCAACAAGTTTTCGTTAGGAAGTTTTGATTCTATTTGAACTTCTGAACATTTTCTGTCCTTGGTTTCTTCTAATAACCTGAAATATTCAAAAAGCATTTATTTCACAAACAAAAGCAGTTGAATTGAATAGTTACAAATCGAGTGTAAACGCTATCAGTTGCAAAAAAAATCACAAAATCAACATAGATTTTTTTAAGACACCGCGTATAAATAAATTTTATGTTTTATGTATCTCTATCGAATTGAAAATTTAATCCTTTTAGAAATCGTTTAAAAAGAATTACTTTTCTTTTTTTAACCTTTGTACTAACTTATATTTTCAAATAAATACATGTCTTTAAATAATAATATAAACTTTCTCTCCTCTTACTTTCGTATGTAAATAAATTGCTTGTTACAGTGGAATCGTAAAAATTACTTAATACTAATCTAATCCCCTTATTTATAAAAACGAAAACCTACTACTAATCTAGTAAAATACTTCAATAGATAAAATAGGTTTATAACACGTTAGACGTTTAATAAATAAGGACATAAATATTTTGCTACAACTAACGCCATCTTTTGGTAGGTAGCACAAACATTATGTAAAAAATTTGTTACAATTTTAACAGCAACCATTACTCTTAACTTGTTTATTGTTATGTTTTAATTATTACACATAACTAATATTTTTTTATATTACTTATTTATACATTAAACAGAATCAATTATGATAATTACTTTTGTTTACTAAAATAAACTATAGTGGATAATGACTTTCGTTTGAAACTAATATAAATTGCACATCAGCAGACTATCTTATGATCGGGTCGATTATTCCTTTGTTTGCAATAATATATGCATATCTAATTATCTATAGTAAGTACTCATTTTTCAGGGATCCAAAAGGAGTACTCAAAATTATAAAATGCACTTACTAGTTCAATACTAGTGGCATATCATAAAGGTATGAAAAAATAATTTATTTCTTCATTCTGAAACATTTTATTTTTTATATATTTTTATATTCTACATCATCTGCGTATACCTTTGTAAGCGGTATATATATCATCATATATATATACAGCTTACAAAGGTATACACGAATATTACAAGTAAAATTAATTATATTTGTAATTGGGAATTTATAAAGAAAAAACCTCTAGAAATAATATTTTGCGGTATAAACTGTTATAGTCATTGTTACAGCTTAAAATAAGGAATTCCGAATAGAAATAACCATAATAATAATCAACGTGTCCATTTCATACTTAAAATGAAATGAGGTGGTCATTTTATATCATATATATTTTTAGCTACAAAAGTTTGATCTTCTAATAGATTTTTAGTACTACATTTAAGTAATAGACGGTGTTGTTAAAATTTAGATTACAATATTAAAATGAGAACTTCTTCTTTCTCTTCAGAGAACTATAAATAATCTAGCAGCAAATTTTTTGTACATACTGACAAGTGAAATAAGCATAAGCAACTAAAAAAGGGTTTTCCTTCATTTTTTTTAAACTCGATTTATTTGAATTCGATTATTTCAAACTCGAGTGATTGGACTCGATACCTACTTGAGAGGAATAATCGTAATTACGTCGCCTTGATACTCTTCGTGCGTTGACATTCTGAGAACTATAGTGTTTTTTTTTTTTTTAAGAGGGTGGTATGGAATGGTAAATCCATCTGCGTTATATACAAGCGGAGCACCAGTGGAAGATGATAGATGAGAAAAAAAGCAGGTCAATTAACTCATCGTGACGAATTCAACAAGAAATAACCATATTATGGTTTCTAGACGAAACCGCGTAGAGATCTACCTAATAGGGTATATTGTTAGCAGTGGGGCTGTTAGACCACATTACTAACAATTTCTTTCACACCAAACTAAGGTGTTATGTCTCTAGACCCTATAATTTCATTGCCATATCCCACTCTTCAACCGAAACATAGTTATGCAAACGCTAGTGCTTTGCGACAGAGACACGAAACCGAGGTATCCAAGCACTCTTTTTGTACAAAGTACAAAATTTATTTAAAACACTATCTAAATGATTTAATATCTATATGCTGGTTGCGTATTTCGCATACAGTTTACTATAGTCAAAAATGTTCAGTTACAACAGGTACTATTCTTAATCTATGCCAAATAATAAGTAGGAAGATACCTATTAGCTATTAATTTGATTTTTAAAATGTGAGAGTAGTATTATAATACATATTACCTACGTACTGTCCTTATTATATACCTAAAAAGACACTATCAATAATTTGTGATCCAAAAGCAGCTAACTGCAAAACGATTTAGAAATTAAATTAATAAGCTTTTACGAAGCTAGTTGCCCAAGCTGTAAATCTATTTTTAAAAAAATATTTTTTTTAATTTATCTGTGCAGTAGTTTTAGTTGTTATCGTCTATGTCACTTTGAATAAAAACGTTTGAATAAAATTTATGCAACTAGCTCATTTTATTTGAAAATATTACGTGGTAATGTAGCTACATCTTATATGACACCTATTGATATAAGTATTTTAGATAGAATTATATTACAAGTAGTAATATAACACTATAAATATTCATATATTTAATTGTGTAGAAACTTTTAGGTGGTTGCATAGATTACTTTAGTTTTGTCCATAAAAATATAATGCCGACTCTGTAATAACGTTGTGATTAATTACTCTGTGATTGTGATTGCATATTGCCAGCTGGGCGCGGTGGATGTTATTTATTATTTTTATACATTATAAATCAAAATATTAAATTCAGTTACTAACCAACTTCTATAGAACTTTTATTTTTATCATTCAGTGCCTGGACTACAAAATGTGAGTACTAACAATTTGTGCAACGTGGAATGTAGTTTTTACATACCATTTCAAATCAATACCAAAGCTGGTCTTTGTATTTTTTGCTAAACTATAAAAACTTCTAACTAGTACATAACAAGCTTATTATTACTGGATATACATGCTACTCGTATTTGAAATATCCACGAAAACATTAAACTAACTCGTTATGTTTTATTTTCTGAGCTTAAAAAGACTATAAATATTAAGTAAGAATTTTGTAAACTTAAGTAGATTTTTATTACATTATTAAATAATAATATAATTTATTTATGTCTTCACTACAGGCTCCTTGCATGGTAGACCTAAAGAACAGCTTCTAAACCCTTACCTAAATCTATTCCTGTAATCTGTTACTAATATTTTAAAATTAAACTAGCTACTTGGCATATGTTGTTTTATCCCCTACTGCCCTCTATCGCGTCAATCTTTTCTTCGGAAATAAAAACTATACTATCACTCAAGTATAAGGGAAGAATATTCATTTACAAACTTTATTTAAAATTCTATGAGCAGTTTTAGAAAAAATCATAACGAAGTATCATGATGCATAATTTTTATATATTAAAATTTAGATACATATATACATTTATAGTTTCTTCTCACTCATGTGGTTCCAGCATAGAAAGTTCTACTCCTTCCTTCTCCGTGGATGTCATAAGAGGCGACTAAGAGAAGTAAATGGTCTAGCAATGTATAGTAGCATCCCTCTTATAACATCACCAAAGCCTAACTGTGGTTGCCAAGTGTAGCAACTATTGGCAATACCCCCCTTGTGAAAAGTACTCTATTTTCCGCGCTTAGCCTCTTATTTGGGCCATTGTGCATACAATACCCCCTTATGGGAAGGCCTATGTTCAGCAGTGGACAGTTAACGGCTGACATGATGATAGTTTATTCTAAAACATTACAGTAGTGTTATAAATAAAAACCATTATAAGAAAAGATCACACTGAGAACACAATGGGAGGCCTTAACGCTAAAATCAAGCCCTTCCAGACAATCTTTGGATGGAGTTAATAATTAGTATACAGTTAATCATAGTTCAGTCATAGCATATATTCCATCGACACATTGGTTAAATTTCAAAATAATATCAATTTCCTGATGCATTATTTTATTTAGACATATAAAGCCTGTAATTTTTTGTGGATGTCTTCACCATTTCTGAATTGTTTATTAATAATTCTTTTTGTTGATAATGAATAAATTTCTGCATTGGACTTGTAGAAAAATCAACTTTTTTCAAATTTGCATGTCATGTTGAGATTTTCTCAGTGATACAATAAAATTATTAATGAATATAAAAAAAAAATTGTTGATAATTTTAAACTGAAATATTTAAACATAAGGAGGTTCTCAATCCATCTATATGTAATAAAACCTAAAAGGTAACCAAGTTTTTAAAAATAATCACAGAAAGTCTCTCTAAATGAAATTAGTAACAAGACAAAACATTCAATTAATTTATAGTCAATTTTTAATTTGTACCACTATGTTGAATATTAATAATCTTATGGTCACTCAAATATTTATTTCCAATCATTGAATTCTATTGAAATATACTTTTTTTATGCAACTTAGAATGGCAAACAGGCGGATATCCGACCTGATTGAAAATATAATCACCACCTTAAAATATGAACAGTACCATAGACATCATAAAACCACAAACTGTGAAGCCCATAAGATGTTATTTTCTAAATTCTTAATATATATATATTATTGACAAGTTAGATAGAGTATAATTAAGTTATAAGAAATATGTTTGAAGAAATTTAACATCAATTTAATATTTATTTAGTTGATTACATTTAACTGATTATCACAGCAACGTACAAAACTCACAATTTCAGTCCCCTATTTGTATGTTATATATCACTGTCTTAAGTGACTGTCTTTTTCTCAATATTTTATGTTGTATTTGTTAGTAATAGATTTTAATCTGCAACTTTGGCCACAAATCCAGTATGTTAATCAACATTATCAAATGGAAAAGGACATACTTTTCTATTTGATAATGGAAAAGTATGTCTTTTTCCATTCCTTATAGTATGTGTATACTAAATTTCGTAACCATTGGTTCAGATGTTAAGGCACCAAACAACATATATAACAAATACAAACATATATAACAAACAAACAAACTTACTTTGACTCCCCCTTGGAGGGTTTTGCCAGTAGTTATCATACTTCACAGGCAGATTGGCAACCACATTTAAGCTTTGGTGATGTTTTAAGAGGGCTTCTGCTGCCCACCTCTCGATTATTAAGTTCCTTTATTAGCCTCTTGCAACACCCATGGGAAAACAATAAGAAGGAAGAATTTATTATATTAATAATTAATATAAATCCTTGAAATAGTTTGGAATGGACATTATAATGCTGTTGTTTGAAACAATATGTATTATGTTGTATTGTTAAATCTTTATTGTACATATATTTGTATTTTATATCTACAAGAAACAAGTTCCTAAAATATAATATAAATAGTCGATATGATAGTCATGAAAACCTATATTTTCATAATACTACTCATATTATATTGCTAGCCAAGTATAATGAGTTTAACATTGTGCTGTTCAGTTACTTTTTCATCTTCAATCATTTACTAACTGTCCACTGCTGAACATAGGCCTCCCCCATAGACTGCCCTAAGAAATGGTCCTGTACCACCTGTATGCACTGACTCTATTCAATTACTTATACAAAAATAAAAAGAGAATCTGCATTATTATAATGTCTGAAAGAAAAAGGTGACTATTTTATTAACTAAGCACTCCATCTTAGTTTGTATATTAATAGTGAATTATCTCATGTGATTACATTACTGAATTATTATAGCCAAATTTTAAATAAATTCATTTAATTATATAAGTTTCAGTATTTTTAAATATATATTTTCATATTGCCATAGCGAATATACAATATTTAATTTCTTAACTCTACTAAATATCATATGGTTTTAATGTAATATTTTTTCATTTATGCTGGCATGGTTTGCATTAAAATAGAAATATTAATCTTGTACCCAAGCACAAGATATACTTGTATCAGAGAAATTAAAATTAAATGCCTATAATTATGCAAACAAAGAAACAGTATAAAACAAATTCTGATCTGTCAGCATTTAAATAGTATATTATTCTATGTGCTTCTGTTGTAAGTGGAATTTAATATTTAATTGGATGGTTCGTAATACACTTTCTTAACAACTAATTAGGTGATTTAATGAAAGTAGGTGACTGCTTAGCTGTTTAAATTTTGATGCCATGCGAATTATTGTTAATAATATCTACCTACATGCAGTTGCGAAAGTATACACAAATCTACATAATGTCAGAATATTATTTAAGTACCTATTATGTTCTTAATATATGTCTTGTTTCACAATATTACTACTAATAATACTTACTACAATATTACTACATGCTAATGCTAATTAACGAAACTGCTCACTGAATTTAATGAAATTTTAGAAATATATGCTGTTAACTTCAATTTAAGAGATAATATAGATTTTATTCTTATAAGAAAAAATTGATCCGGTAGAGGGCAGAACACTTTTCGTATTATCTAATTATTATATAGGTAAAGATAATTGATTTACACTGAAATTACTAGATTTCAGAAGAGGTATAAACAAATCTGTAGCTCATAAATTTGTCACCATGAATCCTACGAAATGCGTAGCTGTGATGGATGGACGTTTTTTATTTATGTAAAAGTTACTGAACGGATTTGAAAAAAATTTGATAAATGAATAGATTACATCCTGACTTAACGTACAGTTACAACGTACTTAATTTTTTTTATACCATCTATATACTGCGCTTTCGCTTGCGTTAATTTTGGGTAAAAATATTCTATGTACTATATCCGCGTAGTGTACGAAACTTTGGTCAATTAATACAAGAAATATGTATAAGCACAGTTATTCAAATGACCTTACATACATACACATTTGTCGTAAAAGTTAAAATTACTTGAACTTCTAAGATGAATGTCATCCTTTTACCTATTACGGCTCTAAAAAATATCCCTCTCTCCCTCCTCTCTCGACCCCTCTCTCCCTCTCTAATTCCTTCTCTCTAGGGGGGAAAGGGATTATTAGAAATGGAGTTTGACAGCCCTATTGCTAGCAATATGCTTTATTAGGTCGACCTCCACGTGGTTCCCCCTGGAAACCATCGTGAACAATTCTTGTTGAATTCGTCACGATGGGCTAACTGACCTGCTTCATACTCACCTATCATCCTTCACTGGTGCCCCGCCGATGTATACCGATAGCGCGGGAGTGGTTACCATTCCATTATCATCCATAAAAAAACCCCTTCTTTCCATCTCTCTCTCTCTCTCTCTCTCTCTCTCTCTCTATCTCTCTCTCTCTCTCTCTCTCTATCTCTCTCTCTCTCTCTCTTTCCCTTTACATATTTATCTCTATCGCTGAAAATGTCTGAAAGCCAATATTTTTTTATAAATTATCCTTTATGTATGTATGTATGTATATAACTTAGAGAGCATAAGAAAGTAATTTTCTAAAGCTGCCACGAAAAACAGAGATATGAGGGCACACGGGCAAACCCGTGGATAACGACTAACATACATAATATATGTACATATACGAGGCATTTACACACGGCACACATATACACGAGGCATTTGAATTTTTTTTTTGTCAATGTCGTGACATGGTATCTTTTGTACCTGTATTGCTTATATACAGCTAACTCGTCATTGTTGCGTGAGCTCGAGTAACAATAGCGGCTGCAAGCGTGCGGAAATACTTATCAACAGAGAAAAAGCAATGTATGTACACGAAAAATTTAAATCGTTCATATACGAGACGGCACTATTGTCCGCTAGCGAATCGAAACGGGACGGCAACTAGGTCGATGTACTCAGTGTTGCGATGTAATGATGGCCCCGAACAATCTCGCTACGTCGATAATGGTATTATTAAAACAATATTAGTTAAACAGGTGTTTAACGCAACACAATATGAAGTCTTTACGAACTAAGTGAACAATTTGCATATTCGTTTTAATTCCAAAATGAATGCGAAATATTAAATTGATATAGTCTTTAAGAGACACTAAAATACTTCCCTTGTATAACAGGCTAGGTTAATAGACCCACACTATTTAATATTAATATGCACCTAATTTCCAATACTATTAGTAGACAGCAGGTCTATAATATTGTCATAACTATATCTATCGTAATATTGCAGGCATACAAATAACGGTAACTGCTTACTATCTGGCAGCCACTATGCGTGTTATATCAAAAAGGTTTATCTCGTTAAAAGTACCTACCTGTAATAGTATAAATATTTATTAGAGAGTTTAACATTTTAAATAACAAAACAAAATATAGTAACATGTAACTGAACAATTTGGGAAGATAGAATTTATAGTGGAAACTATACTTAACCATTGATATATGACTATCAAGATTTATCCTACCTATTTATCCAATACTCTTGCTGGTATTCCATAATATTGGATAATAGGTAGCTATTTATAGCAATTTTTCTAAGTGGTCCAATTCTACCGAGTTTGCCCAAACCAATTTACAGTTGTCTAGTCTGTATAAAATAGTAATGAACCAGATTACAATATCATATGAACAAGGTCATAATGTCATCAATTAAATCATCATACTATGTATCAGTGCCTGTTCTCCCATAAGCACGCATGGAATTATTTTAATGTAGTTTATATAAATGTGTAACATAATCTATTCATAACACTAATCGACATAATTTAAATGCAAATTTTCAATTTTATACAATACTTATTTATCAATTTCTACCTTATAATATGAATGCGTCTAAATAAGATAGTATCAAGAACGCTAGAAGTTGTCAGACCAGGCCATGAGTCACGCATGTCTACCCACTTGGAGCGCTAGTAATATACGACGATGTAATTTTTTTTTATTTAATATTTAAAGCCTTTCTCTCATAGAGTTCATTAAAATTAGAACAGTAATTAATGTATCAGTAATCATTAGTTAATATTTATACATAACATGTAATTAAATATTATAATAAAAATATAATGGAACATTATGTATTTCAAAAAATCTAGTCCATGACTTTCGTCACCATTACCACTCTTGAGCCCGGCCCACGAATAGGAATGCTAAACCACGACTACAACGCTCTCATGACTATTATTGTTATTATCTAACTTGATTACTTATATAAGTGTTCCAACTACAAATAATTATTAGTAGTTGGAACTAACAGCCCCATAGTTGTAAATATTTCTTATCAAGTCGAACTCTACGCGGTCGCTCTTAGGAACCATCGTTAGGTAACGTAAAGCATTTTAATTTCACCTACTTATAAAAAAAAATACGCTGGTAAAAATTACATCCTGTCATGTAAGTTGTAGTGAGAATATAATTTAAAATAAAGGATCTACTTTCGCACGTGCACCTGAAAGAATGTTTTTATACCACTTAGAATGGCAAACAAACTGACGGTCCACCTGATGGAAAGCGGTAACCGTCGCCTATAGACATGAGCAGTACCATGGACATAAAAGAGTATACTGTTTCGCTCATGATACCCCATGCATTGCCATTCCTGAGGACTCAGATGTTATTCCTCTGTTCCCTGTAAATTTACGCCATATCCCACCCTTCAAAACGAAACACAGCCATGCAAATACAACTGTGTTACGGTTGAAACACGAATGGAACAGAGGTACCCAAGCAAACGACTTTTGTATGACGAATGACTAGTACTACCCACTCCCCTAGAAAAGTGTCAAGTTAATCTGTCGATAGACATATTTCCTTTAGTGCACATACGAGAAAAATCAAAACAGACATGTTACAGTCTAGTTATGTCGCAAGCATACACTCGCATACAATCCCTTAATGTAAATATTCAAATTTTGTAATGTACTCATATCTAATTCAAGGTTTTTCTTGATACCGCCTACCGAATAAGAAGAGAAACAAAACATTGCTATATAATATAAAGAAATCGATTCTATGTATAATATTTTTTAATTTATATTAATATCATGTTAATTCTTTAATAGGGAAGCAGGTTGTTAATAATGTGGACTAGCAATATACGCTATCAAGTCAACCTCCACATAGTGCCCCTGGAAACCATCGTGCAAAATTCTAGGTGTAGGTATTCATCACGATGGACCAACTGACCTGTCTTTCCATCCTCACCTATCACCTCTCACTGGTGTCCCGCCAACGTATACCGTTCGCACAGGCAGGGTTACCATTTCATTACTATTAATTAAAAAAATCCTTGATTTGTGGATAATAAATAATAATCGCAATTTCACTTGAAAAGTATGAAGAATCAAGCATCGTTCACTCTATATTCATGTTATCTAGTGCATGGCTAAAAGTCTAATTAAACATGGATTCATAACGAGACGTCCATTTATCTACATGCATTCAGAATGGTATGTTGAAAATGAACCACTCGCTAGCATTAAAGCTCGTGTTGCATACACACCGGCAATAAATAAATATTGATATATATGAGATATTCATATTTTTAGCTAATAAAATAAAACAGAAGGAGGCTATATATTATTGTATAATTACACTTTGAATCTTATTAAATATTAAGTAGTCATTAGTACTATACCATAATTATCAATTAACATTCTACTGTTGGGTCGAATCTCTCCTTATGAACAATTTTTTTTTTCTGAGTACTTACATATTTTTAACTTCTGCAGTTTAAACTTAATGACTCAGTATAATTAACTTGGACTTCTCTCTATCTCTGTCTCTTGTTAATTGAATTGTAAATCTCATGACGATATAGCATGCTATATCATCATGAAATTTAGCATACCTTTGTATTTGGCATGAAACCGAGCAATTTTTATGATGGTCATGCAAAGTATGGATGCAGTTACTAATTTATATCATATTACATCGTGAAATTCACACATAAAAGTATTATTATACAAAAACTACTGAATAAGAATTATTAGTGTTACCGAAAGTTATGTCATAGTATGTACAGTTCACTGTATATATGATATTTACCATTGTTGAAATCTCCACCAATAAATTTTATATCTTACTAGCTTTTACAGGCACACTTTCGTCCACGTGACTGTGATTTGAATACTGACCGGGATAAAAAGTAGATTATAATCTTTTCCTTACCATACTTATAATACGTGTATATTATAAATTTCATTGTAATTGATTAAGCCAGTGATTCTAAACCACTGTGCCGCGGCACTTTAGTGTGCCGCCAAATTTTGCAAATATTTAAAATTTTTGTCATAAACTATTTATGCAGTGTGTTGTAGTAAGTAAATAATTTTTATCTTTTTCTTTGTGTGCCGCCAAATTTTGAAATCGTTAAATATGTGCCGCAACAAAAAGAAGGTTGAGAATCACTGAATTAAGCGTTAAGACGTTATTTGTAAGATTTAACTTATCAGAGATTGTTGATTCCATATTTTTTCTAACTCAAATACCTTTACCACAACTTTCTATTGTGACTCTATATATTAGGGGAAAAAAGAGAGACGAAAGATTTATTTTTATACCTAGTAATAGTATGTGTGTACATATATACAGGAATATTGTGAGATTACTGCTTCTGGAACCATTTCACCCTATATTTTTAAAACTTTTAAATGACTGTTATATTATACTATAATATCAATAATAATCGAAAGTGCAGAATATTTGTAACAAAATATTATTTAATTTTTCCAGTTAATGTTTGAACCAGCGCCAGTGGTGACGTGTACAACAACATCAGCTTTTGCACTTTTAATAAAAGGTAATTAAAAATCTATGTAAATTATAAATTTATTTTAGTTTTTATTTATTTATTAAATTTATAATTATATTAAATTATTTATAACACTTTATTAGCAACTCACCCTTCCATTATCCATTAGATATGATTTAGCTTAGTATTTATATTAAATTGCAGGTTTTAAAAAATATGCAAATTTCTAAACAATATTAAATTTTACTGATACTGGTAAAGCATTTTAGCAACTACTTCGTTTAATATTGTTTATCAATAAATAAATGTTAAAAGTAACTTTCTTTATATAATATACATATAATAAAAATATTTCGCTTATTTCAAAATGTCATAGTAAGTAGTACAGTTGAAATAGCTTCTATTGTGCACCCCGTGTTATAAAAACACTCCTGTAGTATGTCCTTAGTATCAGTTTAATATACTCTTATATTATGCTGAAAACTTATTTACTTACTTACAGACACAATATCGCATGTCTTTATGTGTTAAAATTACGTTACAGATATTATTTGTAATATCTTAAGAGCATATCTTTCAATTGCAACTGGCTCTTAGAATCAATGATGTATCTGCTGACTATATTTAGCTACCTACTCGTTAGTCCTGAGCACTTCTCTCAGTTTTCGAAGCAAGATGCTTTCTTAAGTGCATCATAAACTGAAAAAACAGTGCATCGCTGAAAGAAATTTTAACAATAAAATATTTATTTCCAATTGGCCAACTGTGTTCAAAATTGATTAAATACTATTTATAATTTAATAATAATTAGACTAATAGCGGAATCTAAATTTAAGTAATTAATAAATAATAAAAATTCATTATAAGAAATACAAATATTTTAACATTGTAAAGTTTTACGTGAACAATTTCACTGCAATTTAATTAAAAGATTAAATGTATTACATCAAATGGAAATTGCTATCGAGTTATTCTGATAAAGATTTTAGGAGTAACAAAACAAACTTGGACGGTAACCTGATTTGTTTATCGTCGGCAAAGTCAATACAAGCGCCCACCAAGCGTCGGTATTCCCAATGTTCCTTGAGTGCTTTTCCACTTGTTTAAACAAAATTAGGATGAATATCAAGTTCCATTTTGTCACTTGTAAAGGGAAAAGTGGGGACTATATTTACATTAAAGAATTTATTTTTCTTAATAATAAAAACGTTCTACAATATTTTTTTATTACAATTTAACTTTGCGTTTTCAACATCTTTTATGTATCATATAACCGTATAATATAACCAAGGAAAAAATATGCGTGACTATGAATATTTCATACCATAAGTAGACCATCTCAGATGCAAAGTTATCGTCACCCACCCTTTCTTTAGATAAATATTACATCATATTATTATGTACGTTTAATAAAATCTGTACAAAACGTATACAGATTTTTTCCAATTTGTAAATTGCTATCATCGGTTCGCTGTTACACCCAGTCTGTCTCTGTCGACGCACACCCTAGAGGGTAACGACCTAATAGTCTCTTTCATTTTTAGGTAGATAAACGAAATTGAACCCATTTGTATCTAGGACTATCAGTAAAGCTTTACACCGTATATAATACTTTAAATCAGTGTTACTACTCTTAGACTAATTTATACAGCCCATTAATAATTATACACACCCTGTTTATAAGTTTTAAGTATTATAACTAAGAAAACGCTGGTTTTCTATATATATTACATATTTATCGAAATAATTTATATTTTTATTGCGACTATTGTTTTGGAATGGACGGAAATTTTTAAACACTCTTAAACTTTCACACAATATCTCAGTCCTAATTTTTAGTATTTACATGACATATTTCTACCATGTATATTCGTATATATTTATATACGCCCAAATGCAAACAAACTAATAATGTTATACTTATTAGGACATATTTTTTCCTAATTCAAATAGAATCTTAGGGTTAAGAATTACTTATTGCTAAACTTGTATATGTAATAATATTTAATAATACCTTTGCAAAAAAATTTATTAGTAACGTAAATAATGTACATGAAATATGTGTAAATATTTCAATGTTTCCTCTACAGGTTTTTTAAACCAATTTCAATAAGAAATTTCCCAAATCGACTGTATGTATTTTGTAGGTGTAGGTTACACCTACAAATACATATAGATATCTTTATGAATGTTTATGAAAGTTTAATCTAAAGAATTGACTTTGTTGACCCCATATTAATTTCATGGAATCTGAAGACTGTGTTTAATTATTGACTTACATTTGTCTAATGTATTATACACTAGTTGTTGCCTGCTATTTCCTTTGTGTATCATCTAGATGGCGTATCAAAATAAAACTTTCATCAGGTTTTAAATTAGACCTTCAAGAATATTGTGAAAATAGCTTCCAATTCGGCTCAAATACACAGACAGACAAACAAAAATTCAAAAAAATATTATTATGGCTTCTATTGATCTTAATAAAACCTCTCCTATCTATGGACAACGTCAAGTTACAATTTTTTATAATTTGGCCAATGAATTTGTTGTATTTTTATATTGCTGTCGTTGGCTATACCGTACTTTGTGCGTCATACACAGACAGCGCGCCGCACCTTGTGTATGCATAGTGCCATAGTGCGGTGGTAGCGATGGCGGCGTGCGTTGTGCGCACCACACGGCTGGCTAGTTTGAGGTTCGCTATGTACAATTTGTATACATGTGATGTGACGAACGTTCGGCCTTCATGCTTAGTGGGCGGATGACCGTCGAGCGCGTGGATCAGTCTACCGACTTTCACCTACAAGTGTGTTTTCATCAAAACAAAACTTCGTTTCAATACCGCTGCTAAATTATTTGTTTTAACTCATATATTGCATTTTTATAACTTAACCGCGATATGTGTTTTGTGATTGCAAGTTGTTGACACTTAATTAATGATCATCCATCTGTTTGTGCATGTTTAATTAAATGGTTCTATAATAGGTATGAAAATATTACTTGAAACAAAGATATAAATGGCTTTGGAGAAAATAGATACTTAGGTAATTAGGTACTTTTAAAATATTACCGCTAATGTGCAAAAAAATATAAACCAATTAGTATCAAAATGTTGATTATTTTGTTATTTAATCTAGAATGTACAAATTATATTTCCTGCAGATGCCCTGTATAAAGATATATAACAGATATCTTTATACAGGTATATGTTATGTAAATACGTGTATATGAATTTTATAAAAATTAAATTTATAAAATTCATATATATTGTCCGAATTCTAGTGTATTAGAAAGTGCGATTTATTTAAGGCCTATATCAACTTAAAACTCGTTAGTTAGGATTCAATATAATCAAGTTTCATTCCATTACAGTCATTTTGTGCATACTTTGGGTCCAGTGCAAGTAACTAATGATTAAAATCTTATTAGAACCTAATAAAGGTAAACCTTATAGTAACAAGTATATTTGTTACCATATTACAAAATAGACTATACAGGGTGTCCCAGAAGTCGACGTCAAGTCGGAATCGTGTAACAGGCTAAATTAGGAATCATAATCAGCAACCTGCTGCTCGCGAGTCACATGCGGCTCTTTGGATGTGAAGCTGCGGCTCTTTAGTTCCATACACAAATATTGTTTAATTTATATAAAAAAAAGAAGTCGTTCTGAATAGTTTAACGAGGATTAGGTAACAAACTTTATTTATACAAGTAAGTTCTATTTATAGTTGGCAAGAAAAATTTTTGTGGCTCTTTAAAAACTTTAAAATTTAATAAGATGTAGTTTATTACTCTTCCGACTTGAAAAGTTGCCAACTCCTGGACTAAGTCATAATAGTTATCAGAAATATAAAAAAAATCTAAATTACATATTTTATAAATTATAGACGAAAAAGAAAAAATCGAGTAAATCTACATACAACCTGTGACGATATTTACACTCTTGTACAAATATGAACTTATATAATTTTATTCTGTATTGTAATCCCGAATACAGAATCGTCAGGCAGGCGGTCGGTCGTAAAACTATAAGCCAAATCCATTTGTAATATGGATAAAACCATATTACGTCGACCTCAAATAATAATTGGGATAAGGGTAGGAAGATGATGATGATCATGATAATTGTAATCCTGAATACTTCTTTAAACTCTGCCCTAAAATTTGAAGTCAACTGCTCTAGCTCAGAAGTAAAGATCACCTTTTGTCCAACCAAAGATTCAAAATGAATAATTGTTCCTGTTTTGACTGCCCGAAAAAAATGTACTGGGCAAGTTTAGCAAATAACTTTAAATCTTGACGCATTTAATAAGGATGCCAAAATGGTATGACACTTGCTAATTTATTTCGTAAATTGCGGGTATTTTATTAATTTTATTTTTTCCAATAAAAACCTGATTTGTACAAATTATTCCTACTTAAAAATGATTCATATGTACCAGCGGCTTTTCTCAAGGCCGTAAATTTTAAAATTTCAATTAAAGTGAGACGAACGATGTCATTTTAGGAAGTGCGAGCGAAACAGATAGTGACGCTAACGTGATAGGGATGGAGAGAGTCATTTTACAAAATGTGAGAGATACAGATAGTGTTGCTAGTTATTTGCTGTTGCGCACACAATATAGATCTATACGTCAGTACGTTATATATCAGTATCTATATATCAGTACGTTACTCTTCTTCGTTTTCTGAACATCTTTCTGTATTCGTTCATGTTGATTTCGTACTTACTACTTTTGCTTCATTTATTGGTCTCGATTGCTTGTGATTTAGATTCGGATTGTTTAGTTTCTTTGACGATCAATGCTCTGTGATTGTGTAGTGCCACCTTGCCTGCGTATACCACTCAAGAATGCGCCTCATATACGGAGAATGTAGATGCAATGCGAGCGCTACTAGCGTTACTAGTGAGCTAGACTTTATTGTGAAGATTCCCAAATACAGCTCGTTATACGAATCAGAGGGTCGGCTGCCAAGCCAAACACAACGTGAAGGAAGATATTCCTTTCTTTATCAGGATATAGTACTAGAAGCTGTTGAAGAAGATTCGAGTGCCTGCTTCAGTACGTGCAATAGTGCAATTGTATACAAGAATACCTAAAAATACAGCGCATCGAATTTGCAAAAAAATTTACTCCACGCGTACTACGTACAAAGTCTGCTACCCCGGAACTATCAATTCCAGGTTCTTTTTTTGTCGAACAATATTACCAAGATACCGGGAAGATTCGCAATTCTTTGAGAAAATTTTATGGTCCGATCAATCGACTTCTAAAAAGATGGTTACATGAACCTGCGTAACTTACACGAATGGCATGTAAAAAATCCAAAATTGATGACACAACATAGATTACAGTATTGGTTTAAAATGAACATGTGAACCAGAATATTCAATAAAAAAAGTAACTGGTCCTTTTGACGTTAAATGGTGAACTTGAATTTTTTACAAAGTGATTTATCAAATCTATTGGAAGACATACCACTAAATATTTACAGGGACATGTAGTTCCAGCACGACGGCTGTCTAGCACACTATGCCATCACAGTAAGAGAATGCTTTGATGATGAATACCCGGGCAGATGGTTAAGATGGTCTGGTATAATCTCGTGGCCAACCCGTTCACCAGACTATTAGATTTTTTTTTTCTGTGAACCGATAAAAGAAAATGTTAATTTAAAGCCAATTGAAAGTTTAACTGAGCTACGATAAAGATTAACGGAAGCAGCTGAATTTGTTAACAGCGGAAGATTCGCTTGTTAGTAAACCCGATTTTTTTAAAAAAGTTGTCGAACTTGTCATTTAGGAAGACAAATTGAACATCTGTTGTCATCCAAATAATTTATGTTAAACAATAGCTGTGCGTTTAATAAATCTAAGTATTCAAATTATTAACGTTTAATTCAGTAGCGTCAATATCTTTCTGGCTTACATTTCCTAAAATGACATTGTCCTTCTCATTCCAACTGGAAATTTAAAAGTTACCGCCTTGAGGAAAGCTACGGGTACATTTGAATCATTTTTAAATAAGTAAGAAAAATATGTCCGAAACTTGTTTTTACTAAAGAACAAGTCTGCATTATATGAAATAAATTACCAAATGTCATACTAATTTAGAATCCTTGTTAAATGTACTAACTTTTAAAGTTACTCACCGAACTTGACTAGTACATTTTTTAGTATGGTCAGTTAAAACTGGGTAATCATTTGAATTTTTGGTTGAGCAAAAAATCACAAACTATAGCAGTTGACTTTAAATTTTAGGCCAGAATTTAAAGAAGAAGTATGCGCGGATTATAAAACAATATACAAATATTAATAAAGTTCGTATCTGTAGTAACAGGAGTGAAAAACTGTCCTGTGACAGTGTAGATTTTTTTAAATGTCTATAGTTTTTAAAATATGTAACATAGATTTTTTATTTTTCTCATAACGATTATAATTTACCCTATTATTTCTAACTCGATATCTGCGGTGCTTTACCAGCATATTTAAAGGCCACTTTGGCTGACTATATCAATCGGCAAAACACAATAGTTATATCAACACACACTTTATCTGTAAGCAATGTAAATTATATTCATATGAAGACTAAATAAATTAACTTACATGACATCTTACAGTAATAGTGCCGTATGGTATATAGATGTGACAATATTGCTTATATACCTTTATCTTTAATATGACTACAATTTCCAAACCTAAATAAACTGAATATATCACTTACCAAATGAAAAAAAAAAAATGTAGTATTGTTTATTGTCCGTCAATACTAAAGCTTGTTAAGGAACAATAAATAGTACCTAGTTCTACAAAATGGATAGTAGTAGGTATGTTGGGTACACTACTTCTTTTCTTTAAAAGCTAATATAAATGTTATTTAATGATATATACATATATCATATTTATATATGAACACTATGGGTAAAGCGATAACTTCAATAAAATGACACAAGGAAATTATAAACTTGGTGATGTGTGGAGCTGATGGCGTGACTACGCGTGTCTGGTACAGAGAGCAGCACGCAGAGAAGAGGGAGTGTCCTATATGGCAGAACCTGGGTCACCTGAGTCATGAAGGTGGATGCCGAAGCGAGAGACACACCAGCCGGGATCGTCGGGACCCCAAGATCATCGATCGCTAGTAATACAGAATCGGCTATCTCATCTCTGGACGGTTTGTTGGTTTCAAAATAACTGTCACTAACGCACGTGTACATATCATGCTTGCATCGTTATACATTGGTGAAGTCTGCGTACATTCATACTAACATAATCTAACCAAACTTACAGCTTCACATTAGCGCCGTAATGTGCCCAACTCGCTGCTTCTATTCTCCATTAGTGACACTAAACGTATTACTATTATGACTAAACTCATATTTTAAGCGGTATGTTATAATGTTTAGTGAATTGTTTACTTATTAATATTGTTCACTAAATTGAATTTTTACTAAGAAAGTATATTAAGAATAATAAACCTTAACACGTTCTATGCCGAGAAAAAAAAGCAGTTTCCTGTCCAGGCCGTGTCGATCAGCACTGACCGCGTTGGCAGAAAACGTATTAAACTTTTAGCCAAAATAGTATTAAAAGTTCTAAATATGTCTCGATTTCCCATTATGACGATTACAGCCAGAGCACATTACATGGACATGTTAGTCACGAATCAGATGAGAATAGATGAACGGATCTAATTTTTATGTATGTACTCCTTAATTATATCTTTATAGGTCACTTCATACTACTCGTAAATACATCTTAAGTACAAAAAATATGCACCTGAAGGTTCAACTCAACTGATATGCCGGTATTCATAATTATTTTTATTTCTAATATAACAGCGAATTTTTTATGTTTTGAAAAATAAATAATTTTACACCCTTTTGAATTGTTACAATTCATTTATTTATTATTTATTGGGTTATTTATTAGAAAAAAAAAATATCGGGTACAAAAAACGGACTTTTTATAATTAGTAATTACTTACTAGCTTTTTACCCGCTACTTCGTACGCGTAATTTCAAAGATAAAAAACCAATGAAATAGACCACTTTTATATGGTGTATCAAGTTAAAACATACGAGTATACCAGATTTTAACTTAGACCTTCACGAATACAACTCTGATAACTGCAACCAATTTTGTGTAGCTGCTTTTGTGTGATGCTGAAACATACATACAGACTGACAGACAAACAACATTTTAAATAATTAAAGGTCGTGTTCCACAAAAAAAACCGACTTCATTTGTGACCAACCCAGTTATTTTAATTTAAAAACTAAAATACTTTACCGATATTTATAAAATTTGTATTCGACCAATTTTCTGTGTGTATCAGAGTATCTTTTCAAATAAAAAAAATCTAAATCGATTTAGAACAGACGTACTTATGTATGAGGTAACAAATAAAAAAAATAGAACCGAATTAGGAACCTCCTTCTTTTTGATGTCGGTAAAAAATTATTGTTTCGGCCTTAAATAAGACAAACAGCTTAAGACCCCTCATACATTTTTATATAATTGTCTCCAATGTAAAGACATCGTGTAATTACAATTGTATTATATCAGTAAGATTCTTAATAAATAAATAAATAAATACACGTAATTATTCGATAATGTCGTTTAAAATAATAATATTAATAAATGATTAATTAAATGAAATGATAGATTATTATCTCATCATTTAAAATCTATTCAATTTGGTTTGTTACTGCATGAATCATAACCGTACAACGATCCTGATAGCCTCAAATATCTTCAGGATTATATTAATGCTGTTCAGCACTACAAAAAGCTGACGCTTATCGGTTAGAGTATTTTTTATGTAGGAATATGTTGCTCTTTTCGAATTTTGAATCGATTTAGATGATTTCTTTTATAGTTCGTAGTGTTTACTCCTATATTAAACTCAGTTTTTTTGTAGATCAAAACTATGAACTATTAGACAGAATCTGAAAACTACTATGCTGACTAAGATTCGCTTTTAATTTCAACATTTTGGTATCCTATTCCAGAACTCATAGCGGTCTGATCTCTGTAAAAGTAAAGATTATATAACTTAATTACAGCAATAGCCTTTTAATATTTTTGTAGTATCTGAAACTGTTTAGGTAGCACGTAATAATACTAGGTTTAGGTACATCAGATGTAGACCATTGTCTCCAACACCAGTCCACTGCGAAGAAATTAAATTTATTGTATATCTAATATATTATTATATTATCTAATATGTTAGTTATAATTAAATTTGATATTTCACTATTATTTTCGTATTAATTATGGAAGGAATGTGTCTTAATTTTGATCCTATAGGTGTTAAGTACTAACAATTTTTATTAAGTTATAGCCAGGATCAAGTTGAATTGTAATATTTTTTTTTAATAATATTTAATGGGTTAATTAACAAATAATTAAACATGTTTTAAAGACTGTTGGAGGTATAAAAAGGGGGACTTCCATGCAAAGCGTCTAATCTATGAATGAAAAGAGCTGTAATTTGCAATATTTTAGTCACAGCTAGGCTTGGAAGTCCAACTTACGGAAGCAGTAGTTTAATGGTTAAGAGCAGTGTTTATATGTTACTCACCAGCTATGCCGAGGATATGATGCAGCTACAGATTAAAATTTTAATAATTTTTATTACTACAAAATTATTTGTTCATATATTAAGTAGACGTATAGAAATTAGCATAAATAATTAAATTTATTTCTAACAAATACTAACATTAGTTAATTATTATCTGATCTGATCCCTACAATATCTTACTATTAACATTTGATGATCTGCAAATTGTGACCTTTTCAATGACCAACATGAACAACTTATTATTCATGTTCTTCCTTTAACGTCTTTATAGCGATTTTCGGTGGAGTTTATATTATTTTTTAATATCTGAAATCTACATACACGAAGAGCAATTTTATTTACAGTGGTATTTACTAATAACGTGCTTATCATTATCGTTTTCTTATCCTCTATGACCACTGCAAATATTTTTGTTTCGTATTCATAACTTTACTACTGAAATAAAGTTCCATATACGAATGTCTAATTTATCTGTGTAAATATCTTTGTTGTTATTTCATGTTGTGTAAATATATATATTAGAATATTTGACTTATAATATTTATTGGATAATATAAATGTCAATATTTATACATATAGTAATATTGAAAAATATACACACATCGTAATTATTTTATGGTTTTATGGTTCCAATTATTCCCAAATCTGTGTTTTAATAAAAAAACGAACAGATAGATGGTACTTATAAACGAACTCATCACGTTCATTTTTTAGGGTAATAACAAAAATCTTTTCAATAATAAATTTATATAAGTATGTTTTAATACTTATATCGGTTAAATTACCACTTAGTGTAATTGTTAACTGTCAAAATTATTTAGATTTGATGTACTCAAAGTATGTGTACTCAAATGTAGTGGAGGAATTATTCTATGACACCATTTCTCTTTTTCTTAACCTAATATTTTAAATTAATAATTTATAGACCATCTTAAACAAAATTTTTAATACTTTTTTAGAAATTTAGTTAATATTGTCCTTAGAGTAAAGATTTCACTGTTATATCATATTTTAATTTTAGAGATAACTTCAGAGAAATGATGCCTTAGATTCAGTTAAATTTAAATTGGTATTGTTTTGATACACATTAGAGTTCCAATGTGTATGAAAATAATCCACTCCTAACGTGTCCATAAAAATATCTAATAAATCTAGATCTTTGCAATAAATTCAATATGTGTTTATTTATTTTTTAATAATAGGGATAGACAGAACTAAGTAACAAAGATGAATGCTACTAGTTAAAATAGCTTTATCAGTAAGGTGATACATTTTTTTAAATCTATAAAATTTTTAAAATATTTATTATATTCATTACAAATAAACGCCGTAATATGTTAATACACCTATATACGAATCATAACCTGGAAACTACAAACAATATTATTAACTTCATTTAATTTAGCACAGTGTTTATTGTCTGTACGCAGTTATTATCTATAATTAATAGTAGTCACGCGAATGCTAATTAACTTGTTGCCTTCATAGCTCAATGATAATAAATATTGTACAGTTTCTACTATTCGGACTTTCAAAATCTATGATTAAATTATAAAATAATAATAAAATTCCCATTTATTAAAAATAACCTTTCTATATATTAGCAAAACTTGAAGCGAGTAATGAAAACTGAACTCGAATCAAATTAAGTAAATTTGGTAAGTACAAAAACTTTTAGAATTTTGGTACTTATATAAATAAATGTATTAAATACTAGCGGATCCAACATACGTTGCTCGGAACTCTATCGCAGTACCACCTGTCGGGTATAATTGCGAATCATACAAAATATTATCATTAATAAAAGTCCAGCAGTTTAGTACGAGTTAAGTGACATACGTACAGAAGAATTATACACATTTATAAAAATGATACAACATAGTCATGACGGTTAAGTCACCGATAAGTATATACAAATAGTTGAAATAACCCAAAAAATTGTTTATTAAACGTTTTTATTGATATGTTTCATAACGTATTAAAATCTAATTAACCTCTTAAGATGGATGATTTATATCTCTGGGATATATGAAATGAAAACTCAATAATCGAAATCAATAAAAGATTAAAAGTTATAGGGTTGATTTGTATTTTATTTAGGATAACATTAAAAACGCGAATTATAAAATGTTATTACTAAGACTATGTTTCAAATATATCCTATTATTTAAGCCTACTTTAACGAAAAATGCGCGAAATAAATTTATGTATGTATGTATGAAAAAACTAAATACCATAAAATTTTATAAAAAAAATTTCAATACAAGTCGATAAACATTAAAATGATGAGAATTCGCCCAAGTCATTTGTAAACTATTTAAATTATAAAATATTAATACCTATCTACTTTTGTAAAATGTTACAATTGCAAATAATTAAGGGTTTATATTCAATTGTAAACTTGTAATAAATTCTGATTTCACAACACATATCTCCAAAATGCGTTATCAAAATCTAGAAATTTGTATGTAGGTACTTAATACTTTATTTTATTGTAATTTTTACACAAATGTTTATTCCGCACGCAGACTGCCGCGTGCAAGATAGTGATATAATATCGACGCCCGAGCGGGCTCTGCTCGCCAAGCTGGAAGAGGAAAACCGTAGGATCGAAGCGGACGCGAAAAGCGCCTCGCTGACCAACGTGCACAGCCGCAAGAATTCAGACACTTCGCAAATATCACTCGCCTCCGGTGAGTACAAGATATTATCAACTATGATACTGTGAGATATGGCAATGAAATAAATAGGATACATAGTCACACTATACTCCTTAGGAATGGCAACCCATTAGGAGTACTGTAAGCATTACAGTATTTTCTTCCTATTCACTCCTGTGATGTCTACATTGCTTTTCATGTCTAAAAGCGATGGTCACCACTTCTTATCTGGGAGCCGTCAGCTTGTTTGCCATTCTAGGCATCATAAAACATCGACTACCGGTGAATTTATGTATCTTACCTAAAGCTGATCGTACGCAATATATGCACACTTGACAATTCTGCTTTCACAAGTGTGTCCTTATCACATGTTTTGGGTATCTAAAATGGCCACTTGGTTATTCATATTTGAAATTGACAATGGCTATTTAGATTCCATTCGCCTTTAAGGGTTTACTCTCAAACACGCTTCGGTCTAGTTATACATGATGTACGTCTACGTAAGCAACCTCTCTCACGTACACCGAAGTGTGTATGACCGCTATGTAGGATTTATATTATAAAACATTTGCATTGTAATTGACGTCGGCTAGAAGGAACTGTTCATGTGTTACTTGACGGTCTACGAGGTCCAGCGCATTTACAACAATATGTGCACAGTTTTTTCTGACAGACACCTAAAATTTCAATAATCATACAATATGTAGCCGGTTATAATTACTTTAAATAAAAATAATTTACTGCGTTAGCAAATTGCATCCTTATATTATTAACATTATTTATCATAATTATCATTATAATAGTTTGAAACTTTAATTCCATTTTGTTTATTATAAAAATATAATATATATACTTATTCTTAAATAGCACATTCGTAACTATGTAAATAACTATTGATGATTTGAATAAATAATTGAATTTTCTCAATTTAACGTAATGTTGATGATATTTGATATCATATCCATTGTTAGTCAAATACATTAATACGAGATATATCTCTTCGTCCTCTTCATTACTGAAGGTCGTGTCCTTGAAAGGTGTCCGTTGCCCTTCTTATGATGTTATTCCATTTTGCACGGTCTTCAGCTTCTCGCAGCATTAATACATAGTACTCGTATATTATAGTATATTATAAAATATTTTAAATCTAATTCTTATATAACTTTTTGCATAATTAACTGTTATTTCTAACTTTTTAGGCACCTTCATATTCGATTATATATTTATCACTATATAGAATGAAGGGTACATACGTCATAAATATTGATGTCTCACTACTAATCATAAACAATAAATGTGATTTAAATAAGCATAATGAAATTCAGCGTTCGTTATGATTAAAGAAAATTTACATTGCAATGTCACCCTACCTAATCCGAATAAAATAGCACGTGTACGCTAAGTTGTAGATTTTTTTCATTTTATCAATATAAAATATTCATCCAAAAATTGCTATAATCTACTGAAGTTTTGCTCTAAGTTGGATTGGATTTAATTTTTCTCAGTAACGAAAACAATAACCGAAGCAGTAGTCCATTTTACAAATGCCTGTCCAGTATTACGTTCCTCATGTATTTTATTTCAACGACTATCACAGATACTCACGTTTAATTTTACCACTTCAAGACATTAAAGTCATTGAATACAAGAACTTGATGTTAAATATTAAATTCTCGTACATTATAAAAGATGCTCAAAGCATAAAAACCAAGTGAAGGCGCTAGGCTCGAAACCTACTTACGCTTCTTCGTTTGGCTGTAATCTGTATTACTCAATGCCTCAATTACCACACAATAATTACGTCGTGAGTACTTTCTACTCAAGACTTCCTAAACAAAAGTAGCGCTATAATACAGATTAATAACAGTACCGGTGACACCAACTTATACGAGTACTTATCTTTATCTCTTATCACCAAAATGTCAAATATTTATAGGTATAACGCATTTTAGTCGCACATAATATCAGTGTTAGAAGATGTAATGGATGAATCAAATAATATCTCGTACAATAAAAATTTGTTAGAGTTTTACCTCTCGATCGTTTTGGAAAACCTTTCTTTAAGTATGTACTATTTTATGTATATATTGGACAAGAATTAACTCGAATACTTAGTTATTATCGCGTGCATTGGTTTTAGTTATTGTTCTTCAATAATTTAAACTATATTACATTGTAAACGTGTAATACACAGTACAATTATTTCTCACTTGATATTGGTTCATATTGAGCAATATATTATAGGTTAGATATATAATGTAGGTAATACCTACATCTTGATTACTTAAAATTAATGGAAATCTATCGTCGCTGGTTTAAAATTTTATACCTTTTTTTTTATATAATCATAAACATTTCAATAATTGATTTGTACATGTTTGTATTATATTACCAACAGTATAGTAGTATCAAATTTTAACTAAGTCCTACCAGATACCTTTTAAAAAAAGGTAACTTTTTTATTTTATGCCTGCTGATAAAGTACATAAGTATATTATAACAATGGTGCACTCGGTTAATATAATTACAGTATACATTCTCAATTAGGTATTATGACTCTGCTCACCATTTCCTATTTATGTATTTCCTCTGCTTACAAACGGCCGCTATTTAGTAAAATACTGTTAGCAAATACAAGTACCTTCGCATCCACAATCAAAAAAGGTACAATAATAAAACCATAAAATAGGTTCTTTAGTTTAAAAAATTATATCCTGAAGATCGTATAGTCTCTATGCAAAATTACCCGTATACGTATAGTTAAGAATTATAATATTTATAAATATTATACACACAGCAACAAGTTCGAGCCATGAAGCGGACTCACGTATCAGTGGCAGCAGTAATGGTGAGGAAGACTTGTGGACCCTGTGGGGTCGTATCGTCAGTAACTGGGAGACGGAGTGGAAGCGGCGGAATCAATTTGTTAGAGATCTCGTCCGCCAGGGTGTGCCCCATCACTTCAGGGGAATTGTTTGGCAGTTACTGGCCGGGGTCGATACCTCACCAGAGAAAAAGCTCTACGCCTCTTACATCAAGGTGAACGAACATAAATTATTTAAATTATATATCCATACTTGTGTATTAATAGGTATACCTTCTCTTATTTATATAGACTTCCTATTATTTTCATCTGTAGATATGTAAATACCACAATTTATTTATTAAACTCCTAAGAAATATTTTTATTACTATTTTCAAGGCCATATACCAATATACTTTAGATAAATTATAAATTCGATATATTCAACAGTTTTCTATTTTTTTTTTATTTGTTCATCACCAAATTTAAATCTGTTTATTATTTTACAGGCGAAATCAGCTTGTGAGAAGGTGATTCGGCGAGATATTGCACGCACGTATCCTGAGCATGATTTTTTTAAAGAAAAAGACGGACTTGGCCAAGAATCGCTGTTCAATGTAATGAAGGCCTATTCTCTACACGATAGAGAAGTTGGATACTGCCAAGGCTCAGGGTTTATAGTTGGTCTACTTTTAATGCAGGTGACTTACATTTATCAAAATACTGTATCGTTACTATATTAGATTCGCTTTAGATATCAGGTATCATATCTAAATCGAATCTAATGAAGCGTAGCAATCGAATATAGCATTACACAGGTTTAGCATGAATTTCTATATATTTCTCTCTACTTTTTCTAACGATTATATGCCTAATACTTGGGTATTAATAATATCGTATCCTTTATATTTTTAATAAATTATCTTTTTAGATGCCCGAAGAAGAAGCCTTCGCTGTTCTAGTTAAGATAATGCAACAGCACCGCATGCGCGACATGTTCAAACCAAGTATGGCAGAACTTGGCTTGTGTATGTTCCAGCTTGAGAATTTAGTGCAAGAATTATTACCAGATTTGCATGTACATTTCCAATCACAGGTAAAATACTTAAAGCAATCAATTTTATATTGCTATTCACATTATATGCAGTCATATCAACAGAGATCACATAATTTTCAATTGTTATGTTAACTTGCAGTGGTTTACAGGACCAATTTACATAGCTCCTGTTTATAGATTCTAGAATAATAAGAAATATTAATAACTTAATATAAATATATGGCAATCTTTGTTTGCTTAACGGTGATTCGTTAAATAACTTTGTTGCCAAATACATATTTTAGTTCCCAAATAAAGAATAGCCCACGCAAACAATAGAACCAGGCCATTCTAAAGTTTTTAAGTATATTACTCACTGTGTACAAGGTCAAATACAATTTATTATTTACATTATAATAAAACTTTAAAAAAAGACGTTACAACATCTAGAAATTTTATAGTATTACTTTATAGTGAGTTTAAATGATTTCAAAAAGGAAAACATTTTTATTCGATTATATTTTTATATGCATATTATTACGTATTTAATTTATATTTAATTTCAATAAATAATCTACCATATCTAAAGTTATTATTTTATCATTGCAGAGTTTCAGTACTTCAATATACGCTAGTAGCTGGTTCTTGACTTTATTTACTACCACGTTATCGTTACCTCTCGCTTGCCGCATCATGGACGTATTTTTGTCGGAGGGAATAGAAATCGTATTCAAAGTAGCACTCGCTATGCTTACACTGGGAAAAAACGACCTACTCTCGCTAGATATGGAGAGTATCCTCAAGGTAAACCATAACAATCTTATCTTTGCTAGGGTTCCTTATATTATCTTTTACAGTGTTAGAAATCCTAAGATTATCGTCAAATATTAGTTTAATAAATGACGTGCATTATTAAATTTCACGTGATATTATAACACAAATATCTTAAAAAATATTTAATGGAATCCATATTATATTTTCTAGTCTTTTACTAGATAGTTTTTAGTAACTACTATTAAACAAGTATAATAAAAACTACTCCATGCCTTTTCTTAAAAAAAAATCTTTTTATATCTATTGTTTCTTTCTCTTCTTATTAGAACATAGTTTGTTTGTTTTTTCTATACTTATATAAATGTTTTATATTTACATCAAAAAAGGTCATGTATGGAACCCGAAAAATATTATTAACTAACTCTTATCTCAAAAATAAATTAATCAGCTACGTTAAGTGATAACGTTTGTAGCTAATAAATAACTTATTGTAAAACGTGATTCATATTGAAAATTGTATTAATGTATTACATTATTGCAGTATATTCAAAAGGAATTGCCAGCAAAAGCAGAAGCGGATCAAGACGCGTTCATGAATTTAGCTTATAGCATCAAAGTTAATCCAAAGAAAATGAAAAAACTTGAAAAGGAATACACAGTGATCAAAACCAAGGAACAGGGTGATATTGCTGTATTGAGAGTGAGTACCTATATTTTTAGTATATTTTTTACTTAAATTTGTATTGTATAATTTTCATTATTATTAGAAATGACGTGCAATTTAATATATCAACACACTATGTTGTATATCCAGCAAAGTATAGCATAGTGAAGTCATTAGTGGTTCCAGAGGGAGACTTTGTACAAAAGTCGATTGCTTAGGTACCTCTGTCCCATTCGTGTTCCTACTGTGAAGCAGTTGTTTGCATGGCTGTGTTTCGGTTTGAAGGGTGGGATATGGCGTAAATTTACAGGGTACAGAGGAATAACACCTGAGTCCTCAGGAATGGCAACGCATGGAGGGTATCATGGGCGAAACTTTATACTCTATTATGTCCATGGTACTGCTCATGTCTATACGCGACGGTTACCACTGTCCATCAGATGGGCCGTCAGCTTATTTGCCATTCTAAATTGTATAAATAAAAATAACATCTCAGTAATGTTTTCATCTACAACCAGATTATAGTACAGTACTCTTAGTATCTCTACGATTATTGACGAATAAATAATTCGTATGCAGAATCGAATTGAATTTTAAATGCAAAAGTTTAAGAATGTCATAACTACAATATTACTATTAGTTATAATACATATTTCTCTTTTTCATGTAGTTTATAAATAATTCAGGATTATTATATTAATGAATATCCTAATGGTACAGTGTCTTCGACAAGAGAATCGTCTCCTTAAACAGCGAGTGGAACTACTTGAAAAAGAGAGCTCAGCTTTGGCAGAACGATTGGTTAGAGGGCAGGTCGATCGTGCAGAGGGGGAAGAAGAAACATTTGCACTAGCCCGAGAGGTGCAAGCCCTCAGGAGGGCCAATGTGGATGCCCAACAACGATTAGCTGTTGCACAAGACGAAATACGCTCTCTAGAGATGACCATTGCCGAAGTACGTAATATGCTTATTTGTCTATATACCATACATTGTCATTATTATAAAAAATAAATTTATCAACGACCATTGTAAAGCGAAAGTGATCTCGTTCCATTGTGTAAATGAAAATCCATATTAAGTTTTCAGCCAAGCCAACTAAGAACCCGATTTTAATAAAATTGTATGGTATTTATTCGTAGTCGTAATGTAACAGGTGCGATAAATGGCCAGACTGGAAGGCAAAAGCAACAAAACTGTCATTTCGTGTTTTAATACCATAAACCAGTAACGAATTAACTTCTGTTGACGTAAAAATAATAAATACTGATGACTTTCAGAATAACTCGAGGCAGTCGTCATTAGAAGGCACCGAAGGTGGAAGCAGTGCTAAGGGCGAAGAACTAGCCAGGTGCCTACAAAGGGAACTGGTTAGAGCCCGCCTTCATGCCGCAGAGCGAGAGGCGGCAGAACGCGAACTCACAGCCAGGATCGCGGAGCTAGAGAGCGAGAATAAGAGCTTACGACGGCAACGAGTCGACAATAATGTTGCTCATTTGCAAGTAAGCTTGTTTTAAATGTTGTTAGATTAACATTTAACCGTATCTTTTTTTATATGCCTTAAAATGGCAAATGAGCTGATGACTGACCTAATGACTAGTGGTAACCATAGCTATAATACATATAATGGGTCAAGATGTCGACCCATCACAGGTTATACAGCGTATCCCTTGTGTTGCTAATCCTCAGGATAGTTTTGACAATTAAAAAAATATACCGAACATGAAACTGTACTAATTTTGTCAAGTAATCAAAAATTCGAATTTAGAATTTTTATGTTGCAAAGTCTTAAATTATCTTTTTACAAAACATGGATATCAATGAAAAATAAAATTCTTTTAAATAGAGGAAACGATAGTAATACAAAGAATTAAAACTCTATGCTATGAGTTAGTAAATTCATAAAAGATAGTTTTCAGCAATAATCCCATTGTATCGTTACATTTATCAATTGTCTTGCTTATTCCCTATATTGGATAATGCAAGTAAAGTATACTCATTCATTCATTCACTAATTTATAATTATTAATTTCACCTTTATTTAGTATATATTTATATAACAAAACATCTGAATTTATCAATTGTTTCTAGGATGAACTCATCGCTGTCAAACTCCGAGAAGCTGAAGCGAATCTCTCGTTAAAGGAACTCCGTCAACGCGTCACAGAATTATCTGAAGCATGGCAGAGACATCTTCAAGTTAGTAAATACAAACTATTCTTGTAACTAACATGGTGCATTTAATACAAAGATAATCTGTTATTAGTAATTTAATAGATGTTAATCTGTACAACGCTAAAATAGAATCATTAGTAGTACTTTAAATACTGCTAGCCGCAGTATAAATTGTTATTATCCTCCATTATTTCAGTACCAATTTGAATAAAAACTATTTTATTATATATATGAACATAGGAACACAGGCAAGAGGCTCCTCCACCTCCCGTACAATCCAATGTAGTGTCCGATATCATGGCAACTCCAAAAAAACTATTGAGAGCCTGGGAAGGCCGCTCTGCAGACATGCAAAAATTGGATGAAGAACTTATGACAACCAAAATGAGGGAAGTGGAAGCACTGACAGAATTGAAGGAATTGAGACTTAAGGTACTCGTTTTTATTGGTTTTGACATTTTATATCTTTAAAAATAGCTTTTAGTTTCGAAGGTTTAACTTAGTTATATTTCTAAGTTCAATATATTTCAAGTATTGCAATGGTAAACAAGCTGGTAACTCACTTGATAGAAAAAGATTAATACCAGATTAATGTTTTTTTTTTTTTCTAAATTAGCTTAGTCTTGATTATATCGAATATGGTTAGAGATGTCATGCATTAATAACAATGAAGTTCTCATAGCATAAGTTATATCCGGCAAACGTACAATTTTGGACAGAGATATTGAAATTTTTTTCGACAATACCTATAAAAAAGATAAATAAGGATTAATATTTCAGGTAATGGAACTAGAAACCCAAGTTCAAGTCTCAACAAATCAACTTAGACGGCAAGACGAGGAGGCCCGGCTACTGCGTGAAAATCTAGACGCCGCCCTACAACGCGAAAGAGTATTACAAACGCGCCAGAGGGAGTTCCAGCACAAATATACTGATCTGGAAAGCAAGGTATCGTCCAGATTACATTTAATACTCATTTTGTAAAGGATTACATCATTATAAACAGATATTTATGTTATAATCTTACATAATTAATTATGTAATTGTCATTTTTAAAAAAGTTACCCGTAGTTTTATTAGCCCCTTAAATTATAAGATAAAATACTTCATATTTTAATTTAACAACACATGGTCTACCTGTGTACCAAATGTCATTGAAATTCATTAAACCGTTATGTATTGATTAATAAAAATTTAAAAATCTTTACAAACATTCTCGTTTAAAAAAATATTTATATTCCTATTTTTTGCAGGCGAAATATGATTCCATGCAGGCAAATATAAAAAATATGGAAGACGCGCAGAGAATAGCTGAACTCGAGACCGAGGTTTCCGAATATAAATTAAAGGTACAGTTCACCTACATTTTATTATTTTCTTTTAGCAAATTATTAATTTAAATTAATTGGAAAGAGGTGAAAAGTGAATAAATTGAGCAATTTTTAACAGCTTTATATACTATCTATATTCTAAAACTTAAATGAAACTGCTGTTATATTTCATGAATATTCAAAGCATGCATATACATTCAGAGTTCTTCATAGTGCTTAAATATAATTACTGTATTCACAAAATTAAATATTGTTTTTCATATTGTACTTAACACCATAAATTTCAATAAATTGTATCTTTCAAATTTAGAACGAAGTAATGGCAACTGAAGGAGAGCTACGTAACAACATGGACGATTCTGACAGAGTACGTGAACTACAGGAACAGGTTGCCGAACTCAAAGCCGAGGTATGTAAATAATAATACTAGATGAAATTGAAGTTCATTACGGGTGTTTAAAATGAAATTAAATAATTTAAAATGCCAGTGACATATACATTAATATGTTACCACAAAAATTACGCAAGTCGAATATTGTTATACTACAATAAAGTTGATGTTACCTAAACAAGACAATACACAGTAAAAACGAAAAATCAAGCCACAGCTACTACTCTACAATATTATGTTCGCATAACCTATACCTTGAACTGGCAATGGTGGTGTTACATTTGTTACATGATTTTAGTTAGGATGATATTAAACTTAAATACATTCTTAATTTTAAATACCGCTAATGGCTTCAATATTTACCTCTACACTATTTTACATGTATCTCACTTTACGTTAGTATTATGTGTTAGGTTACAAAAGTTTGTATGTTTTAATACATTTTCACGTATAAAAAATAAAAGTTAATTGATGTGCATATTCTTATGTATAATAATTATAAATTAACGTATGAACGCTGGCAACTCGCGCCTTAGTGCTTTGCTTTACTAACTTCCTACAACATAACATACGCTTTGTCACAAAAACATGTAAATATTTTATTTCCAGTTTGTGCACTACTAATAGTAACTGGGATATCATATATTGCGTGTTATATGTCACCTCGTTATAGGCCACGGTGTTCCGATCGCTGGCTAAAAACGCTTCACGTCATTGTAAACATTATGCTTTGTTTGTTGGAAATCACTTATACGAATGGTAATCTATAAAATTATATTTCAATGGCGTCTCTCATTAAAGATATCTTTCATTTGAAGCAACTACAATAAAAATCTTGTTTTTAATTGTATAAAAATATCTTAAACTAGCAAAAAGTCTGCACATTTTTATCTACTCGATTATGAATAATACGTTTACGAAACCATTACTAATTATAATATTGTACTTACTATGATATGCTTACATAGATGTATCTGATAAATCTGTTTGGCACTGCACAGTTTCCGACACCAATCACCACACCGGACACTGAGCCCTGGAAATGGGTCGAGTAAGTTCTGTATATCCATCCATCCAATCAGTTGTCGCGTGCTAACCTGCAATTCTATTTTATTACAATATTTTTACGACATTCTTCAATATCTAATAATCAAATAAATAATCTTTGCTGAATAAAAATAGGTTAATTGCTTATAACATGAATCTAATTGACAAGATGGAATTAACAGGTTAACACAATGAATTAGGGAGATTATTGACTTGCATTTACGTTTGTGTATGTGTAAAAATTATATAATTATGTGTAAAATTGTTAATAAGCTTATAATTATAAAATTCCAAAATATATGTCAGAGTATGTTTACTATTGTTATATTTGTGCTAGTTTCTACTGTATAAAATATACAAAATATAGAACTTTACATTTTAGCTATATTTATTTGTAGCACATTACGCAACGCACGTTTGTAGTAGAACATATTTTTATGATGTGTATCTTGTGCTTTATATAACGTGTAACCAGTGCAAAAAATAACAGTAATGAGAAAAGAACACATGTTAAAGGAACATTCGAAATTCAACTTACATGTGAGATATACACGCATATTGATTACGTAGCTTACGTATTTTCATAAATCAAACTTGATATCCTAAATGAGTTTGTTTTTTATAATACAAATTACATTTTGATTTCCTTAAAAAATATTTTGACTTAAAAGTTAATTATTAATTTATTATTTAGTCGTAGCAGTTTTTGAGAAATTTCGATATTACGATTACACGTTGTATTTTAGAATAGTGTTAATAAATATTGCATGTCTGTAATAATATTTTGCCTTTTTGTGTTGTGATTTGCAAAATTATGATTTACTAAACACAAAATTACATAATATCAATTAATTCTACAACCAAATATGTTGCTTTGCTATTTGAAATTGCGTGATTTTTTTTTTCGCAATACTTTTATTTGTCCTATTTTATTTCCTTTCCCTAAAATTTTAACCAGAACATTGCATACAACATGAGGTCAATTCGGTTTAACTATTTTAAGTGATGCACTTGCCGACGTACAGCATTTTATTTTTATTTGTCGCTCTCTTAATATTGACCTAACTCTAAATTGATGAAAAGTTAAAGTGAAACCCACCAACTCATTAGAAAACCTATTGAAGTAGGGTTTCAAATATAATGAAGATTATTGAATTAAAACCACTTAGATTACTGATATTGTGAATAATAAAATGTTTTTGTCCTGTCAATTTTATTAATGAATTATTATCACACAACTATTATACTGAATTCACGTAGTATAATTATTATTTATACCTATAATGATTTCATTCCTACTAGCTACCATTTTAAGACAATTGTATATAAAACAGTATACAATTGTCGCTTTCTATATTAGGGACTCCTCATTTTAATCGTTACTTTGAGACCACAGGCATAGATTTATATACATTGTATATAAAATCCCAAACAATGTTATTTTTTGATAATAAATAAGTTTAAAATGATCTACTTCAACTTCAAATAAATTTTGATCTGCAGTTCCTACATAAAATTAATTAAAAAAAAATTATAAGATTAAATCAGCATTATCGATAGTATTTTTAAGATTTGATATTAATAAACAGCTTTTGTAACGTCACGCTTGGCAAAAAATGTAGTAGTTGCACGCTTAGTTTTCATACAGATTACGGTACTTGGATCGTCTGGCACGTTATATCTATTTACATGGAATGGGGTACTCCATGATCGCGATTCTCTAACAAGAGGGACCTAGCGACAAGAATAAATTCCTATTAACACTCAATATAACATTGTAGTAGGTATAAAAATAGACTGTAAATTAGTATTACCTATCGCTGTGGGTAGAGGTCATATGCATGACGTAATTTCCTTATGCGTCATTTTGTAGTTGATACTTTCCTTTCTGTATTTCATGTACAGTTTTACTTCTGATCTTTGATGGTGTGACAAATAAAATGTATGTTCACTAATCTTATAATATCTGTAGGTCATGAGGCTAGAAGCGTGGAGAGCGCGTGCGCTGGGCCACACAGAGCTCAGTCACGCCATCTCAGTTGAGGAAGATCTAGAAGAGGATGACAAATTAAAACTTACACTACGCCGAGAGTCGTCTGCATCATTGGACTTTACAGTTACATCACGGAAGACTACGTAGCAAATACCCATTAATGGTCAATGGCGATCAGTTATAATTCGTCTTCTTACTTACAGTACCGTTTTTTATATCAGCATAAAATGTAATTATTAATATGGTCAATTTGTAAGTACATCATATTATACAGATTAAGTCACATTTATTCTCATAAATTTCAGTTTTCTTTTTATTTTTCAACTACTGCCTGCTTATGAAATTACTAAATTACATTTTATTTGTTCACCTATGAATTTAAGCCAAATTATAATCCACAATAACATTTTACACTATGCCCTAATTTTATATACATACATACAGCTACTAGTAATATGATTAGTTATTTATTTATTCTTGAATCATTTCATTTTGTAATTCATGATATTTTCATTGATCATTATAACTCATGTGTATTATATCAAAAGTGCAGTACATTTGACGGTGGTTTAATAGTTCCGTTCATAATAGGGATGTAACATACAGGACAGAGACAGTATTAGAATCCTGCATTCTTACAATTTTCTTAACAGATTTCTTTCAACCATATATATCCACTAAAATGCATAATCTATATCTTATAATAAATCTGTAGAGAAGTCAGTTCTGTACATGAAATATAATTTCCAAAATAACTATTAGTGATCGATACTGATGCCAAAAATGCAATCAGTAAAATTTTTGTCTGTATGTTCGTTATAGAAACAAAAACTACTAGACGGATTTTGACGAAACTTGGTACAATTATTCTTCATACTCCTGGGCAGGTTATAGTATTCTTTTTAGTAGTTATAGTGTTTTATAGTATACTTTTCATTACGCTACGATTAATAGGAGCAGAGCAGTGAAGGGGAATGTTAATAATGTCCACCCGTGCGACGCCGGGACGGGCCGCTAGTAAGAAATAAAAACCGTCTCCTGGTCAGTATCATCGTACAACATCGTAACGCTTATGAATTTGACCTACCTTTTATTGTCAACTATTGCTAGGTCAAAGTCATACATATTCATTTCAGTTAGTCATATGTTAATACCGCGATTTTTACTATCATCTGCCGCCGCTTGGTTGAAATTATACACAAATGATGATTATTTTAGTTTCTCTTCATTTAGTTCTTGATTGCCTCTCATAGTATTGTAACTCAGGCTGAAATTTTTTATAGATGACAATGAAATGGTAACCCCGTCCTCGCTAACGGTATTCGTTGGCTATTTGTCACCTACCACCCTTCACTGGTGTTCCAGTGAAGGGTGAAAGATGAGATGAAAAGGCAGTTCAGTTAGCTAATCGGGAAGAATACCCGCAGTTAGCCACCAAGAATTCAGCACCATGGTTTCCAGAGAAGAACACTTGAAGATCGACCTGACAGGGTATATTGGTAGCAATGGAACTTAAAGTCCACGTTACTAATAATCGTTCAGGAAGAGTTATTATTGTAGGTATTAGGTTAATTTTATATTTATTTATAAATATCTGTGTCTATTTATAGTGTCATACATTTCAATTCAAATGGGCATAGTGTAATAATCTAATAATCAATACAACTGTTTTTTTTTTTTTACAACACAAGGGGCAAACGAGCATGCGACTCACCTGGTGGTAAGTAATTACCGCCGCCCATGGTCACCCACAACACCCACGGCATTGTAGGTGTGCTGCCGGCCTTTTAAAAAGGAATATGCACTTTTCTTGAAGGTTATGTTGTCGTACACCTAAAGCCGATTTCATGATACAAGATTTGTATTTGAAAGCGTGAATTATCTATGAATGCGAAACAGGAATCAATTTAGGAAATTTCAAACAATAATGTAACGTAACATTCTTTGTAGGCGTGGGTATATTGGTACCACTCCGATATCTGTATATTGGACTATATGTTTCTCTGGGCGTTGATAGCTAAGTAGGTACTATTCATTTCTATTGGGTTATTCATTGCGATATTATTGAATAACTGATATTTAATATATCCGTTACTGCACCAATATATAACTACAATACATAGATATTGCTATATATTAGCCACCCCTAATTCTTAGTGGAACAAACAAACCTTTTCCTCCCGATTAAGCTGGGCTGCTATAGATCGCTTACATTTAGTGGTATACAGCCGCCTGTTTTTTTCTAACATACTAACTGTAACATTTATGTATGAGTTAGTAAATACGACATATACTACTGAATATTCACATTTCTATTCTTTAAATATAGATGTAGCTAATTTACATTTTTACATTTGACTCGTAAAATAGTAGTAGGTGCTATTAAATGACGACATTACCATTTGTAGGAATACTTTGTGTGAAAACTTAAAGGTATTTTCATGCCTTCATAAAACATAATCTCACACATGCATTCCATCAATATGTGAAGTCAAATTGTCATATTTTGTTTACTATAAACTTCATATGTAGTTCAAACTATAAACTGACATAGATGAAAATATTCCAACGTTATAACTCATGATGCCAATTATTACATCGATGCACTGTAGAGAATATCTTTTATATGATCGTAGTTTAATATAATACAGGTAGAATTAAATCTAATGTAGTTCATACTTTTAATATTGGTCAATACGTAGAAATTAATATCTGTATAGATGGTAGACATGAAATGTTTCGCAAAATATATACTTAATGCAAATATTTGTTTTTAAAACTTACCTACTTTGATCTCAGTGTTGATTACTTTTCGCAATCATTATTATTTGTTTGTGAAAGCAACGAGATACGAAGCTCGTTACATCTTAACATTTGTTAGTATTATTTACATTGACTATCCTAAATTCATTTCAAAAGAAACATTCCATTTTGAATTTGTATTACTAATTTAGACATATATTTTAATACATAAAATGACATTACGATAGAAAGCTAAATTAATATTTTCTTAAATAACATTCCTTTTATTTTCTTTCCAATTATTTACCAAAATTATATATCTTCACAGCACTACAGACTTCAGCGGCTTATTTGCTACATTCTAAAATTTAATATATTTTATTTGTTGATGCAGGGATTGATTCGTGATGGCAATGTTGTGCGTACTTATTTAATTAACGCTTGTATTATTAGTAATTTTAAGATAAAATATTTTATAAATTAATTTATTTTATGTAAAATACTCACGTCATCATTTTATAAAACTATACGAATGGCAGTAGAATACTTCGACCTTGTCCATTTAGTAATTATATTCATATCTCAAATATTAATGAATAAGTTGCTTGAATTGGCGTTTTGGTCTTATTGTGGCATCTAAATATATTATTAAAGCTAAATTATATAATGTGCACACCTTTTACAGATATTACGATTTCACTCATTAGATATATTAATTTTATTGCATTATAATTTGTAAATCATAGCAATAATGTAGATAACATTCTTTGGCAGCTATGCTACGTTATAATTTCTCATAATTTTGGCAGTATTGTTTTTATAACATTGCAACATTAGGAAGTAGTCATCGGTCTAGTAGTACTTCTACATTCTATTTAAGGTTGCCTTAGAGCAGATTAAGTGCGTCTCAGGCATACAGGGATTCAAATATGAAATTACCTATATTATTTTAAACCGATGAATGCGTCTTAATACCTATTTTATAAGTGTTATATTTCGAATTTCAAATAAATAGGTATATTTAGTAAAATCCGTATTATTTTCAAGTTTGTTTAAATGTTTGTACGTTATGAAAATTGTCATGTCAATTTTATTTTTGTTAATACTTTACGGTAAGTTTTAATATGTGCAATAATGCTTCAAAGTAGGTAATGTCATTTACCAATGACATAGCAGAATGTTTACAATATCATATTATTGTTTTTTTTTTTTAAATATATTTCATCTAATGTAATCGGATTTCGACAAATGTGGCTTAAAATAAAAAAAAATGTAAATTATATTACACATTTGCAATGAAATTGAACTAATTATTGTCGTTATTTTACTTGATCTGTTAAAAACTAATTACAGATTTTGTATGAAATTTTATGATACATATTTTTAGTAACGTGTTTTAAAGAGCAAACGTATAACATTATTCAAATTTAAAATTCAAGACTTCTTGTCCATAGTTTATTTTTTTTAATTTTACTGTAAACTGATAAATAAATTTGGCCTGTAATGCCACGTATTTTTTAGGAAATAAACTTAATCTATTTACAACTTCTGTTTTATTTATTAACCTCAATCTTTATGAATACACATATTTTCATATGATTACTACTTAGGTGCATATAGATACCCACAGCTACTAGACAATAATCCTAACAGAAATGTACCTATTTGGTTGGGTTTATATTTTATTCACTAGTTGAACTTGTGTGATATTCAAACCATAAAAACGCGTTTTGTTAAATGTACTTCTGATATTAAGTATTGGTTCTAAATAAACAAAATATTTGTGTTAGTATATTATTTATTAATATATTACTTATAAGGCACTATTTAACATAACTAATATAATTCAATTATTAATAATCTTTGTTATTAAAATAATAATGTAAGTAACAACTAAAAATCACACTGTAATAAAAATTATGGCATATTTTTGTATTTAGTAAACAAATTGTAGAGAACTCGTAGTGTCGACTTAAGATCGAGATTCACAATATCTGAAACAAGTAATAACAGATTAAAAAAATAACAATAATTTTTTACATTCTGGTAATTACAAATTCTATTTATAGCGAAATCTGAAATTTAACATATCTCTATATTTCTCTCTAATATATTCGTGAACTAAAACAAAAATGGACATGAATTATTATACTAGATGCTAGCAGCCAATAGTTTAATTATTGGCTTTATTAAATTTTAGTGACCAAAACGATTTTACAGTGCAGTGGACGTTTATTGGTTTTTTTTTATAACACGGGGCAAACGAGCATGCAGCTCGCCTGATGGTAAGGAACTATATTTTAAAATAATAAAACGTCTAAATTGAAATGAAGAAAAAGAAGTCGAATGTCACGACATTTGTAACAAACTATATTTCTTTCAAGTGAATTATAATTCTTATTAATGTTATAAATGTAGAAATTAATGTTTGTTTATTGCCTCTTAACCAGTCACTATGAAGTTTGGTATACACATACTATGTAGGATGGAAAAGAACATAGGCCACTTTCATCCATCAGTAAACATATTTCGGTCACGCGGATGAAATCGCGGGTTAAAAGATAGTATTTGTATATTAATAATATTACCTTCAGGTCTAGCCTTAGGTTTGGCAAGTCCCACATCCTGCATCAATTCAAAAGCAAACGACACATTGTGCACTTTCTGGTCAAAGTCTTGTGGAGTGAGATGGAAATCATAAAGAGGAACAAAAAATCCCTCTAGGAGACCCATCAAAAGACACAAGTAGACGCCATCATGAAACTGTGTGTCTAGATCTGTTACCTCCAAATATACCTTACTAAGGTGCTTATTAACAAATGTTATGAGAGACTGAAAAAGAAATGATTATGTTTACCATAATGAAATAAATTTTAATTATGAAACAGAATATTTAAAATCTTGAACCTTTTACCTTTTTGACGACTTGTAATTTATCAGGTGCATGATCAAACAGAGCATCAAATGCATCCCTTTCACATTTCATACCTAAATCATCATAGGTAGTTGTAATGTCTTCCATAAAACTCCTAAAAAAGTGATTATCTGTTTATAATTGAAATTTTTAGAATTATATATATTATCAGCAATAAAATTATATATTAGTAGGGATATAGACAATGATAATTATTAGCACTTCAAAGTAACTTGAAATTATTTTTATAAGTGCAAATATTTTTAGCTTATCTACAACTTTCATTTTAAATATATTTAATTTGACTGATTTTACCACACTAAGATTGTACCAAAAACATAAAAAGTAAGTTAATACTACCATTAGTATGTAATAAATAACACTTCAACCTATTCTATGCTGGAACCACATGGATTGACACAGCTCGTTACAACATAAATAACATTAAACTATTGCTATAAAATTTGTCACACATACTATTTAGGATAGAAAATACATAAATAGAAGGGCATAGTTTACTTTTTATCCCAGTCATATGGACAAAGTCGCGTAGTAAATAATAGCAGGCAAGGTTTAAAAAAGGTGTTCATACCGGTGAGACAGCTGCATCCCTGGGCTAGTTTCTTTTTTAACAACAAGTACAGCCACTTTTACATTCTCTGGAAGTCGGACCGGAGCTCGAAAATGACGAGCCAAGGCCACCAATAAGTGCAATATCGATACAACACTCTTAGAATGAATAGAATCAACACTCCATTTCTGCGCCGGTTTTGTAGATCCAAAAAGCACCTACAATTGTAACAAATTATTTTTTGTTATAGAATAACAAACTGCAGAATTAATTCTTTAATAACATTATTATACCTTATTTACAGCTCTCAGAACAACAGCTAACTTTTGCCGCTGCCCCTCTTCAGATTGTGTTACTTCTGGTACATCGAGTTTAGTTGCAGTCAGTTTTTCTAGTAGTTTCTGTAATACTTGACCATCATAAAGATCCTCACTAATATCTTTAACAATAATCCTCTGCATGGCAAGTTCATCATTGATCCAATCAATAAGCACTTGAATGAGTTCCTTCACCCGGGGGTCCTCTAAAGACTTGGGTTCAATGATTGCCCTTTCTTCATTATCAACTAAAATTATATTAAAAATAATTAATCAATAACTAAAAAAACCCAGTAATAACAAAATTACCCAAGTGGTATTTGATAGTGGTTCTATCTGATGCAGCAATGTATTGACGTGAATGGACACTATTTTGAAAAGATAAAATAAAGGTAAAAACTTGCTAATTTAATCAGTTTTTGATTTTCTAAGGACTTTCAGTTTGACCCTCGTACTAAGTTAGGATATAATTTATCATGTAATAAATTTCATTCAAATCCATTCAATAGATCTTTTTTGTGCTTCCTTATCTTCATATCTTTTAATACTTAAATGTAAATAAATAATGCAGAATATAGACTTACGCAAACTATATTCTTCTGGAGGTACTTCAGGTGCAGTAGGGCTGCCAGGTGAATCAATAGCATGTTTGCCTTCAGCTTGAACCTCTTGTACTAAACAAAAATACACAATTTATATTATTATAATTTCTTATATTAGTGACACATCATGATACAAATACATCATTTTCTCATTAGAGAAAATTCACTAATATCATAGCCCCATTTGACTTTGTTATAGTTGAGAAAAATTAGTAGGTCAGTGTTAATACAACTTCTCTTCCCACACGAATTTTCATGCACATGTTTATAAAAGTTACGAAATACAATACATACCTTCCTTAATGCGTTTTTTACGTCCAATGGTTCCAAGTTTATCCCATATAGATTCTTCCTTCTCTTCCTTTTTAGGTAAAACAGGAGTACGAGGCGATTTCGGGCGTGGTGAAGACATTTTCCTCTCCTACAGGAAAAATTATGTCAGATGAATCATTCAATATTTAATGCATAATCTAGTTAACAAGTAAATCTCATTTTCCCTTGATCTGTCAGAATTAATAAAGTATAATACAATTTTATTCGCTACCTGTTTTCAATGTATTTCTTCAATTAATACACAAACAACAAAAAAAAAAAGGAAAAGTATTTTGACGAATGAAGAATTGTGATTTCAAGTCTACTCTACTCTTTGCACTACAGATATTATGATACACTCACGTCATTATACTTGTATGCATAGATGAAGGATATACTCAAAGAAGTATTTACGTATTACTCTGCACTGCGCATACTTTGGTTATATACAATACAGTCAGTTTTGTGTAATTTCCGTATTAGCTTTAATTGTATGAATTTGGTAAGAAAAAGTGGTGCCAACGTTTAATTAAATGATGAAATCACAATAGTGCTAACAAAAATACTGTCAAATACTGCCAATGACAAATAGCCGCCATCTAAATTATTAATGAAACAGTTTTAGCTTTGTATTTTATATTTCTTTTTATTTTGACGTGGAAGTTACGACTATAATTGATTCTATTATGAGGTCTACTCTAGAAAATGACAATATATTACGGGAAGTGTTGAAAAGTTGTGCCTGCTATCAATAATGTTACGAAATTGAGATATCAAGGTAATATTGTAAAAATTAATAAACATATTAAACAATTTTAAGAAAAATTTACTTAGTATCATTATAGTCCTATCTACCGTGTAGTCCCGGCATAGAATAGACTACCCCTTTGTTAACACATGAAAACTTTTTGTTATTTATAATAACTTGAATTTAATAAGTAATAAAAAAACTTATTCTTTTTCTAGCTGCCAACAAGTCTTTTATTTCATAAAATTTAAAATATTTTAAAATAAAGCAAACACAGCTAGAACACTAACATTTTTGGTGCCGAAACCCATTTATGAACAAAATGAGCAATCCAAGTGGTGAAACAGTGCAACAATCAGTTGATCTCAAGAGATTCGCTTCGAACGCGGTCGCTGTAAGGCGACCATTACGCGGTTGGAGACTTTTCTCTCATCAGGAGTTGCTGACGCTGAATCGCTACAGCTCCGTAAAGGGGCTCTTGAGGATGCTTATAAAAAATACACGGCCATCAATGTGGGCATCATATATTACGATCCAAGCGACGACGAGGATGAAGCCGAAATGAAAGAACGCTATTTTAAACTGTGTGCTGCATTAAATCAACACACCATCATCAAGACTCTTTCATCAACATGCTCGTCTGCTGTTTCGAAGATTCCGCCCATTGAAATAAAGGTTGATATTTGATGGAAAGGATTTTGCCGACTACGTGCCCTTTATTAATATCTTCACAGCTGTCATCGATAGTGACCATAACCTAAATAATATACAGAAACTAATTTACTTGAAGAAATATTTGCGAGGTAAACCACTTAGCATAATAGACAACTTGCCATTATGTAGCTCGTCATATCAAGACGCACTTATTTTGTTAAAAAATAGATACTATAACCTATTTATGCTTGTAAGTAATTACATAAACAATTTGTTAGATATCAGTCCCATCAGTAGAGGTACCGCTTGTAATTACCGAAACATAATTGTAAAAATTAAACAGTACTTAGCGGCCTTGAAAAGTTTAAATGAACCTATAGAGTATTGGGATTCTTTGTTTGTGAATATAATAACTCGCAAGCTTGACGTTTATACAGTAAAATTCTATCATTGTGAAAGAGATCACGCAGTCAAGCCAACGGTATCAGATCTTGTTTTATTTTTGGACAAAAGAGCGATAGCTCTCGAGTCATGTGGACTGGAGTCAAACAAACAGCAAACAAAAAACATTTCGAAGTCATTTGTAAATTATGTGCACAAGGTCATAGGCTTTATAACTGTCCTCAGTTTGTTTTAATGTCTATTAACAAACGAATTGATTTTGTAAATAATAATAATGTTTATAAAATTTGCTTATTTTCACATGACGGCAAGTGTAAGTATCACTTCAAATATGCAACCTGTAAGTCTGATATGCATAACACGCTGTTGCACATAGACTCATCGCCACCAGCTTCTCTTGTGGCATCTGAAGGCGAGTCAAGCGATAGCGTCGTACAGGCTCAATAAGATCAGGTTATAATGCATACTGTTAATCAAAAAGTAAGTAATGTTTTGTTGCCAACGGTACAAATAGCAGTATTTAATATTAAAAAGAACAAGCACAATATTAGGTATCTAGTCGATTCAAGTAGTGAGTCTTCCTTTTGTACGACGAGACTATTTGAAAAATTAGGTTTTCCTCACTCTGAGTGTCAGAAAAATATTATCACACTTGGACAAAAATCTAATAAAATAAGCAAATATGTAAATATCAATGTTCATTCCATAACCGAATCATTTAGTTTAAATGTACCTTGTAATATTATTAAATCTATAACAATAAAACTTCCACACAAATATATAGATATTACCAATTTCAATGTACCTAAACATGTTGCGCTAGCAGATATGAATTTTCATATACCATCTGAAGTAGACATTTTACTTTCTGCTAATATTTTCTTTCGTATATTAAAGAGCGGTAAAATCAAGGGAGGTCCGTCTGATCCGATCTTTCTTAATACTCCATTTGGCTACATTATTTCTGGCTCATATATATCTTTTAATAATTGCAATTCATTAAATAATGCAGTTGTTTTAAATGCATCAATGGCTAGTCTTGATTTAGAATGCTGCATTCAGCGTTTATGGGAGACAGAAAAGTTTCCTCAGATTTTTAATGAATCTATTCCTGAACATGAATATAGTGAAACGGTTTTCAAAGAACCTGTTAGTATCAAAAATAAGCGTTTTGAAGTAAAATTGCCATTAAAAACAAGTACTGACGGAATAAATTCTGCTGATTCAATTGTATTAGCTTTGCAACGTTTTTATCAATTAGAAAAACGTTCCTTTATTATATGACCTTTATTGTGATTTCATAAATTAATATTTGTCATTAGGTCATGCCAAAATTATAGATATAGACAATTGTAGTGAGTTAGATAAACCATTATACTTTCTGCCCCATCATGGAGTTTTGCGTTTGGATAGGATAACTAATAAGTTACGTACTGTATTTGATGGAAGTGTAAAAAGAGAATTTTCTCACAGTCTTTATGATATTTTATGCAATGGTCCTGTTGTACAAAAACAGTTATTTGATATTATTATGTTATTTTGAACACAAATATGTTATTATGTATGACATTAGACATATATATAGGCAAATAAACTGAAGTTGAATGCATTGTAAGGAAACTGAATCCTTACAATGCATTCAACTTCAGATGCTTACTTATGGTCTTACTTGTTCAGCATACTTGGCTACTAAATGTTTAGTTGAGTTGGCAATTATATATAGATCTGAGTATCCATTAGCAAGTAAAGCCATTATTCGATCATCTTATATAGATGATATACTTACAGGACACGACACTTATGATAAAACTACTGAACTAATTCAAGAATTAAATAATTTACTTAGTTTAGGAAGCTTTGAATTGCATAAATTGTGCATCAATGACATTAATTTATTGAGCGCTATTCCAAAAAATAAATATACATTTGATGAACGTGCTTTAGATCAAGATAAACTGATTATTAAAGCATTAGGTATATATTATGATGCTAAGGCAGACGTTTTCAAAATAAATGGTAAATTACAGAAAAATGCTGCTCATCCAAGCAAATGTAATGTTTTAAGTAAAATCAGCAAATTTTATGATCCAATGGGCTTTGCTAGTCTCATCACGGTACGACCTAAAATGATTTTGCAACAAACATGGCGCTGTAATATTGAATGGGACACTCCTTTACCATCCGATTTGTCTAAAATGTGGCTTTCTTTACGTGATGGTATTATCAATATGCCTACTATAAATATAAAACGTCATGTTGAAGTTAATAGTTCTAAAAATGTGCAGCTCATTAGCTATTGTGATGCTTCGTTGCATGCTTTTGGAGCTACTATTTATATTAAAAATGAGGTTGGAGTATTTTTACTTTGTTCTAAATCACGTATCACTCCTATTAAATCTAAGCTTACAATACATAAATTAGAATTAAATGGAGCTGTACTTTTATGCAAACTTATGTGTAAAATATCTTTTTTATTTTCTAATATACAGAACATTCATTTATTTTGCAATTCTCAATATATTAAATTAGATAGATACAAATGTTAATACTTAACCTGCTCATGTGGGCAATAGAATCAAGAAGATCACAAAGCTTTCAAATAATATGTCATGGCATTATACTTCAACAGCTCTCAATCCTAGTGACATTTTAAGTAGAGGCTGTTATCATACGAAAATTCAAGATAATAATTTGTGGTGGCACGGGCCCGATTATTTAACAGACACAAATAGCAATTATATTTTTATCTAAGTTATGTCGAGTTACCTTTGAACATAAGTCAAAGTGATATAAATGTTAGTTTAGCATGTACAGAAAATATTTCTTTATTGTCTATTTTTACTAAAATATCAAAACTGTTTAAACTGCTACGTATTATAGCCTATGTACTCAGGTTTAAAAATTACTGTAAAACATCAGTACAGTTCAAGTATATACTATTTGTTAAGGAACTTAATGAATCTATGAATTTAATTATTAAGTGTATACAACATTACTTTTGTAATGAAATAAAAGCTATTCAAAATAACAAAACCCTAACTTCGAATCTTAAATCGCTTCATCCATTTATTGATACCAATAATATTTTAAGAGTAGGAGGCCGATTACAAAATGCAAATATTCCATTTTCATCCAAGTTTCCCTTTATTTTGCCTAAGTGTTATTTTACTATTTTAGTCATCACAAACGAACATTTATCTTTAATGCATGTTGGTTTAAAACTTACTTTGAGTAGCCTTCGACAAAAATATTTTATTATCAATGCTATTAAATTAATAAAGAGCGTTATTTATAAATGTACAATATGCTGCAGATTAAAAGCTGAAAGCTCCAAGCAATTAATGGGTTCTTTACCTATGAGTAGAGTTACTCCGGCAAGGGTTTTTTAAAAAGTAGGTATCGCCTACTGTGGACCTTTTGATGTAAAACAGTCAACTTTAAGACGAAGCCAAGGAACCAAGGGTTATGTGGTCGTATTTGTCTGTTTTATCACAAAAACAGTCCACCTTGAAGTCGTAACTGACATGACTATTGATGCATTTTTGGTAGCCCTAAAACGCTTTATAGCTAAATGAGGTTTGCCCTCTGACATATTCTGCGATAAAGCAAAGACTTTTAAGCGAGCACAAACAAAATTTTCTGTATTCTGTAAATTGCTTTTCAAAAAGATTTTATTCATGTTATAAATAATTACACTTGCAGTAAAGGTATTCAATTTCATTTTATACCAGAATATAGTCCCGACCACGGAGGTTTATGGAAGGAACTGTCAAATCTGCAAAGCATTATTTTAAAAGAGTAGTTGGAAATAAAATATTTACATACGAGCAGCTTTGTACAGTGTTTACAGAAATTGAATTTATTCTTAATTCCAGGCCTTTAACTTTATTGTCAACTGATCCGAGATGACTTTTTTAACACCTTGTTATTTTCTTGTGGGTTGCGCATTTCCGCAACCTGATTTAACTTCTATTCCTAATAACCGTTTAAAGTTTTGGCGTAGGTGTGAACAAATACGGCAACATTTCTGGCGGGCCTGGTCCAAAGATTATTTGTTAAATTTACAAAAACGTTACAAGTGGCAATCTGTCACTGAAAATGTACGTGAAGGTATGGTGGTACTAATAGTTGTGCCTAATGCACTTCATTGGCCCTTAGGGATAATTACAAGGGTTTTTTCTGACAGACTCCAAAGTCCGCACTGTTGAAGTGAGAACAGTGTGGACTGAAAATAAAGCAAACAGCTAGAACACTAATATCTTCCTTTCCCGTATTGTAGTATCCCGACTGTTAAGATGCAAACAAGGTATTAATAAACTCTAGTGAAATTTGAAAATAGAAAAAGAAAAATATTATTGCCTAGTAACTCATGTTCAATGAATTGACTTTTGTCTGAAAAAAACTATCTTTACAATTTTTTTTTTTTTTTATATAACAGTGCGATATAGTGTTTCGTGTATTTATAAATTATATAGTGTATGTTATGTTTATTATAAATAAACTGTCAAGTTACTTGGACTAAGAACTAAATCGATTGTGTTTAATACAAGTGCTTTCATGCTGGTCATATTTCTATATTTACGCCTAACAAGGTAGGTATTCAGCTGCAACTCTAACATCGACTAAGGGTCGACAAGTCGACTAAAGGAGAGCGAAGAATGGGTAGCAACGTCCTTCTTAAAACATTTCTAAAAGCCTAACTGCAATTGCCAGCCTGCCTGCCAAGCATGTAAACTACTAACAAAACTCCTCTTATGGGAAATGCAGCTCAATTCAACAGCGGACAGTTAACAGCTAAATTAATAAATAAATACTATACATTTCCATTTTGAAAATTAGGTTGGCCAACATTATAAGGAGGATTTTTGTGTAAATTGGTTAGATATACCTGACCAAGATATTTTACATGCCTTGAATGAAGTGTGACCTTTTTTCCTTTAGTTATATAATTCTTTAAATCCAATATTATTACTGCAATATATTATGAATGACAAATTACTAAAACTATAGAAAAAATATTACTAAGATTTAAAGTACGAACTCAGAAAACATTTGATTATATGAAAATATCGGTTATAAATATTAATATCAATTTAAAAAATCTCAGTAGAAAGACAATATAAGTGCTTTAAAAACTTTTAATATATCAATGTAAGATATGGTTAAGAATACTATGAGTGTATTAAATGTACACGATTTTTTACATAGCTTTGTGTGCAACAACTTTCTACGCTTGATTTAAAATAGACTAGGTTTCTTATATGTTTATCTCTTTCTAACATATTGAAAATAACGTATACATAACAATCTGAATAGAGATAATATATGGCATTACTCACCGAATAAATATATTCGTGAAGCTAAATAAAGGGAATAGGCATATTTTTGAGTTCCATATCTTCCATATTATGTCCATATTCCATTTATCTACATAATAAAATAAGTTAAACCGCTGCTACCACAGCCTGCTGCGTTGGTTACTTTTTTTTTTATGACTTAGGTTGGAGTAGTATACAGGTGTATCATTGTTTGTTGTTGTATTAAACTTGTACACACCATATAAAGAAATCCATTTGTTTATGAGTCCAGAACAACATACTTGTGTTTCTACGATTTTGCATATTCTTTGGTTAGTTATTAAATTTTTTACCTATTTAAATCTTACATAAATTTTATAATCTTTTATTGTGTAAAATATTTAAAACTCGTTCCTAAAAATTTCATGGACGATCAGCAAGTTGTGTACCATCTGCGTTAAACAGTTTGTGGAATCATGTCTAAAAATAGCTTCAAGATTGTATTGCATCACTGACAGTCTTACGAATACATTGTTTCACTTGTTGAATTTAATTTTCGTTGTTTACATAGTGATTTTTTTTTAAAGAATAATATGGAAAAAAGTGGTAATCCGCCTCCATATGGTTGGGGAAATGGCCATACTCTACAACCTCCGCCTGCCGCACCCCCGAGCTACTCACAAGCTGTTGGAGGAGTAGGACCTTCAAGCCCCTATACTCCACAATATCCTGCTTGTAAGTACTCATCTAATCTATCTCATCTAAATTGTTTGTTATATGCACAGACAAGTATTCAAATAATTATAAAATATTACAAGATATGGCCTTGTCACACATTAAACTTTAAAGATTCAAAAATATAAATAAACCCTTACAGTAATCATCTTAATTTTTAAAATATTTGTAGTAATGTAATTAAGGTTGGTATTGATATATCTGAGAGGATAAAAATACTACAGTACTCAAGCACATTCCATTGGGCCCCTGCATTACTGTTTAACCTTGTTCTAGATTATCTACTTGTTAAATAAAATTACCTACTTTTGTCTACTGGAGTCTAATAATTTCAACATCTTGAATGTTTATATTTAATAACTGTGTTATAAACGTCAAAGGTTTTTAAAGCACTTAATTAGTAATAGTGTATTATAAAATTTGGTTTTAAAATGTTAAAAGACAGACCCCTCTTAGTTTTTATATATTAAGTTAGTAAGTTTTTTTTTCTTTGTCTGTGTTTATCTTTCTCCCATATAGTACCTATGTGTGTACCAAATTTCATAATGATTTGTTAAGCTGTTACTATAAGGGAACACACAAACTCATTATCACATGTGTAATATTAATAAAGATGTATATTAAAATACTTTGGTAATTAGTATTAAATTTTTTTTTTTATTTTAATAGTACAAAATTATTTTTAATTTTTTTTAATGGGACTTATTTTCTTTATTACTGACAGAGTATATTTTTGTTAAATAGAGATTTACAATTGATTACATAGTTGTGACATGAAACTAATTTTTTGCAATATTGATGGTTTGCCTGGCCCCTTTATAACAATATGTTTTCCTACTGCTATCAAGCTAATCAGGTTGCGAATTTATCTATTTCTACCTGTATTGGTGGTGTGATGATCACTTATTTACATATAGTTCATATTTCATATCACAACAGAACACAAAAAAATATCTTCATTCTTAATATAACTTTATGAATATCCTAAAATTATATTAAGAATGAAGATATTTTTTAATAGAATGAAAATGAAATGGTAATCTCGCCTATGCTTTCAATATATGGGTAATAGCTCCTCCAGAATGTTTGTTTTTATGAACAGCAGTTCCCACTTTCGATCAAGTGTTTGTCATTCCATGATCTATAAAAAACATAATTTATTAAGGACATTCATATATAATCAATGTGAGCTCAAAAGTGAGTCTTACATCAGTGAAACCAACAATATAATGCATATATTTTAAAATAATATAACTTGGAACATTGCAGCAACAAGTATAAACTATTTGTAAGGCTGGTATATTTATTTTTATTGACACAAAACATGTTCATGAAATGTATAAACATATTTTTCAGTAGTGAAAAGTATAAATGTTAATATATATATATATATATATATATATATATATATATATATATATATATATATATATATATATATATATATATATATATATATATATATATATATATTAATTTAGCTAGATATAATATTTTAGCTGCAGGCCCACCTATCGTCACTACAGTGGTAGCTGTTGGTCCCCATCCAACACATATGATATGTCCAAGCTGTCATGCAGAAATTGATACAGCTACTCAAACAAAGCCTGGCCTTATTGCATATATTTCAGGAGCTATCATATTTCTATTGGGGTAAGTTAAACTTACAGTAATGATATTAATGTCTTCTTAGGAATTCCTAAATATGTGTCGTTCTTTAAATCTATCTTAAATTTTACAGTAATATCTTAAAAATGCCGACTTCAGTTGTGGCAAATTCAGTTATTTCAAAAACTAAAGTGTTGATCCGATTTTTATAAAATTTCTGTAGGACCAAAAGAATTTTGTATATTGGTTTACAACTGTTGGTGTTATGAGGTAATAAACATAAAAAAAATCGAACTTAGAACCACCTTCTTCCTCCTGAATTTGCTTTTGTGACAGCAGAGATACTAAAAACAATTTTATTGTTATGAACGTAATTTTGTGTATAATGAACTTTATAAAATTTGATAAGAATATAATTACTTGCAGATGTGTTTGTGGATGCTGTCTCATTCCTTGCTGCATAGATAACTGTATGGATGTACACCACAAATGTCCTCATTGTGGGGCCTATCTTGGACGTTATCGACGATGAATCGACGCCTGAAATATTTTTTATAGTAATATTGTTTTATAGTAATATTATTATATACGCAATGAATCTAGCACAGATCTGATAACATTTATATGAATGTTTATTCATATAATTTATTGACTCATTATAAGTAAAGATCATGGTCAGATATTTTAACATCATTTAATCTGTTTTAAAGGACAATTTAAAAATTTCTGCCTGTTTAATTACGTTGATGTTTTTCACAATTTTTAAGAATAATATTATAGGTATACTGATTGTATATTATTTATAAAAAGAGTAATAAATATATTTTACTGCCTTATATAATTTTTGATGCTATTGCATTTTTAGTTGACACTGAATATATTTTTTTTTATTACTTTCGTAAAAAAATATTCCTATACCTATTACATAAAATCAACAAATGCAATGATTTTAAATTTGCCTACTTAAACTAAGGTATGTGTAATGTAATATAGATTAGAAATGATCAATTTATTATTTATTTATTTAAATCAAAGCTCTCCAAAACAGTTACGCTCTCGGGCCAATACAAACTGCTGCAGAAATAAATACTTAAATTTTTTGATGAGCAAATACAACTAATATTTTATTAAAATAATTACAACTAAATTGGGAACCTCCCTTTTTCGATGTCGAAGTTTATTAAAAATAAAAGTATTGCGTATTTGTCTTAAATAAAGATTACACCTACCCGCGGGCCGTGCTTTGGATAGTTCTGCAATCATATGTATCAGTTTTCTATATGTATAAGCATAATATTAAATTATTACTCATTTTAGATTAATCATACCTACAGCTTTTATTTAACGTTAATGTAAATAATATAAAAAAAATCTATCAATGAAACAATTTAGTAATTATTTTGTTACCAGCTTGTATTCTGGCATAATAATAACTAGTACTGAGATAGCCATTGTATGGCTAATTGGCATAATGTATATGGTTTTGAACATGTGGTAAAAGATGATTGTACTTTCCATTAATTATATATTATATTTCATGGTTATCTATTGAATAATTATTCTTATGTTACTAATCTACTCGACAGCTACCTACGCGAAGTGGGCGATTAGTTACCTACTTAACATATTTGTTATTTAGGCATTTTATTCAAAATAGTTAAGTTGCGAACTCGAATTAATAACCATTTTTGTAGTCTCAATTTTGATAAGTATGTTTTAGTTTCTGTACGAAACATGTCTTTATTTATTAGTAAAGTTGCTTTCTAGGTAGGTACCAACATAATGTAAAACTACAGTGTATTGATCGATGACATAAAATATTGCTAATCGATATCTTCATATTAAGCATATTAAAATATTGACTGTCGTAATGAATTATGTACTTACCTGTACACGTTAGTATAACCCTTAGGTATAGTAATATACTAAATGAACGAGCCTACGAACAGACTTAGCGTCAGGGCATATGCATAAAATATTATTCGTGTGGTACAATTAATAACGCCTAATTCTATGCGAGTATTTTTGAAACTTTAATGCTATCCCTAAGAAATTTATACGAAAGAGGTATGAAAATTGTTTGAAACTTTTATACTAAATTTTATCAAGTACAGTGCTGTTTGTAAAATTTTGTTCCACATAAAAGTGACTTCAATCCTGACTAATTGACAAAACTTAAACCTGTCGCTTAAAAAAAAAAAAACAATACAAAAAATACAAATACAGTCGAACTGAGAATTTCTTTTGAAGCAGATTAAAAATAGTTTTATATTTATATTATTTAGAATTTTTTTCATATTCAGAATATGAATTAGATATCCTACTATCTGTGTTGTTACTATACTATATCTTGTGTATTACTCTTGTTATTTTCTTTACACTGTATACCTTTATTAGCTATATATGACGATAAACAGATATTAGCAACGAAATTAGACTCGCGTCATACATATAACAGTACGTACGTACGTACGTATTTCTGTAGATTGTTATGTTTGATGTCATCAATATTACTTGTGGTACGAAATTTACATATTATTTATTTAATTTATTATATAATTAACTACAATAACTAGAAATAATTTAATCACAAAATGTTTTCTGATACTTTTACAAAAATAAAAAATGTATTAATACGAAATGTTCGTTCTTTTACCTTTTACCCATTTGTCTTTTGAGGAAATGTTACTTCCCTGGAGTGCTGTAAATTTTTGAAGACAAGTCTAATAATGACAAGTTTTTATTTTAAGATTACGCTAATTATGCGCACAACTTTGGAACTTGGAAGGTCTTGAGGATATCTTAATAATTTGTCGGTTGAAAAAAACACCGTTATAGAGGTGGTTATAACACTTTTAACAGTGTGTAGTTTCCTAACTAAAGGTACAAGTTGATGCAGAGACACACTAAAAGCTTTTTTGAACTGAACATGAAGCTGATAAAAATTGTTCGAAAATCTACGCGGAAATGGAAGCTCTACAAATAAATGATAATTTTAAGGTAACTATCTACTATATATAAATAAATAGTACCCGGATATTAATAAGACATCAAAAATTATTTCAGAGTGAATAATAAACAGTTCTAAATATCTATTGTCTTCCAAAAGGTGGAATTGTTTTTCATTTTGTCTATTATTATCTTTTATTTATAATACCTACTGTAGCCTCATTAGTCCGTTTCAAGCCAATTAGTATTAATATTTGATTTAATAAAGCATTTACATACCAAGGACTTATAATACTTATTGAAATTATTAGTATATTAGTGAAATTAAATTTAAGCACTGACTTGAGGTCAAACTTAATGTTCTTGTGCTATTTATTCTAATCTAGGTTTTGAATGAATCATTTACTTTGTGGTCATTTGAATATGATTCACCTTGTGCTATTCTTAGTTCTAAAAATAAATAATGGTTAGAAACGTAAAATGAAATATATTATTAGTGTAGTTTTTGATCCATATAATTACTTAATCAACTGCAAACCTTGGCATACGCGAGTGTACACCAAAAGCGCAACCGCAAGTGCTTGGGAATCCAAACCCAATACATTGAACAAAAAAAAAATGGAATGGTAACCTTGCTTGCGCTATCGGCCAGCAGTATACGCTGGTGGGGCACTAGTAAGGTGTGATAGGTGAGGATGAAAGCAGTTCAGTTAGCTTGTCTTGACGAATTCCACAAGAATTAACCACGATTGTTTCCAGAGGGAACCACGTGGAGGTCGATCTGATAGGGTATATTTTATTTATTTATTCATTATTGACCACTATTAGAAAAAAAGTCTGGTACAAAAGGCGGACTTAATACTATATAGCATTCTCTCCCAGTCAACCTTTGGCAAAACAGAATTTTTATTATTGCGGTAAAAAAATTATTACACATACAATGGAGTACTACTGCACATTATGATTATATAAATATATATACAGGAATACATTAAATAAATATAAATATACAAATATGTCCTAAAAACATACATATAAATATACCTACGTACTTATAGATTATATACGATAACACAAATAAATACCGATAGAGATCAAAAGTGATGAAGATGAAGAATTGCTTTCCCAGCTTTTTCAAAAGATATTCATAGACTTTTCTCTTAAAAATATATTTGTTAGACATTTGTCTTATGTCCATGGGTAGCGCATTCCAGAGTCGTGAGATCTCAAGAGTAAAAGAATTGAAAACAAAAGCAGAACGATGTAGAGGAATAGATAGAACAAGAGAGTCGTTAGAACGAAGTTCGCGTGTATGAGAATCTCAGAGATATTTGATCTATACGGGAAATGGATCTGGGCTAGCCCCGACGGATATACGAGGAATGAGATAGATTTCATTAAGAAGACAAATCGTCATTTGTTCAATGATGTCTCAGTGAACAACAGGTTTAAAACCGGAAGTGATCACCGACTGGTAAGAGGCACATTGAACCTGAATATTAGGCTAGAAAAGTTTCGTTTAATGAAGTCTATGCTTCGACCTTCGTATTCCCTCATCGAAATCCCTGAGAGTTATCAACTCGATTTGTCGAATTGCTTTCAATACCTGATGAACAGTAAAACAGCGGACGATATCAACAATAAGCTAGTGGAAACTGTTTAAGCAGCCCAACGCTCAAAAAGAACCCAAAAGCTCTCTGATCGCACTCTGGATCTTATGAAGAAGCGGCGTGAATTATGGTCCCAGTCTTCAAGGTCTGCGTCAGAATATAGACAGCTTAATAAGCAAATCTCCAAATGTATATGGCGTGACATACGCCAGTTCAATACTTTATGCATTGAATTGGCAATAGAGCGGAACCAAGGCTTAAAAGTGTTCGCCAGAGATTTGGCTATTGGGCGAAGCTAATTGAGAAAGTTGAAGACCGATGCCGGTGATATAATTTCCGCTGCATCTGAGATTTTGAGTGAGATTGAGAAGTTCTATGGACAACTGTACACAACGTTGTTAACACCGCATACCAATGCGTATAACGACCAAAGAGCAAAAACCACCCGACACCATACCGATGATATCCCGGACGTTAGTTTGCAGGAGATTGAAATGGCCCTCAAACATTTTAAAAACGACAAGGTACCTGGGGAGTACAGAATTACAGCAGAGCTTCTGAGAGCGGATGGAAAACCGGTACTTGTAGTCCTTTAGAAGCTATTTCTTTTCGTCATCCATAACGGTGGTACCCCAGAGGCATGAAGCAGATGTGCGGTGGTCCTGTTCTTCAAGAAGGGTGATAATACCCTATTGAAGAACTGTAGATCGATACCCCTTCTGAATCGCGTCTACATACTGTTTTCGAGAGTCATGAAAAATCCTCTTACGCGCTAACTCGACGATTTCCAGCCACCCGAATAAGCTGGCTTCCGAAAAGGCTTTAGCACTATAGATCACATACATACGCTACGGCAGATTATACAGAAGGCCGAAGAGTATAATCTGCCACTATGTCTGGCGTGTGTGAATTATGAGAAAGTTTTTGATTTGGTCGACACATGGGCGTTACTACTGTCCCTCCAGTGGTGCCAGATTGACTATAGGCGTATCGAAGTATTGAAATATATGTACAGTAAGGCTATGATGTCTATTCAAGTACAGAACCAGAGTACGAAACCCATCCCAGTGCAGAAAGGTGTAAGGCAGGGTGACGTTATACCCTAAATTCTTCACAGCTGCATTGGAAGATGATTTCAAACTCTTGGACTGGAAAGATATGGTTTAAACATTAATGGCGAATACATCACTCATCTCCGTTTCGCCGATGACATAGTAATTATGGCGAAATCTCTGGAGGATCTGAATACTATGCTTAATGACCTCAATGGTATTTCTCAAGAGATAGGTCTTAAGATGAACATGGATAAGATTAAGATCATGTCCAACGTACATGTCAAATGGTTACGATTGAGAACACTACGCTTGAAGTTGTCGGTGAGTATGTATACCTGGAACGAGTTGTCCGAATGGGAAAGTCCAACTTCGACCGAGAGGTCAACCGACGAATTCAACTCGGTTGGGCAGTGCTCGGGAAATTACGCCGCATCTTTTCATCCAAAATACCTCAGAATTTGAAGACGAAGGTCGTTAACCAATGTATGTTGCCAGTGATGACTTACGGAACTGAAATGTACTCCTACATGATTACCCGTATTCAAAAACTATAAGTTACTTAGTGGGCTATGGAGAGAGCTATGCTCGGAGTCTCTTTGCGTGATAGAATTCGAAACGAGGATATCCGCAAAAGAACCAATATAACCGACATAGCCTAAAGGATAAGCAAGCTGAAGATGCAATGGGCTAGTGGATGGAGTGACGATCTGAAAAGCGTTGCACGGAGTCAGTGGATGCAGGTGGCTCAGGACCGATCTTTATGGCAGTCTATGGGAGGGCCTTATGTCCAGCAGTCTTGTTGTTACTAGTATATTTTCTCACAGTCTATTGTGGAATGCTCTCGCTCGGCGGCGAACAGAAGTAGATGGAGACGTATTGAGAAGACCTCAATCGCGAAGGAGAGTCTCATCGACGATCTACTGTCATTGTGAAAACCACGACCACTCTGTCAAGAGTGTACGACTGAAGACAATATAAGTTACTTGGATCCAGACCTGTTCTGGGCAAATCCTATGACCAAGATGCACACAATAACATTACTCAGTTCCCTCAGTCTTCCCAAGCAAATGACTGTACCATCAAGTATCATCATTGAATCAACAATGACCCTCATTAACCCCAAATGACAAGGGATTGTAAGTAATGGATTCTAACAGCCCTATTACTGGCAATATACCCTATCAGTTCGACCTTCACATGTTTCCCCTTGAAAATTATCGTGGTTAATTCTTGTTGAATTCTTCACGATGAGCCAACTGGCCTGCCTTCATCCTCATCTATCATCTGTCACTGGTGCCCTGTCAGCGTATACCGATAGCGCAGGTTTACCATTCCATTTTCACCCATTCAAAAAAAACCCCAAATGACAACTTAATAGAATTACTTACGTGTTCATTAATTAACATTTTATCTACCCAACGTCATTTTATTGATCCAGCAACTTCTAATAAAGTTCATTTCCCCTAATAGATCAAGCAGTTCTACAGTGGAATGTTAAGAGTCACAGACATAAGATGCCAGGCCTTATTTATCTCAACTAATAACCACTCTTCAAATAATAACCATCTTCTCCAATGTAATGCAATGAATGCATCGATAGTATTAGACAACGCAATGAGACAGAGAATAAGTACAAGTTAGATATGTCTACGACAAATTACGTTAATTTTCGTAAAGTTTGTGTATAAACTAAGAACACCACTATCCCTAGTGTAAAAAAAACTTTTCATAGGTTATATAACCTTTTCAATGAGAACTCCAATGATACAACACCTGGTTACGGAGAATTTAGATTAACTCCGTAGATCGTCTAAACATCGTCGTACCTTGTAGTACTTAAACCAGTGGTTTGAAGACCATAGTCTATTGCTCTTCATTCCTAAATGCTCTGCGGTTGTTTTCATTCGCAAGAGACAAATTCTTGACATCCATTTATCTCTTAATGGTGAATAATTAAGATTAAAGACAAGGCAAAATTTCATGGTATTATCCTTGATTCCAGACTTACAGACCTTCATTATCTTTCCTTCAGATCTGACAAGTGTGAAAGCGGATAGACTCCAAGCTAGGACGTTTACGCATTATTCTAGATTCAATGCAGTCTTCTCCAATTAACGCAGTTCAAGTAGAATGTATTAATCCCCCTTTACATCTCCGTAGACAATTCCTCTCCGATCGATTTTTCCTAACATTGCACAATATATCACCCTCTACTCCCTATATTAGAATCCATATCTAATTTAATTCCTTCCTCTTCATATTGGTCACACAAGGCCTATATTTTTACACAAGATTAGAGTATGTGACCACTTTTTATGTGAATGTAGTTTGGATGAAGGAACACTAGAACACCTGTTTTTCGACTGCACAAAACTATCAGTCCCACTGTAAGACCTGTACCGCTCTCTAATGTCGCATTGCCCTTTTACGAGTATATTGTCCCTCTTAAAGGTGTATTCCTCATTATTTGTATTAATACTTATATATTGTATTCATTTTTAGCATGCAATTTTCACACCAAATCATATACCTAGTTCATTATCGGCTAGATTTAAGAACCACAGAAATAAAAATATTTCATCGTGCCATGACGTCGACAGATTCACCAATAAAAATTGGTGGCAGCCATTTAAATTGAAAGAAAAAGAAATATATGTTATAAAGCTTATCACAGTTATAAGTTTAATTATTTACTAATAATAAGGTAAAATTAAATCACCAAGCGGAACTATATTTACAAATAATTACACGCTTTAAATTAATATAATACAATATATATTTAGGAAAACAGTGCATAGTATGTTTTTAAATGTTCCTGAAAAACTAACTTAAAATCTGATATATGTTATATCTTGATCTAGAAGTGGTCTATTTAATTAGTATTCCGACTTCTGCAATCCATGCGTACAAAGCAGGCAGTGGATAAATTCTACTCAGCTAGTTTTTAATAAAATGTTGAAATTAAATTTAGATGTATGAAGTTTAAGAAGAATATCATTGATAATTAATGATGAATAAGTATTATATAAAAAGATATTTAAGCTGACGTAGCCTTTTGTTTTTTATTTGTTACCTATTTTATAAAAATGTTCTGTTTGAAAAAAGGCTTACAACTGTTATGACAAAACAAAGGGACAAAATTTAGAAACTAGCAATACTTAACAGTCAGTTCGTCATGTCAAGTTAAGTCAGTTGGGTATATTCCTTAGACATAGTCTTTCTAATCTGTGGCATAGTCATTTAAAATCAGATTGTCAAGTGCTATTTGTTCTTATCGAAGAATTCACATTATTTTCATTTGTGTTGGAATTTTATGAATTAAAGTAAACTTTAACAATATGTCTTGGTTATTTGGATACAGTACAAAACCTCCGCAACCTCCTTCAGATGACCCACCCTCAGAGAACGACGGTGCAGCGGCATCTCCGATTAACCTTTCTAAATCGGAAAGGAAAGCTATGGAAGCTTATCGGTTTGATTCTAGTGCCTTAGAAAGAGCAGCTCAAGCCGCTAAGGAGCTGGAAAGATCAAGTAAGTCCATTCCAATAAAGTCTTATCAGTCACGTTTCATAGTATTGCATAATGCGACCGCATAACCTCTAAGTCTTCTTATGTCTGCTCGAACGAATTGTTTAATTTTCTGAGGTTAATTTTTTATTAGGTTATCTACTGTGACCAGAAAAATATAATTCCCATATAAATATACGTTAATTTTACATGCCGAAACAAGCTAGATGTGTAGTGGTGTAATATTTGCACTTCCATCTTTGTTAACAGTATTTATTCTCAATAAATATTATTATTATTTCATCAAATAAGATTGTTCTAACCTGTACATTTAGTAGTGAATCTGATTAAATTTCGAGATTGCCTATGTTCAAAAATAAAAAATTAAGATTCAGAAATAATGATGATCTTGTAACCTAATATATTAGTTTGATAGTTTCGTGATATTACTTTTTTATCATCATCATATCAGATACTACTTTACTGCTGAACAAAGCCCGAAGAATAAGCAAGCTAAAGTAGCAATGGGCTAGTCCTATAACTTGAAGAATTAACTTATACAGACAAATGCAGTCTAGGATGACTCCTCCACTAAATGGATTGACAACCTTTAATGTATTGTAGGGTGTTAGTGGATTTTAGGCGATTTAGGACTACTTCTTATGGCAGGCTATGGGGGAGGCTGACTGTTTTATGGATCATCATATATAAAGTTTTTGATAACTGACCTGAATCTATTATAAATTTAGTTCATGTGAACCACATTTCTAATAGATTTAGAGCAAAGATATTAAAAATTTTGTATATGATGATCTATAAAACAGTCAGCCTCCTTAGAATAAAAAAAAATCATTGTGTTATCAAATTGAAATTTTAGTTATAGACATAAGTTGTGAGAAATGCTGCCTTAGAGTCAACCCCAATAGTAATTTATTTTACAAAATTGAATAGGGAAAGTTTTTCCCGTTAAAGTTTAACTTGATTTGAGCACATTATTTTTTATATTCACATACATAGACACACACATCTTGCAACTTTTTATTATTTAATTTATATGATTGACATAAATTATAGGACATGCAAAAGAGGCATTGGAGCTTAGCAAATTACAGGAGGCAACTAAGCAACAAGAACAATTAGCAAAAATTAAAGAATATGAGGCAGCAATTGAACATGCAAAAGTTGATCAGAAAAAAATTGACTATGAAGAGAGACGTAAAACATTACAGGTAGGTAAAATGATAATGTATTTAAGCAATTTTAAAATAGAAAAGTGTAATATCTACAAATAAAATAATATTTTATTTAGGAAGAAACAAAACAACACCAAATGAGAGCTCAGTATCAAGACCAACTTGCTAAAAAGCGATATGAAGAACAATTAATACAACAACAGAAAAGTCAGGAAGAGATACTGAGAAAGTAAGTTATTAGTATAGTTTTGATTATATTATTAATATAAATGACAATTATTACATGTATCTTAACCTAATATATAATAACTCATTTTGGTAATTATATACAATATATATTTAGGCAAGAAGAAAGTGTTGCAAAACAAGAAGCTCTGCGTCGTGCAACTATTGAACATGAGATGGAACTTCGAGAAAAGAACAAAATGAAACTTATTGAAGCAGAAGCTAGAGCAAAGGCTAAGGCTGAACGTGAAAATCGGGATATTACAATTGAACAAATTAGATTGAAGGCAGCCGAAAACAGAACTACTATTTTAGAAAGTATCAAGTGAGTTACCCTTAACTGTAAAGTTATAGTTATGCAATTTTTTATTTGGCTCACATTAAAATTTAAGATTTAAGAGTTTCTTATTCTTTTAGTATTAAACATCATAATTGATTTGGAATCTTAGATTAGAAATATTACAGAAACTAAACTCGAACTTAAGTAATTATGTTTATTTGTTTAGTTCAAGATTAAACAACTGAACAAAATAAATTAGCTTTTGTATAGTAAAATTTTTAATAGAATAAATGATTATTTATTCTACTCCAACATGATTAACATTTCATGACTCTTTGTATTTATTTAAGTTTTAAATTGTAGTAGTCGCCTTTTTTGCGCAGGCCTTCTGTACTAACAGAGGTATAATAATTATGTATATTTTTTTTCCTCAAACTGCAAAATATTAATTTACCTGTAAAAAATCATTGTTGCAAGTCAGTAATTGTTGTTTTTATTTATTTAAGATATTTTCATATAATGATTTAAAGCTGTTAAATATTCAGAAATCCTAAACTACCACATGACAGACTTATTATTTTTATTACTCGAAATTATAGTGAGTTTAATGTTAATACACAGGACTGCGGGGACTGTCATAGGAGCTGGATTGAATGCACTTGTCACAGACTGGGATAAAACTTTAGCAGCAGCTGGTGGTTTGTCTCTGGTAGCTCTTGGTGTGTATACAGCCAAAGGAGCAACATCAGTAACTGCAAGATTCATTGAAGCGCGCATTGGTAAAAGATTTCATATTGTCATTCAATAATAAAAGTGTTTGTTATGCATGATTTGGCTTAATTTCTGTCCTTCTTTTCTATTCTCTTGTAAGCTTAGTCCTATCTCTATCTCTTAGATTTATCTATTCCATCAACAAATCTTCTTCATGTATTCACTCTGTATATCCTTTTCCCTTTCTTTTTCTCCTTTGCCTTTATATATATCTTTGCAGTTTCATTGTTCCATCTGTTATTTATATCTACCATGAGATGTATCCACCCCCATTTTCTTAATTTTACAAAGTATCATCCTTTGAAAGTTACTAATCAATATAAAATTTCAGGAAAGCCTACCTTAGTGAATGAAACGTCAAGATTCTCTTTATTAGAAGCAGTCAAACACCCTATACTAACAGTATCTAGAGCAGTAACTAGCTTCAGAAAGCCATCCGATGCATTGGCCGGCGTAGTCCTTGCGCCTACATTGGAGAGAAGACTTCGAGATATTGCTATTGCTACAAAAAATACTAGGCTAAATAAAGGGTTTTATCGTAATTTACTTATGTATGGTCCTCCTGGTACTGGAAAAACATTGTTTTCCAAGGTAAACAATATTTTAAGTTACATTAATTTCATTGCTCATGTGTTGGTTTGAATTGAGTGTAAGAGCTCGAGTTAGATTCTTAAAATTCTAGTAGTATTTATTAATAAATACTTTACCCAGACAGAAACATTGTATTCTTATTTCATTACGACACTACATGCATATTATTTTATTGAAGTAATCCATTCATATGGTTATTTATGTTATTATTACTGTATTATTGTTTTAGAAACTTGCAAAACATTCAGGTATGGATTACGCAATTTTAACTGGAGGCGATGTTGCACCTATGGGTAAAGATGCAGTTGCTGCTATTCATAAGGTATTTGATTGGGCAAATACAAGTAGAAAAGGTAATTTTTAAAATAATATTTAGTAATGTAATATATGGCCAATTTAGAATTTGTTTTATATCTATATATTTTTTTAGGCGTCCTTCTGTTCATTGACGAAGCTGATGCATTTTTACGCAAACGTTCTTCAGAAAGAATAAGCGAAGATTTAAGAGCAGCTCTTAATGCTTTTCTGTATCGTACGTCTGACCAAAGTAGTAGAATCATGTTGGTACTTGCTTCCAATACTCCTCAACAGTTTGATTCTGCTATCAATGATCGTCTTGATAAGATGATTGAATTTGGACTGCCTGGACATGAAGAACGAGAGCGTCTGATCCGTCTCTATTTTGATAAATTTGTACTACAACCAGCTTCAGAGGGGAAGAGGTTAATATTTTATCATGGTAATATTTTTTTAATTGAATATAATTCCTGATTGTACTTATTTATATGTTATTACAGACGTTTGAGCGTGGATCAGTTCGACTATGGCGCCCTATGTTCTAATTTGGCGGCACGTACAGCTGGTATGTCAGGCCGCTCGCTGTCTAAGCTGGGTGTAGCGTGGCAAGCCGCTGCTTATGCTTCCGACGATGGCCGACTTACTGAACAAATGTGCATTGATATATGTGACGATGCAGTTAGGGACCACAGACAGAAGGTATTTATATTTGGTTGCAATTTTTAGATTGATAAAATTAATAAAAAACAAATTATTGTCATACCTTCATGTACGATGACTGTTTTTAGAGTGTAAAATGCACAATTAAGTTTACACATTCATTGAAATAGTGCTTTCTTATTAAGTATTATTATTATGATATATTTTTAAATAATTTTAACGGGAGAAATAATATATAACTTTTTTCAGATGGAATGGTTATCTACTGAAGAGAAATCGCGTAGTATGATGCCTTATCTTCTAGACTTGCCTCCACTAGACAATTCTGACGAAACACAGTCTAAAATTGTTCAAAATGAACAACCTGCTAAAGCTGATATGCCTTCTAGAAATAAATCTGTATCCAAGAAGACATCAGCGAAGACTGTCGAAACTGAAAAGTGACAATGTCTTTCAAACACAAATAAACCAGAAAGTTTATCACATATAAGCATAAGTTCCACCAGTAAATATAAAAAGAACTGTGATACGAATAATAAATACCTATATGATTTTAAAACATCACAATTAAATAAATACATAGTACTGAGCGAGCGTGACATGAAAACATTAAAAAAAATATCTCAGAAAATGAGAAAGAAGGTTTGATTATAGATTTATTGTTATAAATGCGTAGTGTGGTTTTATCTGTGTACTGATACTTAAAAAAATATGTATAATTTTATAAAAACAATTTTATTATTTACATATGATTTTGCATAACTTGGTCTGAGTTGGTACCTGCATTCCTAGTGTTTACAAATAAATTAGGATAAGAATTGATTTATTTTATCACATAAAAAAAATAATGTGTTATAGGACCGAAATAATAGTGTAATGTGTGTTAGAATATGAAAGTACCGAATTTTTTATGTTCAAAGAGAATGACGAGTAATAGGCGTAATATTTATATAAGTATAGAATGGAATGCTTATGTTAGAATTTTATATTCTTTGTATTGACTAATATAATTATATAATATCATTAATTTGAAAAAGTATGTTCAATGATGCTTTATATGTATTATAAATATCTTTTTTTCATACCGAGCTCATTATGGATTACGCAGGATGCCAATGATGACGTTTATTCTTTTTTGGTGCAAATGGTGTAGATATAAATTATATAACAAACACTCACGTTTCATCTCCTAGCCTTTATAATACTGGCAAAAAATAACTTATAGTTTTGTATTGTATGCATGAACGGCAATCGAGGATGGGTTGGCCAATAACAAAATATGGTTTATGTATCAAATATTAAACAAAACATTTGAAATGAGTAATAAAGAAGTATACAATACCTTACTATATAATAAGTATACCCACCTTAGCTCCGTTACTGGTTTCTTGCTATTAGTATTTTTTAAATTTTCACTTTGATCGCAATGCAACATATCTACGCCCTTTGTAATGCATAATTAAATTAATATCAGTTTATGCATAACGATGCTGATTATTGGTAATAAAGAATATGTCATTTCGTATTATTGAAACGGATTAATTTTTTTAACGTATAACCTATTAAGTTATACGACAGGCGTTAACCACAGCTGGTATTGTAGTAACTATACATCATAAATAGTGCTATATGTTTTTTTTTTGTAAAAAATTCGCTTCCTAAAATTGGCACATTCTTGAGATGTTTTATGAAATTTGTGAAGTCTATTTGTATTCCAGTACAAAATATTTCTGTAATTGTTCTCAAAGTGTTTAAGTATGAATAATAATTATACAAAATAAATGGAAATAGGAATATTTGTACACGCTTGTCATTCACGTATGTTTACTATTAAATATACATTAGTGAATGATTGTAATTATTTATAGACTACTAAATAGTGTAATTATTAATATGCTATTAATTATATAACCGTAATGATTTTATTACAACTTGTTGTATGTAGTTATTAGAAAATGTTCATAAATAGTATATTGTTTTATTCAAAATTCTGCTCTTAGGGTTCCTAAATAAATACTGATTTGTTTCTAGAAAAAGTTCTCTATTAAAATTCAGGAATTTTACAATTTCATATCTCAATTTCTGAGATGATCAATTTAATAAAGAATAGGTATCACCCATTTTTGACCTTTTCCTTTACCAATACTGCATTTTCAAATAGTTACAGGTTATATGTAGGGCATGTGGGTATCAAGTTGACAAAGAAGTGTTATGGATTAAATCACAAATTAGTGACGCCTTGAGTACAAAAAGTTTAGGATGTCGCGGTGTTCGTTATCAAAATGCATTCTAGGCTCTTCTCCAAGTATGATTTTTGGCTGATATTTTAAGTAGTATTATAGCAAATTTTTGTTATTTATTGCTTTTTATATCTTTACCGTATGCCATTTTTAATTAAGTCTGCTTATTATATTAACCGTTACATTTTCTATTTTATTAGTGTAATAATTAGTAATAAAGTAAAAATATATGTAATATAGAAAGCACTAAATAAAATGCAATATAATACTAATTCAATCATTTAAAATGTTTTGGAATCATATTATAGGACATTCTGTAGTTTCTTCCACGCAAGTTTTAATTTTTTGTCTAATCCGAAAATCTCCATTATGGCTTAAATAAAAAACAATTATGTAATAAACATTATATTTATTACAAAATAATATACATTAATCATGATTGGTAGAAGTTACAGTACTTTATTACGAATTGAAATAAAATTCTCATCTTATTACGATATTTAAAACAACAAATGCGCTGCCATTATATAATCATACAAAAAGCTTTTAATGTATTGTATGTCTAATACCTATTAAAATGTGAGATATACTTAATTACTTAAATAATTTCACTTTGGATAAACAATCGAAATTTTGTGACTGATCGTCAATGCTACATCAATTCTTGTTGCAATTGATCGAGTTTATACCCTTGATGATGATGATGATGATGAATTATTTGTCCAGTCTTAGTCTATTTTAAAATAATGGGGTCCAATTAAATACGTTAAGGATTAAAATAAATAGTTATATTTATTTTAATCCTTGACATATTTAATTATATAATATATACCTATAAGTAGTTATAGGTGCAAAAGAATTTAATCATTGCTGCGACTAAGACATGAAATTTCCTAAAGGTGTGGATTATATCCTAAAGGATATAATCCACACCTTTGCCATCGTGATAGAATAAAATGTAGAATACTTTTTATAAACCTGAAAATAGACTGTAGAAATAGAAAATGTGTAAATATAAATAAGCAACGGATGCTCACATGCTTATTGTAGGTATTTATTCATTTTGATAGTATTTGTTCTGAATGAGGTGTCTGGTCTACTGTTGCTATTGAAATAAATAATATTTTTACATTTGACCAACTAATCCCATTTTTAATTAAATTAAATTGGATTTTTAATCCAAAAAGTTTTATTAATAGCATTTTTTATTAGCAGGAAATTAGAAAAATACGCAAAATTGAATTTAAATATAGTCAATAATAAATTCATACCTGTCCTAAGTCACCCAAGGGATCAGATAATTTTTATGGTGTGATTTATTACATTACATTCATTTTGTAAATGATAAAATATTTTTATAGAGAAACGTGTACAAAGGTACAATAGGACAAAACTAGGTGTAATTTACTCAATTGCATTATTTAGACTCCATTTTTTGAGTTTACTAGCTATATGTATTTTATGTTTTAAGTATTTTTAAATCTAAACAATATATTTTTCTTACGTGAAATAAATGTTAAAAATAATATCAACCAAGATAAAATCAATATAGTAAATACGACCGGGATAAAATCTTAAAAGAACTAACTAGATACAGAGTTATATTATTGTCTGGTTTATTATACTTATCAGTAGTACCAAACTATGGTTTCATTCCAACTGCGCTTGTAGGCTGTGTTGTCTAAAATCATTTCTGTGACTGCATGTTCCTGTTAGCAAGAATCAGTACGAAAACTGATCGAGCTTTAATATTACTTAACAAAAATAAAAAAAAAAAAAACTTCAGATAATTATATTGTGTATGGAAAGATTTTTAGCTCCGCCCAAGTTGGAACAGCTTTATAAACATCGTTCCACCATTATAATTATATAATTCTCATTGGTTTTGACTGTTTGGTCGCAATGGAAATAGAGTCCTGGCTAGATACTGGCAGTATGTAACCAAATAATTGCACTAATAGAATTATTCATAAATTGAAATAGCTACTTTGAGAATACAACGGTTTTATCACAGCACACATATATATAATCTTATGTCCAGCAACAGTTCAATTTCATATAACAATAGATGTTTAATAATACTAACGAGTTTTTTTTACCAATTATAATATATTGCATGTTTTGGAAACTGCAGGATATGCCCAATTATTAATAATATTCTGCTAGATAAAATGTATAACGCTTATATAACCAATAATAATTAGACACGAAAAACATATTTGTTAAATATGTGTACTTTTATACATACATACCTATGTATGTACTTAATTTACATAGTTACTGTTTAAGGAAGATAAGTTGCGAGGCATTAAAATGAATATGATATGGCAAATTATAAAATTGTAGGTAAGCAAATTACTAATAAAGTTTACGTAAAGGCTGTCACTTTGTATTGGTCAATTTACTTGTATTATAATTAGAGCGTAAACATGTATAACATCGGCATCCGATTACTGAATCAACATAAAGAATTTTTCCCTATGTCTACCTTGTTTGTATGTATGTAGACTTCTCAAAATTGTTATTGAACTCGCTTTTACCCGACATGTTTGATTTCCAGGGATAAACAGAATTATTCTTCATCTCAAAGTACGTGTACCTATATCAAATTGTGTGAAGATCGTGAAGGCGCTAAGAGATAACAATCGAACAAACTTACTTTCACGTTTCTTTGGATTAAAAGTCTACGCCTTAAATTCAAACGTAATAATCACATTTTAAAATCCACCTAATATATACATATATAAAAATTCCGCGTCCCGTTTTTGTACACGCAACTCCGAAATAGATTAGTCAATTTCAATAAAATTTTGTGAGTATATATTGTTTGAAAATAAACATTCACAAAATGAGAGGCAGGATAGTTTCTATCTCATTGAGTGGCACTGTTGTCAAAATCTTGCACCTGTGTGAAATTGGGGATCCGTCGTTATTATATATTTATAAAGCTCCCATTGTGTTTAGTAATTTTATTATTATTATTATTTTTTACATTGTTACAGTTCTATGTATCGAATTAAATTCGCCATGTAGGCAAGTAATTAGGTAGCCTCATCCTTAAACAAAATACATTAAGTAAACTCAATAGAAACGTGATAACAATATTATACATTGATAGATTAATTATGAATATGGAATAAATTAAACAAAATATTCAAATCAATTCAGTTACTTCGTGTACCAGAACAACATGATGACTGTACAGGTGCCTCATCATCAACAACTAGCACCCTTGATGTCCTACTAACTTCAGTTTGAGAATTGCTTTCATGTTTCTCCAGCATTTCTCGGGTCATGTCCAAAAACAAGTCTTCAACTCCTTGATTTAGTTTTGCTGATGTATAATAATGTTTTGCACCAACCATGTTAGCATAGCTGAAATTTTATTATCAATTTAAATATCATTTTAAATTAGATTAATTTAATTTTTGTTTTAATTTATGTTTTTATAAATATACTATGTGCATAATGTAAAAAATAAATTTATAGTTAAACAGCTGAATCAAATCTAAAGCACTTTTTATGTTTATGAGAGTAGTATACATTTTTTAAACTAAACTAAAATTTTACAGAAAATTATACCTTTCTGCTTCTTCTAATGGCACAGTTCTTTCATGTTCCAAATCTATTTTATTTCCTGCAATGATGAGAACAATATTGGAGCCCAACATTTTTTTCAGTTCTTTAACCCAATTTTTTACCTGTAAATATGAATCTATATATTACCATGCTAAAATGTCTATCAATCATTTACAGACCCTGGAAAATATCATGGTTAATTCCTGATGAATTCATCATGATGGGCTAACTGGCCTGTTTTCATTCTCATTTATCACCCTTCACTGGTGCTCCGCCAGCGTATCCCGTTAGCCATACCATTTTCACCCATCGAAAAAAAAAATAATTTAGTGAATATGCTCTAGAAAGAAAGGGCGGTAAGAATAAATTACTATTAAGGTAGGTAGGTATTGAGTGATTTTAAGTATTTACACTTGGCTCAGCTGATATAATATTTATTGAAGAAAAACTAATAGCTGCACAGTAGCACTATAAAAAACCAAGTATTTGTTTGTCTGTTTTTATTTATTTGTACTTAGATTGTATGTCAGCGTAAATATCTGAATTTTTCAAATTAATGCCGAGATTATGGAAAATTATTGTCATTTACTTCATGCCTTGGAGCATAAAGATTTTTGGATATAAAGCTACCTTTGGATAAGCCACATCAGTGGTCTTCATGTAACTAATATGACCTAGAAATGCTTGATATGATAAAGTGCCATCTTTATATGAGTAGTAATAGTTTATTAACTTATTTTTGAATAAAATTACTTTATAAAAATTAATTTTATTCAATATAAACTAAAGTTTATTTCATTATTAATATAAATCAAATAAGGAACAGTACAAATTAATCATAACTTTTTATTGTGAATATTGTACTACATGTAACGACAGACTATATCTTATTACTATGTAGGGACAATAATAACTTATTCCATAAAAAGTTATAAAAGTAACAGTGGTTTTAGAAAAACACTGACACATACATTTATTGATGTAGAACAATTATAAATCAGTAAAATATTTCATATACAGTTGCAAGCAAAATATTGTAATGTTATATAATAGTTGTTAACCATACAATTAATATACTACAAACATTATATGAAAGTAATTTTTTTTAATAACAAAATGGATAGGTAACCCAGCTGGCATTATTGGTAAATGTTGTGTAATTAGATCAAAACAGCTCGACTAGTTTCGGAAACAATTTGGGTTTCTTAGTAATGAGCAACTGTGATGTTAGGAAGAACCTGACTGCATGCTTTAGCCCCCTGAGTGCAAGTTGTAGGTGCTTGTGGCATCATCCAGATAAGAAAGACAGCTCAATAGGCTCTTAACCAATAGTTATTACATTATAGTTTTATTTAATAACAAAATAGGTTTCTCATCACTTATATAATTTAAATAAACAATTTACCTTTCCAAAGGAGTCTTCATCAGTAATGTCGTAAACGAGTATAGCTCCATTTGAATTTCTATAATAAATTGGCCCTAGTGCATGAAATTTTTCTTGACCAGCTGTGTCCCAAATAGAAAGATTGATCCGTTTACCATTGATGTTTATTTTTTTATTTAGAAAAGTAGCCTGTAAAATAATACCATCAATAATAATGAAATTCATAACATTGGTCCATGGATAATTATCAAAAAGTTTCGAGTTTCTACGGTTAGCTAAAACTATCCTTTTACAAAATTACGCTACCCTAATTAAAAATAAAAATAAATTCGGCTCTAAAATATTAGCTATTTGCTATAATTTTATTATTTTAAAATTCGTCGAAAAATCTGCACATAAAAAATAAAGTATACAACTAAATAAAGAAAAATACAAATCGTATGCTAATGCTGAGAATGATATAATTAACAAAAATAATCATACCTGTAGCGTAGTAAGGTGTTTATCATTAAATTTATCTTCAATGTATCGAAGTAACAAAGATGTTTTTCCAACACAACCCTCGCCTAACAATACTACCTTGAAATTATATGTACTACCGGTTGTAGACATGATACTAATGAAAATTACGACTAATATTTACAATTAAATTAGTGACGAACACAGCAATGATAGATAAATACGTAATTCGAGATTTTGAAACAATAAATAGATTACAATTTAGGCTAAAGAAAGTTACATCTATGCATATTTTTCAGTGCTGATTTGTCTAAGTATTTATTTTAATCCATATAACTAAAGTTTTTTAATAAAATATTAAAGAAATAGACAGATAAATATTTTTGATTGTCAATAATACAACTAGAACAAGTGAGTACAACAGATAACACAGACTGTGTGATACCACAGATACTGGTTACTCTATGCACTGTGTTACTCACCATAGAGAGAATATGGTGAGTAACACAGTGCAAGTGATCACTATGTTAATAGGGTTAGCAGCGATGGCTTAGAAAGGATGCAAAGGGAATCAATAAAGAACCAATACAAGCGTGCCAATTTTTAATTTGGTAAATAATAATATAAAACTATAAATAATAAAATTTAATAAATTTAAATAAAGAAAGAGACTAAAAGGACTTCCATATTAATTAAAATATAAATAAAAAAATTATTAATTTATTAATTAAATTATAAATAATATATGTAGCTTATATTCCACGCAAATCCTAGCTATTTCATAATATAAAATTTTTAAATTTTACAATAACATGGACTATAAAATAAGTACTTATATTAATTTATTTTGTTCTACTTCGGTTAATCTAATTGATTAACAGGCTAGTAATGTAAATTCTTTTGAGTGCATTAAACTATAGTTGAAACTGTTGTACCGAATTAAACAGCATCTAAAAAAAACACGTATTTATTTCTAAAGAATATAAATGTATCTAAATCTATAAAAGAGAATTAGCCCTATTTGTAGTTATAACATTATTAAAATTAATTAATTTCAATTATAGTTTGCCAGAAATTTAAGCTTCATTAAACTGAAAAACTTAGATATGATTGATGTTTTGATTATTATGATTTGTTTGACATCTAAAATCTATGACAATTGAGTACTAAAATGTTCTTCTAACATTTAATGTCATCACAATATTTACCATTTTTTTTTTGGCATTTAGAATACTTTTACGACATCTCTTGTGAGTGAAAAATTATTCAGTGGCTGTATTTTTAAAGTAAGTGATAAGCAATTGACGAATAATTGATACTGCTTCTTCAAACTAATATGATTTTCTTTAGTATCTTTAACATAGCAGCAATAAAATTTTCAAAAGTATGATTTCAGTGTATCCATTGTGGAGATTAATTTAGATTTGCTGATGGGTCTGTATTGAATCTTTCGGTTAGTAAATATTTATCCATTATAAATTTACAAATACAATTCAGTGTATGCAAAACTGTTTATATTATGCTTCTACCTATAGTATTAATATCGATAGACATAAATAACCTAAAACTTCATTGTTGAAATTTTTAATTTCAATGATCATGTTGCATAGATTCTACAATTTTTTTGTAAGTAATAGTAGGTTATGCTACCGCTTGGATAGAGAACATAAATCCCAATCTCGAGAAATTGTTAATGTAATATAAATATTAAACCCTATACGAGTAAAAAAATTACGTATTAAAAAATAACAAACCTCTCATAAACCTGTTTAAGCTACTGAACTGTTTTATCTCTTTCTCTTGTGCTAATAATTTTCAATTTGAAAGAAAGTGATAAATATAATAGTTTTTTTTAGATTTGTATGGTCTTAATTTTTATGAATAAAGGTATTTTTTTATGAATAAATAAGAATAAGGACTAAAAACTTGTGTTCCACTTTTATTCTAAAATCTTTGAGGTTATCCGCGTAGAAAGAAAGTTTCACAAATACTGTTTATACTTAATCTATCGAGCACTATACTTAGTCTATTATAATGTTGCAAGTAAGGGGAATAAAAATTTCCAGATGTATGTGGATGTATTTTTAAATTTGATACTTTAATTTAGATAAATTTTAGTATAATAAACTAGTATATGAGAGACATTTCGGAAAAAAAAAATTGAGTGATCTTAATAAGAGCGATAGAAGCCAACCAATAATTTTTAGAAAATTTTTCTGCAGTTTTTGAGTTGTATATTTGAAGGTCAAATTTAAAAACTGGTATATTTTATATTTTGATACACTACCTAGGAATTATCTATTTCAATGGTATGGTACTCCTTCAAGCGTAAGAAGTAACGGGCAAAAAGTTAGTAATAAGTAAATATGAATCATGAAAATTTAATATGTAATGAACTCATTTATCAAAATAGTGGCTACTTTTAATGATTCTGAGAACGAATTCATATTTTTAAATGTACCATAAGTGTAATATATGAAAGTTATCAGTGAAACTGTCACATAACTTCTTTCCTATCCTTTTTGTTGTTTCAATATACATTTTTTTAGGGAGTAATAACAATTTGTTGTATCTATTCACGCACATTTGAAAAAAAACTGGTCTATTTTGCAAAGAAAGGCAAAGCGTTTGAAACTTTCCATCTGGGGGCAGGTACGGAATGTCACGATACGTGACGATTTGTGACAATGAGGAAAAAAGGATTGTTAGTAAAAGGTAGACCGCGCAGGTTGCTAGCTCTATTGCTAGCAATATATCTATCAGGACTAGGTCAACCTCCATGCGATCCCTGCTACACCTGGCGCTTAGCGCAGCCCGCAGGCAGGATTATAATTTTATTTTCATATGTATGTGACGATGAAGACAAGTCAGTTAGCTCATTATGATTCACATGGAATTAACCATAATTATTTCCGGGACGGACCCTGTGGAGGATGACCTAATAGGGTATATTGCTAGCAATAGAGTTGCTGGTACTTATTACTAAAAAATCCATTTCCCCCTGTGCGAGCGGAGTTACTATTTCATTTTTAACTACAAAAAATGTGACAATGAAGTCAGATTATTATTCCATCGTAACGAATTCACCAGGATAGGGTACACTATGATAGTTATCTAGAAAAGACTGCCCAGAGGTCAACCTGATAGGGACAGACTAGCAGTAGATCTATTAAGTCTTATTATTAATAATCCTAATCCTCTCCCGAAAAGTCTTGGTTTTTCTTTATGAAAATTGAATACTAATTTTAATTTTGTTACTTTAAGAAAGCATTTGTGAGGTATCATCATATTAACCATTACCTAACTATCCACTGTTTAACATAAGCTCTCATTGGAGGGGTTTTGCCAGTAGTTGCTATACTTCACAGGCGGTTCGGCAAATGCAGTTAGGTTTTGGAGATGCTTTAAGAGGGTCGCTGCTGCCCATTTCTCGCTCTCCTTAGTCAATTCTTACATTACCTACGGAAAAAAGGGGTGGCCTTTTCTATGCCGAGGCCACACGGCTAGTACTGAGATATGCTAGATAAATAAGAAGTCAGGTTATGCGTAGCTAGGGGGGAGAGCATTGAGGCGCAATGCCCTACCTTAAAAGGCCCAATACCCTACCTTAAAATGAAAAGTCTCAAGAAAATTAATCAAATTTGCTTTTTCCAAGTCACTTAATTATGGCTTTTGCTCCACCAAAAAGTTCTTTTGCTCTATACTAAATTTGGGTCTAGCTACGGTCCTGAGTCAGGACAATCAGCATTTTGTTTTGAATTCATAAGGAATTATTTACGACGGTTTTCGGGGATACTTTTAACCTTTTTAAATTTGATTGCCTAGAAATATCCAAATAATATTATATTTATAAAATAATATTATAGAAATCTATAATATCTCAATACTTCAATAGTGTTACTGGTGTTTTTTGGTACTTACAAATTGGATTTTTTGTCTAAATTGTACTTTATAGAAGAAGTATGAAGACTTTGTCAATCTCAAGCTCATAAGCGGTATCGAGTCCTTGAACTTGAGGTTAGAGTTTACCTTCCTTTGTTTCTTAAATTTAATCGCTTTAATAACTGACTGTAAACGATTATTTTAATTGAATAAATTCTTTTAGCCTGTTCTCTTTATAGATATCAAGATTTTTTTTTTATTCTAAATTAGACATTTCTGGTCACTTATCCACGTAATTTCCTTTATCACTATATTATTAATTAGTATAGTAATATAGTAATAGTATAAAAGTAGTATAATTCAACAGTGAAGAAATGGCCAGAGATTGGACTGTTCATGTGTATTTATTTTTTTTATAAGTCAGTTAATTAAATATTTCATACGGAATATCATGCAAATTGAATATAGTTAATAATATGCTATTATGAGTATATAGGTTAATATTTTGAGCCATAAGGGCCTGTGCAAACGGTTTTAGAGGAGTTTCTTCTCATTAACTTTCGAGCTAGGTTTTCTGAAGAGCTTACAACTTGGGACTCCTTAAAAAGTTCAGTTAGAAACGCGCACGTACTAAATATCCTTACTGCTGCGGGCGTTTAGGCAACAATATTATATTAAGTAATTTGATATACGGCAGCTATGCCAAACAATGGCATGTGACAAACAGCTTTGTTTACTATCAGACGGATCAAAATGACCAAAACGGATTTATCCAAAATCAACAAGACTACTTTTTACTATTTGGATAGCACTGAGTAAGCATTAACAACCTGTAGTGGCGCAGTACGTTGTCACAGAACGAATAATTGTTTATCCTAATGCGACGCAACGTGACAATTTCCGCAAAAAAGCGGGGAGCGATTGGATGTGTAATACACAGGACTCTAAAAAGTTGTGCACATTGCGCGAGATGTATACAAAACAATGGACAACTGTAGGCAGATGTTATGATTGAGAGGAACAAGCAATCATTTTATTAATTGGTTTATTAAAAAATAATAACTACTACGTTTTAATGGTAAGTGGTAAATGATGTCTGTAGACATGAATATTATAGAATTCATTGTGATTGTTATGTTGTACACCCCTTTCTCACTCCTATGTGGTTTCATATTATTTTATTTATCTATCACGGTTTCATTTTTTGGAGAATTTAGTAGGTATTAGTTCTTAGTGATATGACGATAGTGTAACAATTATTAAAACATATTCTACTTGTAAATTACGTATATTATTACAATGTCACGGCATGTAATATTTAAATAACGAGTCATATATTAAACTTATCACGTGAGGTCTACAAATTCTTTATTATAATTTATTCTAGGGGTAGTAAGTACGAGCAAAGGCGGTGGTTTATCTTTTAATTTGTTCCTTACATTTTTATTAAACCAATCCATGGCATTAGTTGCAAAGCGCCTAGCACTGTAAGTGGACGAAATGTTAAAAGACTCTGATGTTTTTAATAAGTTTGTATCTGGTATTTGTGTAAAATAAGTCAATTCTGTGATATTTTTTTTTATAGGAACAGAATATTTTGTTTTCAAAACTGATTTTATTAATGTTTCATATAATGTGGAGCTCGTTATTAATTTTCTTATACTTGGAAGTATGTTCATATTAGTTTCTTGCATTTTTGAATATAAATTGTACGATGTGGAATTTTTTGTTGGTATTGTAATTTCTTTTTGTTGGAATTGTTTATATCCGCTCTTTAGGTCAATATTTTGTAAATTAATAGTTTGTAATTTCAATTTATCAAATCTTTCTGCATCTTGGAAACTGTTCTGAAGTGAATCTTCTCTGTTATTTATAATAAATGATCTTATCCATGGTATAATAGGACCTACAGCGGTAAAGATCTTCTGTGGAAAATTACACAATTTTGAACTAAGTAAACCAGTTAGTCCTACAATTTGTCCATCTATCAGCAAAGGTAAACCGTTTGTGTATTGACAGTTGTTAAATACTCTGTTACACAACGTTCCAATAGAACAAATGTGATAACCTCTAAGAAGTAGGTGTTTTGAACATGACTGTATTACAGTTACCAAAAGGCGTGGTTTGTTGTCGTCCAGTATAGGAATTAAGGCTTTTAGACCAATAGCAGATATAACTTCCATAGCGCTCAGTTTTAGAGTAACTGCCTTAGGATGAGATGTAACCATAACTAACACTATATCATTAGTTTCCAGTATATGTTGTCCTTCAACATATTTTTTATAACGTGGATGTATAAATATGTTGTTTATTGGGATTTTCATATCCTTCATGAGTACCGTATCACAAGATTCTGCACAAAAAACTGAAGTCAATATAAAATTTGGGTATATTGTTCCGACGCAACATTTTTCAGATTTTATAAAATACGAACTGCATTTAAAGTGTACTATGGATAATAATGAAATATTATACGCTGTTCTAAAATTTAAATACAAATACACTACATATAAAAATACTTTATCAATATTCATGTTAGTTTTACGAAGACAATAAAACATATATAGGTACGTATTTTCATTCGCCTATAACTTTTTATTATGATTACGTTCTTAGAAATTTTGAAAGCAATAAATGTTAATATTATCGAGACATGTAAGTACTGAATGTGTAATAAGAACTAAAGTGTATTTACAATATTATAGTGCATGTAATTGATAAAATAGATATTATTGTTCAAATTATTTGGTATTTCAGTATCCTTACTGATATTGTTAACATGAAAATAAGTTTGTTTGTTACCTCTCGATGTTCAGTTCAAGTATTCGTCATTTATATATATGCATCCCCTTCTTCATGAAAACTAAAAAATCCTACAAACCTATGTTAACTATTGAAGTGTTTTGTCGATTTCTTGCAAATTGAGAATTTAGCATAAAAGAAAAGACAAATCATTTCAATACCTAAAATATTGTACATTTATGAAAAGTTTGAGGTTTTTATGAATAAGGAGTATTTCAAATGAAGAAGCAAGTATATAAGCTATTACTACTTTTATCCTGGTTAATTTATGTATTTTCATCATGCGGACTAAATCACAAATAAGAACTAGTATTATTGTTATATTTGTAAGCAATATACTTATTAAGCAATTGTAATGTTGTGATATAATACAATTACTTAATTAATATTATTATTTTTCTGGTAAATAGGAATAACACCTGAGTCCGAATCATGGGCGAAACAGTATACTCTGTTATGTCCATGGTACTGTTCATATTTATAGGCGACGGTTACTACTTTCCATCAGGTGGGCCGTCAGCTTGTTTGCCATTCTAAGTTGTATAAAAAAAAAAAAATTGGCCTCGACGACTTATTTTGATAAACATAAGAAGTGATAAGTAGTTTAACCCATATCGCTAATTCGTTAATATAATATAATAAATAATAAAATAACAAACATTCACGTCGCTACTAATAGCGATATAGGCTAGGAGGTCCGACTATACCCAAATAATAATATAATTTGTTTCGTAATACTCTATGATAAAACTGTACAATTCGGTAAAATTTAATTTTTAATGCGATATGACTATTCGGCGTTAAATAGTCATTATCATTTGCGTAATGCAGCTTCTTTAAATTCTCCAGTTGTAGATAATGGAGACTTGCAGCCATTACTAATAATATATTTTATTACTCTATTAGGTCGACTTCCGTGCGGTACCTTTGAAGTCATCGTTGTTCATTACTGGTGAATTAATCACGATGGACTAATTGATCGTACTTCTTAATAGTCATTATTCACTGGTAACTCTCCACCATATAGCAATAGCGCAAGCGGAGTTATCATTACATTTTCATTCCATAAAAAAACCACAGACATAATAATATTCTTATGTTCGTTCGTATTCGCCCGAGTAAATGAGGAAGGTGCGTACAGTGTAGGCGTATAGTTCACATATCTAAAATGGTAGACTGTAAATTATTTATATTATATTTCCGCGTTTTGTTGGTGACTATATAACCGATAATAATATAGTAAAAATTTTAAGATTTTTTTTGTAATATATTTTGATGTTATCTGTACCTGTAGAATTTCACAAACTTTTTGTATTAGAGTTTAGTTTGTGTTGAAGCCAATCAGAAACATAGCTTAGCGCACGATTAGAAGCACAAACATAATGTGAGTAGTGCTTTTACACTGTGACATGTAATGTGGCATATAACAGACTGTGGAAAACACCAGGCTTATTAATGTATTGATTAGGATGATGGAAGATTTTATAAATCTAACCCAATATGTTGAACTTTGATGATAAAGTATCACAATTATTTTCTTTAGAGTTCTTTAAAATAACTGCTGTCATTACTTTTTATTTTTTTAAACATTAATTCCGTTAACGTCAAGTTATACATACACAGAAATACCACGTATATGTGGTCTGTACTTAATAAGAATTCATTTAGACTGTACAAAGAAACGTATTTTCTAAATGAACATAGAACTCGTTGATTATGTGGTGACTGATGGTGCGTTGATGCGTTCACAACGCACAAGCGGTTAAGTAAATACGGCGTTTGGCGCCGGCGTCATGCGCAGAATTCCACACGCGTTTCTCCAAAGTGCATCCATGAATATCCACTCAATAAATGGGTAAGCGTAATGCTCGATATTATGCTATCACGCGCCACTACCCCAAAATAGAGGCAATCCATTCATAAACAATGCACATAATAAATGAAATACTATTGGCGCCACCGCATTACTAACTAAATTAACCACTCCAAACAACGATATTCTGGTTCGCTCAATTGAAAGCATGTAACTCGATAAATCAAGATAACGTCATGAAGTTATGCGGATGGGCCTGCTATTAAAATGCCAATAATGTGCCAACATCAATCGTTATGGGGATTTCCGATGCTAAATAATCAGCTGTTGTTTGTGTGTGTATAGGAACTGGCACATATAATTTCATACAACCGTCATTATAATTTCTTTATCAGAATTTGGACGTCAGCTAAAGTTGTTGAGTGAATTATATTAACAAAGATCTAAAATATCTTCATTTTAGATTCAACTAAGATTGTATTGTGTAATTTTATATTTTAGACATCAATATTGTCTTTTCCACTTGCTCTATCACCGTCACTGTCTCCGCAAATTAAAGTTCCATCCTCACCATCTGGATGAGTAGTAGTTTTTTACCGTGTGTTTCTGTACATACATTTTTCTGCGCACAACTAAAGCATGAAATCGACTCCTAGCAGCTTTATTTACAAACAGATATGACATTGAAACCTTCAAGAAAAAAACATATTTTTAATAGTTCATTTTAAACTTTTGCGTTGTTTAAATATATTTTAAGTATACAATCGGGACTTAACGCGATGTAAAAACTTTTACAGATAAATAGTACCTACATACCTGCTAATAAAAAAAGCAGGTATATAATTTATTATTGGGTATTTAAAACATATTTCTTTCTAAAATACAGACAATACACCTGCGACATCTCAAATATCATATTTACCCGAAAGGGTACATATGGGCAGCATAAATTACTTATCATCAGTTGAACTGCATACTGGCTTGCTCTCTATTGTTACATAAACACATCGTGCATATGTGTTTTTTTTTGTTTTGATCCAGTTTTGGTCGGATAAATAATATTAACAGTATTTAGATGGACTTCACTCATAAGGATTAAGAACCCAGTAAGCACTTAGATGTCTTGTACTATTACTTGTTTGATATAAAATACGATAACTCAGTTAATCCCATTCATACAAAAAGTATTTGATTATATTCAGACTGAATATATACTGAATGATATTTGGATTGCTTATATCCCATTTTAATATATATGATGCTTTATTTGTATATGCTAGAGTATACTGATGGATATTGGATATCGGTTATATGTAAGTGTTACTGTTAAGTAGGTATAAGTGATTTTTTAATTCTTATGTTTGTTTGTGGTCATTATTACTATCTTCATATAACTATAATAATTATATCTAGTCCTTTATTTGAAGTGTCGCTATAATGAAATAATAAAAAGTAGAATAGTAATTCTGTTTGTTATGAAATGATAATAGTAATTATAATCATATTATACTTACCTTTTGTTTAATCCATATATTATTTTTATGACACTGACACTTTTATATTGTAACTATACAGGTACTATTCTTAATTTACGTAACTATATTAATAATGATTTTAATAAAATAATGTATGTAGATGCATACTTAATAATCATTAGTATTAAGTTATTTACAATTGATCTACAATACAAACATAAATTTATAATATTAAAGGCTGTGGTAGACACGTGACTGTTAGATACTGTGTATATAAAAATAATTGATACAGGTAATAAATGTATATTTTAATTTGTAAAAATTATACTTTGAATTTAGGAATACCATAAGTTTCATGAGGTACACCTTGACTAGTAGGTACTGTGCTTAAATTATCATAGTTGGCATTAGCGTTAGAGTCGACAACACCCGATGAAGTTACGCTACTGGATGCACTGTTATCGTATCCATTACTGACTGCAGAGCTGGTTGTAGTTCCAGTTGAAGCTAAAGCACTCGTGTGACTACCAATTCCCAAGGATGATGGACCAAAGACTGGTATAGCTTGGTTTTGTGTATCCACTGATCCAAAGGTTGATGATCCAAAGTCAGGTGTGACTTGACTTTGAAGTGATTCGTTGTTTAATGCCAAAGAAAAGGATTCAGTACCAGTTCCGGCATTATTTTGATTATTTGTTGATCCGCTGACAATTTCAAAAGACTGGGAACCAAAACCTGTTGATATTCCAGATAAACCGCTATCAAGCCCTAAAGTTTGAACTCCAGCAGGAGTGACAGTAGCTTGGCCAGTTTGACTGGAAAACGTCTCAGAAATACCCTTAGATGAATCTGAGGTACTTGGATTCAAAAAGCTGACTGATTGTCCTTTATTGTAATCTTTTACGATATTGTCAATTACAGTTTGAGAATCTTCTTTATTATTATATTTTACAAAGAATACTTCAGGTTTTGCAGGCGGCTTCTGATCAACTTTAGGTATGACAACGTCTTGTTGAATATTTTCAGGTTTCTTAACGAGGACGTAAACAATAGTTTTTTCTTCATTTTGCTGTTGAATTGGAACTACTTGAGGAGCGCTTTGTTGTACAGAAGGGGTTTTAATAAAAATAATTTTGTAATGTTTCTGTGGGGGAGGTAACACGATCGGTTTGCGGAATTTTGGGGGTTCATCGTCTTCAGGCGCTGCATGGACATAAAAATGTTTGAATACTTGCGCAGGCTGCTGTTGCACTTGATAAGATTGCTGATATTTTTGTTGCGAATTTTGAGATTGACCGGACTGATAATATTGATTATTGAACGTTTGGAATCCTTTATTAGCATCTCCAGGATAAGTTTGTAGTGAGCTACTACTTGTTAATCCATTGTGATAATAGTTATTTGCCAGTAAATTAACGGGTTGGTAACCACCACTACCTCTGTAACCACTTTCGCTTTGGAATTTGTTGAATGTGTTGTAATGGCCGTTAGTAAGTCCTAAATTATTAGATCCTTGTCCTTTGTAATAATTACTGGTGGCGTCTATATATCCAGAGCTGTATTGACCAGAACCACTATTAACTTGGTATGAAGGTATTCCATGTGATGGTGATAAGTAAGATGGAGATTCGCCAGTAGATATTGCACTGAAGCCGGAATTTTGAGGTCGCTTATAATGATATCCTAAACTCACATCAGCAGACACAAGCTGCTGTAGTCCAACTGCTATCACCTGAAAAAAACAAAATTTCGTTCTTTAGTTTATTTGTGTTAAAAAAAAAATTAAACGATTTACAATTTCTGCTTTATTCTTATTTTATTTATTTTTAGACTATAAATTTAAGAAGTAAATTAAGTGATGATTATTTATATATGTTAATAGCTAAATATAATAATAACCGTGTGGTTCCGGCATAAAATGGGCTACCCCTATCTTTCCTGTGGGTGTTGTAAGAGGTGACTAAAGGGACTTAATGGTCGAAATACGGACAGCAGAGTCTCTTTTAAAAAATTATCAAAGCATAACTGCGGTTGCCAATTCACCTAAGTTAAACGTGACAAGTACTGGCGCAACCCTACAAGCAGTAGGCCTATGTTCAGCAGTAGACAGTTAACGGCTGATATGATGATGATCTTGTTAGTTATGTAAATCATTATTTAAGACAAATATTTTCGCCTTAATTGAATAATTATGCAATTTAATATGTTTATTATAATGTTTTTAACAATAATTTAAATTTAAACCAGTTATAGTTTCTTATTGGAAAATAATGTTATCCCCAATCAAATAATTAATAAATTTTTAAATAAAAATTACCGCTATTCGAATTATTAGAGATTATTAAGCAGTGAATCAAATAATCTGAAATTCTATATTTTTATGTAAAATCAAACAACAATAGAGCTGCAGGCATAAGCAAACAACCAAGTAAACTAGGTTTTATTTGTCAACTAGTGTCTCATATCGGCTAGCATTTAGTATTTTTTACTTAATTTAGTTTACAGAGAGTTAGGTATTCTATGAAATATTATATGTAATATAGGTATGCCTGTGTTTTCTATTCTTGTATCAAATTTGATACACAGCAGCTTTCATAGGGACAGCTGGACCGGTCGGATCGTTGACCGTCAATACCAAGAAATGTTGCAATGCGTGAACGCGTTCCAGTGAAATTAGATCTAGTGACTTCATAATATGTATGTGACGCAATATTTTAATGTATATAGGCGAACCGGCAAAGAAGTTGTACGGTTCTAAGTGATTTTCTAAACTTTACAAATATTATGTAGGTAATATTCGTATATTCCATTTAGAAAATTTTTTTTGGCTATTTACAATACACATGTATAAAAAATTGGCAATGATTTCACGTACTATATGTATATATATATATATATATATATATATATATATATATATATATATATATATATATATATATATATTCTGTTAAAATCTGTCAGTCTGATTAAATTCTTGTTAAATATTTAATTTAATTATACGTATCAAAATTTATGTATAAATTATTAATATTATACGTATCGAAATTATCAATTCTAGACATTCTTGTTATTTGCAAATATATTACACAGAATTTTTTTTATACAACTTAGAATGGCAAACAAGCTGACGGCCCGCCTTATGGAAAGTGGTAACCGTCGCCTATAGACATGAGCAGTACCATGGATATAACAGAGTATACTGTTTCGCCAATGATACCCCCCATTGCGTTGCCATTCCTGAGGACTGAGTCCTCAGTGTTATTCCTCTGTACCCAGTAAATTCACGCCATATCCCACCCTTCAAACCGAAACACAGCCATGCGAACACAACTGCTTCACGGTTGAAACACGAATGGGACAGAGGTACCCAAAACAAAACTTCAATAAGTATTTTTATATTAATATTTTATTTAACTGATAAATAATAATATTCTAATCCGTTGCTACAAGTCATTGAAGAAGAAAGAGACAAATTGTAAATATTATGGGATGACACAATGCCTATATCTTATGCATCGTTTATCTAATCGCATATAATGACGGGTTGTTTGATAAGTGAATAGAAAGCTTAAGGGCAAGGTCAGCTCCCACGCGTATAGCCTGTCGCGGTACCCGCGTGCGACCGATTTGTTCATTTCGGAACACCGCATCGGTTGCGCAATACTGAGTCTCATACTTTGAGTTAACGTGAGTGCGATGAACTTGAACTGTCCATACTTCCGTATACAATCATGTAGGTATCCGCTGCACGGGCCCATCTAAAAATTTTAACGATTTTATCGATACAATGAAAGGTTGACGCAATCGAAGAGTGCGCCGTTAAATTGCATCAACTTATCATATTATCGATGTAATTAGATGTGCTGTTACTTACAATAAAGTGTCTCGAAAATAATATAACATAATTCACAATTTACATAACCACAGTATGAAAATTAACATTTGTAGTTGTATAAAATATAAAAGAATGATTTGATTAATGAGTCAAAGAAATAAAATTTGCTATCACGCGGTTATTAGATGGATGTTATGTGGGTGAATGATGTTACGTTACTGTTTATGTAAATAGTTGGTCACAATACTGTAACAAGGGACCATTATTAATTTATCGCAGTTAAGAGGCGAATTGGTAACTAATTCGTTGCGTTGCAAAAATATTATTAAAGGCGATCTAGAAAATGATATGATAACATGACGACAAGAGATTTTATAACGAAATAATTTAAATTGGTATTTTATAATTGATGTATATTTTAAAAATAATAATAACAATTTATTTAATTAATAATATAAAAATGTTAACTATGGGTATATACCTGAAAATAAAGAGATTTATTATTATTATTATTATATTGCCTAGTCAGTTTTGCACCTGCATGGTACAACGTAAAACAATTATTTATAATTATTATATCAAGGAATAGTAATCAGAAATTTTCTCATCTTATCTTATTAGTATGAATTCTAACTACGTGATGTCTGTGCATGATAGATATTTAAGAAAAAATGTTATGGAAGGTTTTAATAAGACTAATAAATGAGAAAACAATATTTTTTTGGAATTTCGTCTGTCTGTATGTTTGTCCCAGCATCATGCAAAAACTACTGCACCAAATAGGATATGATTTCATTATTTTGTTTGTCAAGGTCTAATTTAAAATTTTATCTATGTTTCACAACCACTATGCGTATGTGATTCGAGTTATGAATTTGGATGTAACAAGTCTCTTTTCATTGGCTCTTTTTGAGTTTAACGAAGACAGAGTCAAATTCTAAAGACCTTGAATAAGTATATTACATAATTATTTAGGGACTGTATTGATGCAATCTATTTGAGATCTCAAAATTTTACTATTACTTTCCGCAAATGATACTGTACCTAACTTTTAAGTTTCATTTCGGTGACGAATGTTCTCCGTAACCTTCATTAGACATATAAATTTTTCGGTAGCTTTTGAAATACTTACCTCATTTCATATATGTATTTAATCTGCGATATTAAAACATTGTGTGGCAATTTAAATTTTTGATCTACTTTCCGGTGATGCAAACTTCATTAATTTGTTATAAATGCGGTAGGGTCGCCTCCTATGTTGAAATAAAACATATCGTATCTAAATGTGGGCAAGTCAAGTTTCTCGATCACATTACGATAACAAAAATATTTAACTATAGATGTGATATCTAAGAATCTCAAAATTGTTTATAGTCTTAAATATTTTTTTTATAAACTACTTAGCATTTTGCCTGCTACTTTGCACCCATGGATTTCAGAAATAGAAATACGTGTACGATCATAAGACCACTTTTAGATGGCATATCAAGATAAACCATAGACGTACACCAGCTTTAAAGAACACAATTGATCGATACGTAATGCCGGAACAAATATATGTATATATGTATATATATATATATATATATATATATATATATATATATATATAAATATTTAAATATCTCCCATGTATAAATATTGGTCAGATACAATTTTACTAGGTTAGTGATATTATTATTTATTTTGTAAATTACTATTACTTTTTACAAACGATTTGAACTTATTGTCATAATCAAATTATATATAATTTATTTGTGAAAACCTGTTATTGGCTTTTTATCTGTATTGTTTTTTTTTTATTATAAAATTTTCTAGCTGTTGTTTTTTTAATAAAAATGAAATAAAGAAATATAATTTAAAAGATCACAATGAACTACTAATGTTACTCCGATTTAAATAATATTATTTAAATCGGATAAAACGGATAAAATAAATATAAATTTATATTAAAAGAACTTAATAATGAAATGTTTTGAATAGTAAAGATCTGTCATCAATCTAGTACACAGATGTATTATAATAAAAAAAAAATTCGGAAATAGCAATTACGACTGCTACGACATATATATTGAGTGTTATCAATGTTGTTCAAGTCAATAGGTGAAAGCTATCTTTTATATCAATTGACACCGTTAGTGAAACTACAAAGGTCTTTATGACAAATTAAATCGTGAATCATTACTTGGTACTATGCATGTGTAATTTATCAACATTATCATCATATCAGCCTTTAACTATCCACTACTGATTATGGGCCTTCTTATAAAAGGGGTTTTACTAGTAGTTGCCACGCTTAGCAAGCAGGTTGGCAACCGCAGTTAGGCTTTGGTGATGTTTTAAGAGGGAGGCTACTACCATTTCCTTGTTCATTAAGTTCCCTTATTTGGCACTTACGATACCCACGGGAAAGGAAGAGTGGTTCTTATTATTTTCATTACATGAATTTAAATCCAAAAAATAACAATATTAAATTATTATTCATTACTGAAATAATAGTGTTTTAGTTACAGTTAATTATGTAGATAGCTCGGCTGCAAATAATCTATTCGTAAGCCAACTATATAATAAACAGTACACACCCATATATAAAACATTGCCAAAATAAAGCATGAATATTATTTAGAAGTGCTACAGAATAAATAATTAATTATTCCAAATTAACCTCTAAAGTGACAAAATTATGAAAGTTTGTTGATGTAAAAATATAATGTCATTAACATAATGAAGGTCTTATGATGTGCGCTAGTTTATTGCATGATATACAATATTTATAGAATAAATATAATATCTTTTCGAAAGTATATATTTGAAACAAATTATTAGAATACCTATCAATACACAAAGGAACCGACGAAAGGACAAGTATTTCTCAAAAATATGTTATACAGATATGCCACTTTTACAGCTGTAAACAATAGATCTATAAGGTCTTAAATTTTTTTCAAGATTATTGATAAACAACATTTAAAATAAAAACCCTATGTTACCTGTAGGTACACAGTTACTGAAGTTATGTGATAAACTATTACTGATAAAACGTTATTATTATTCAAAATATATTTATACTTGAGAGATTTGACATTGTCAAATAAATTGAATTCCATAATTATTCAAAATGATTATAGATTACATAAAATATAGACAATGTCTAAATTAGATCTCCTATAGTTTAAAAAACTATCGTAAACATACCTCCTACATAATTACACACATACTTAATTACCTATACTCACACATACAAAACTCACACTCGACCTCAACATTAACATTATATATTATTATGCATAAAATTAGTTGACCTGACATCTGTTGTCCTATCCAAATTACTACGAATAAAAAATTTGCTATATCGGGCCAGCCGTTCTGAAGTGATACGCATATCAACCAGTAACATTTTATTTCCATTAATATAAATTAAGTATACTGGTACACTTTCAAATTTAATCTTTTTGATATTTTTTTCTATTACTTCATAACATATAAATATGAATTAATAGGTAAGTCAAATTTGAATACCCAAGGGGCCTAGAGCTAATATCCAGAAGCCCTGAAATATATATTATGATATATAATACAGACTTAAGCTTAGTTTAGTTATCTTTTTTGTTTGTATATATCATGCATCTTACGATACTTGTTATATAGTCAGGAAGAAAGATTTATAGTAATGAAATCAAATGGCCCCACTGCTATCAATATATCATATCAGACCAACCTCCACCTGGTCTTTCTGAAAATCATCGTGAGTAAATCCTGGTAAATTCATCACAACGGGTCAACTGACTTGGATCTACGTCTTTCACACGGTAAATCCGCCAGCATATACCATTAACGTAGGCAGGGTTATCATTTCATTTACGTTCTCAAAAATAATTAATAGAGAATATTAGCCTATATATCTGCTCTCCATGCATTCTTCCCTGGAAACCATTATGGTGAATTCGTCACGATGTACCAATTGACCTAATTTCACCTTCATCTACTCGTATCATCCCTGATTAAGACCTCACAAAGTACCTTGATAACACAGGGGGATTACTATCCCATAATTATACATAAAAAACATGTACTATAATTTGTACAGATAAAATCTTAAGGGCAAGTTGCAAATTAAATATTTGCACGCCACACGGTTGAATGTAGTCTTTTTTATTATTAAATACTTCTAATGTAATTACCTGTATTCAAGCAAATAAAGCTACCAATCATTCATTTATTCATTCATGTACTATTTATTATTAATTAAGGCGAGAAAAGAAACGGTATAATTATTACATTCAATTTTAATTTAACTAAAGTTTTACAACTTGTTACTTCTATCAGTTTATAAGAATACTTGGAATCTAGTGTTATCAGTTTCATTTCTATTATATGTATTTGTGATCGTAAAATATACACACGTGATATAATTGGAAGTGCAATGTACTTTTTTCGTAAATACTGTTTGCACTATTGTTGTAACTAAATGCCTGTATTCAGTATACCACGATGCTTACCAGATAAAGGCTCAGTCGGAAAGCGCTTGGCTCCAGTCTAGCATTTTTAAAATAAAATCCTAACCTATAGTTTAGTTTTTTTTAAATTCACATTAGAATTAAAAAAATTACTTGCTGTCTGTTCCGAATTGTATGTAAAGCCAAAGTTACACTATTGTTTAATTTTTTAATATTATTTTTCCATCCTAACATTTTAGCGGTTTCTTTATGCCAAATTTTAATGACTTGATAAACTAATAGATTTACATGATAAAATAATAGAGAATTAAGAATATACTAAAAAAAAAAATAGTTAGCCCCTCTTTATCAACCCTTTCACATTTCAACTTGGTTTTCATTAAGCATGCACAATACACTCATAATTTCACGAAAATCACAGAATATAACACTATGTTTTTAATAATTATTTACTTAAGTAAATTATTTAATAACCACATAATGTCTCTATAATCTTACTAGTAGTAAATGTAATTCGCAGAGCTTAAAACCAATCGCGAACGTAGATTTAATAAAATTTATGAAATTGAGTAAAAGTTTCAGCAGTATCTATTATCCCGAGAAACATATTAAAGACAAATTTGTACGTACCAAAAGCGCGTACATTTTGAACGTGACCGCAGTTCGACGCTCCTACGACGAACTTGGAAACAAGTGATGCGGCAAGTGTCGCGATAGCCCCTCAACAGCTTCTTATATACCAACAAGAGATGGACCGTATATTTGTGACAACGGGTTCATAAAGAACAATTAAATATTCACCTACGTACTTTTTGTCACAAGTTTAAATCTAGTGCTACATTTTTATTTTATTTAGCGCAATTTAGTGCTAGATTATAATACTAAAAAATAAAAGATGGTTTACGAGTATGTGTATTAACAATATTTCGCGAAGTTTATGTAGCTTTTAATATTAAATATTCTATTTATGCGACATTTTTTTAAGCCAAATATGTCTATAGAGTCATGTATTTATTTTTGAGTTCTAAGTACGACTGTCGTATAATTATATATATTTCAGTATAGATAGGTACATATTAATTTAATAATTTCATTGCAGTTATTATTTTTTTCATAATAAAAAGAGATTTTGTTTTTCATAGATGAACAGTAGCTTCAATAAATTAATATGGACCTAACACGGGAGCATTCTCTGTAGATTACAAAATAAATTGTCATATTTGATTCAAAATTAGAGAAGATAGAACATCAACACAATAAAACACAAGCTTTGAATACGCTACCTGGAAGTTATTTTCAGCACAGCGACAATAAACTGCGAAATAAATTATTAATTTATTGACATGTTAAGTATCGATCTATGTGCATATAATATGGAGAGGAATATAGAATGTTAACGAATAATTTTAAAATATAAGGAAATACCCATTGAAATGTCATCAGTAGACCAAATTATAGTGAATTTTTTTATATAAAATATGGTTTAAAATTTAAAAAGGCAATGAACTTTATTCGGTTTGTATTTATCTTATGGATTTTCACACATTTATATAGGTAAGTAGGTACCATCAGAATTATAGAGTTTGGTCATTATTATTTTAGAAGACGAATCTACAATTATGTAAACATATGTAGTTTACCTATTTTAAACTTTATAACTGCAACTACAAGTTTTAAATGTAAAAAAATATTTTTGATATTTCCTGGTTTTCCATTCTCGTTGGTATGATAATGAAATAAGATATATGACTTAATTATAATAAAGTGAATATTTGAAAGTCAATATTTATATTTTTTGACTATTAATTTAGTGATTAGTTTAAAGGGTAACAGTAATGTTTACAATTAATAATAATTTTAGTTTAAAGAATATTTATTTTACCAGAGGAAAACTGTATACAGAAGTTTTTTGCATGTGTTCTACTCGTATTTCTGTCCCAAAGATAGGATATAATGTAAAATTATAGGGTACCCAGGCATAACATCTTAATCATCACAGGCTTCACAATATATTCTGGAAAGCCCATGGTGTCTTTACGTTTATTAGCGAGGGTTATTACTTGCTGACAGGCGGGCTGTTTGCTTGTTTATCATTCAATACTGTATTAAAAAAATTCCGAAAAAGTTAGCGAATTGTCTGTATCAATTTAAAATTAGAATGAAGCCAGACAGAGTCACTGACTAATAATACAATAACTTATAACATAAAATAACTTATGTTGATTACGACGACTCGACATCTAAAATGTCTGTGGATCCGGTTTTTAGTTTATTATAAAATAGTTAACAAAAATCATGGATACTCATTAGGTTTTATATGTTATCGGATCTATGTCTATTTATGTAATTTGAATAAAAATCATAATATGTAATCTTTGTGTATATTCAAGTATAAATTTATTTAAATCTACAAAGAGAGCTGCATTATATTTCAACTGTAATACAATTAAATAAATATATTTTTAAATATATTTTCTGCCTTGTTCATAACATCCGCTTGTCAAAATTTCTTTTTGTCCGGGATATAATATTTTATCATTATTGCTGGATTAGTAAATAATACACATAAACCTTAATTCTTATGGAATTCATCACTAACATAGTTTCATTCTAAAATCTTGTTGTTTATAACTTGTTAAAAGGTTTGTCGTAATCGTCATTTCTGTAATCATCCTTTTTGTATTTTTATGATATAAGTACTTAAGATTATATCAGGATCCAACTATACTTAGTAAAATAGAAGTTTTGCAGTATCTTTAATCGATGATAATGGAATGGTAATCCCGCCTGGGCAAAGGGTATACGTTGACAAGGCACCAGTGAGAAATGATAGGTGAGAATGGAAATACAGATCAATTAGCCTATTGTGATGAATGCACCTAGAATTTAGCACGATGTTTTCCAGAGGGACCACGTGGAGGTCGACCTGCCAGTGTATATTGTTAATAATGGAGTTCGTAGTCCGCATTACTAACAATCTTTAACAAGTTTTGTAGTATGGTCCCGGCGTAGAATGGGCTATCTCTTCCTTTTCCGTGGGTGTCGTAAGAGGCGACTAAGGGGAATTTAATGATCGAGGGATGAGTAACAACGTCCCTCTTAAAACATTACTAAAGCCCAACTGCAGTTGCTAATCCCCATGCCAAACATGGCAGCTACTAGTAAAAACTTTCCAATAGGGGAGGCCTATGTTCAGCAATGGACGGTTGATGTCTGATATGGTAAGACAAAAACATTATCGGACTATATAAGGGAAATTCTTCCACATATAATCCATACGCGTCTTTCTATAGAAAATTTATTATTGTGTTATAAATTTCATCTAGGGCTGATTAATAATACCAAATTCAACACGAACATACCACTTTATAGAGATTATTATTCTATGAATATTAACCATGTCTAATAAAATATTATAATTAATAAGAATAAGAGACGAATCTCTAACATCGCCACAAATAGGTAGGTATTAATGTGGTTACTCTGAAAACTAGTTAGGTATCCGGGTAGACAATCTTTGTCATCATTTTGTCTATATGCAAACTAATACATACTATACATAGTACTTCTAATTTAGAAACAAATATTCTGTAAATGAACTATAAGCGATGACTGTCAGTTGATTTATATAATAATGGCTGCACTGTTTACCTATTTTATTGCAAATTTAATTAATTATTTTACTATTAATACTTCGCAATCATAAATAAATAAAATAATCAGTAGATACCTATATACATGGCCACAAGCTGTTTTGTTTTTTTTTAACACAGGGGGCAAAGGAGCATGTGATTCACCTGCTGATAAGTGACTACCGCCACCCATAAGCACTCTCAACACCAGAGGAATGGCGGATGTGCTGCCGGCCTTTTTAAATATATATAAATATAAACATATATAAATGCTCGTTTCCAAGTAATAAAATAAACAGGGACTGAAAAGTCTATATATTTTTCTGGAAATTATAATTTAAGAGTTTATATCATCCAGTTTAACGAAGTTTTACATTAATTTAATATGCTTACCTATATAGGTAGTGATGCTATGCCTAAGAAATAAAAACTTGCAGCCATTGTTTGAAGACAATCTTCAATCGTAGTAGAACACTAATTGCCTTGCATTACATACATAGTGGAGTCAATTCTAGAGCACAATTATTTATCTCTTAAGTTAAAATATTCATTTTATAATAGAGCGAAATAATTATACTAAGTACCAGTATAAACTAAACTTTAGTATAATTGCACCAGAGCTTTATATTTAATATTCGATAGTTTTTTAGAAATAAGTTTAGAGATACCTTTACCTCAGAATTAACATCCATATATGCGAAATATCCATTTATAGTTTATATCTTCCCACCAGCCTTTAATTGCCCACTGCTGGATGTTTTGCCAGTAGTAGCCCCGCTTCGCAGGCGGGTTGGCAACCGCAGTCATCTTTTACGAAACCCACGGGAAAGATAGCCAATTTTATGCTGGTATCACACTTCCGCGATGGTCATAGTTCTTTAGATATACCGGTTATTGCTTTTTGCTTTTATTTTTTTTTAAATATATTTTAAATACTCATAATTTTTTATTTACTTTAGATCAGAGAAGCAAAGATAGCCCATAATCTGTGATTTTATAATATAGGAAAATAAAACAATTCATTCCATACTACATATTATTATATATTTAATCTCTTTTTATATATTGCCATGTAACTGTTGAATATTTGAGTACCCGTGTTTTCATGAAGGCCAATAAGCTAGTCCATCACGAACATTAGTGCATGTTATACGGTATAAAGTACTATATTCTGAGGTAAAGTATAGGATCCTTCAAAATACAAAATCCATAATGTCTAAAATTCTAAATCTATCTGTCTGACAAATTTAATACCAAAAACGGTTTCCACCATTTAAGCACTTAACACACAGTTTCTTTATCAAAATTTATACGTGTTAAGGCGTTTTATTAGTAACGCAGGATTTCAAAATTGCTGTCCTATTTAATAAGGAGGAATAATAAAATATTCCCCATATTATTATTATTATTATTGGTCGTAGTGAATGTTGTATTTTAATTAAAATGTGCTGAACAAAATATGCCCATATTTTGTTCAACACATTTTAATTAACTTGCAGTTTGTTAACGTTGTTTTATTAAACTTGTTGCTTTAGATCGATGTACAAAGTGGTGCAATAATAAATACATAATAAGTATGTAAATAATTGCATAGATATTTATTAATAAATTTATTTGTGTTCCGTGGTTTAGCTTGTTTTAATTTTTTTTTACTATTCGTAATTATTCATTAATTAATTGCATCCTGAAATATTAATAACGTAAGTGACTTGGAATTTACATAGCTAATGTACTGAAAGTATAATTAATATATTAAAAAGAGGTAACCATAATAAATATCATTACGCTATCTTTTTTTATCTTCCAAACTGACGCCAAGCCTTGGATTGATAAAAAACAGTGTAATACTATTACGAGTGAAAGCTTAATTTTCACGGTAATTGCGACATTTTTATTATTTTCTTTTCAGTATTGTTATTTTTTCTTTTTGTTAAGCGTTAGAACGTTTGCTTAATTACTCTTTTGTGTATTTTATTTTTGTTTCTCTTTTTTTCTCTTAATTTTACAATTATATTATGTGTGACGTGTATTTCAATAAAATAAATATTATTTATTTCATTTTAACAGCAACACGAAAAACAAGAAGATCTGTAAGCATTTATATAAAAGGTTGATTGTAGAGCTTATACCTTCTTCAAAATGTAAGTTGTACCTACAACTTATTGCTGTTTGATATTTAGTAGGCTCCGTAAGTAGAAAATATAACTTAAGAATAGTAATTATTACTTATATAATGTTATTTGTCTTTGTTACGGTACACACCAAATAGGTACATAGTTTAAATATGGCAAGCTCTTTTCAAATTAATATTAAAAAATTAGTGAGCATTATTTGATCTTACACAATACATAAGTATTATTATTACATGTTTTTACTAAAACAATGACAATAAATTTCGTAAGTAACGGAGCAATTGGTAACTGTTTCTCTTTAAATCAAAGACTATGTTATTACTATATATGTTATTACTTGACTTCGAGTAACCGTATTGTTCGATCATCTGGATTTACAATTTGATGTCGCTTCTCTTTCAGTTTTTTATCGTCTATATAATGTGTATAGCTAATCACCTTCCTACTTTTTTTAATGGATGACAATGGAATAGTAACTCTACCTCCACTATTGACATACATTGGCGAAGCACCAGTGAGAGATGATAGGTGAGGTTGAAAGCAGGTTAGTTAATCCAGAGGGAGACTTTGTACAAAAGTCGATTGCTTGGGTATCTCTGTCCTATTCGTGTTTCAACCGTGAAGCAGTTGTGTTTGCATGGCTGTGTTTCGGTTTGAAGGGCATATGGCGTGAATTTACTGGGTACAGAGGAGTAACACCTGAGTCCTCAGGAATGCAAACGCATGGGGAATATCATGGGCGAAACAGTATACTCTGTTATGTCCATGGTATTGCTCATGTCTATAGACGACGGTTACTATTTTACATTAGATGGGCCGTCAGCTTGTTTACCATTCTAAGTTGTATAAAAAAAATCCCTCGGGATGAATAGACTTGGAACTTAGCATGATGGTTTCCAGGGGGGACCACGTGGAGTTCGACATGGTTGGATATATTGTTAGTAATAGGGCCTTTAATCACCATCACTAACGATCCCTCCTTCCCCCTCCCCATCACTTTCCTCTTACCTTACTTCTCATCTAAGAGTTGGAGTTCACCTACACTTGGCTTGTGTGGGATACTGCCGCTGTTTGTTTGTTGTCATTGCACTTATTTCTTCTTTACGAATAACATGTTGGTTATACAATCAGCTTCTCTCTGAGAGTTTCATACAATATGGTACTCTTCGACAGTCATGCCTGCAGTTTTTTATAAATCGGGCAATGCACTAAATCTCTTGCACTTCATTGGAGATGATAGCTATTACTCATCAAGTGAACCGTCAGCTCGTTTGCCTCCATAATAATGAAAGAAAATTTTTAAACCTTAAAAAGCAAAAATAAGATTAACATTTACTTTTTAGAGGCAAGTTATATTATATCTATATTGTCTATTATATTACATTTTCTCGTATTAAATTTAAAAGTACCTATATAAATTTTTCCTTAAACGTGCACGAGCTCTAGTGGCGAATATTTATTTGTTTATTTTTGATACCACAAAGGTAGCAAACAAGCATACAACCCGGGTAATGGTAAACGATCAATGTAGTCATCTATATTTATATTTTATTACATTTATATTTAATAATCAATTATCGATAGTTTCGCAGAAAATTTTAGCCCAAGTATAATTCAGTACTGCAATACATATATAATATTAATAGGAAACTGAAAAATCAACAAAATAAGTAGTTATATTATAGAGTCTATATTATTGTTACTAGATATTATGCATAAAATTCTAGAATAAATATATCCCCGGTGTATTGATGTATTCATAGCAGCTTTAATACTAAGAGTGTCAGGTGTGTGTTGCATATTGTCGATTTTGAAATAGAAAGTGTTTAATTAATTGTTGAGTTCTTATCGTTACTTGAAAATTAAATATGCGCATACTTTAGATAAAAAGTTCATCTTTATCACAATAAACTTGGCCCACTGATAAGACCGAGTCAGCGATTATAATGAACATCTTAGATCTAGTTTCAAGAAATGCCGAATTTTGGCTAAGTGAATTTTAATGATCTTTGATAATTATATAATGATATGTACTTATATGTAATTATTTGTAAGAACCGCGATATAGATAACAAATAAAAATTTTATTTTAAACCAGATAAAAACACAATGGTACAATAGTAAAACAATATCCTTTCTCTTTTGTATTCTTACTGAAAAGGTTTTATTATCTCAAAACTCTAATGACTTATGGGACAAGTATATTTAAAATATATTTATTTGTAATTTTTCTCCTTTTGTATTTTTTTTTTTTTTGTTTTTGTTGAATACGTTTCCGGCTTGGTTTTGCATTTTTATAACATAGGAGGCATACGAGCATGCGGTTCATCTGATTGTACTCTGCCCATGATCACCCGCAGCACCAAAGGCATTGCAGGTGTAAATTACCTATACTAATATTATAAAGAGGAAAGATTTAATTATTTGTTTTAATGTATATACTCAAAAAGTATTTTAATTAGTTCATTTACTAATTCTTTCTTCTATAGAAAGCAACATTATCAGTGAGTAACATAGGCTATATATTGTTTTTTAAAGTCACTTGTAGTATTTTAGATAAAGTAAAAAATTCAGTAATATAATGAGTGTTTACTTCTTGATAACTTATGGGACAATTACCTGTAATAAAAATATATGTAATATTGGGATAAAAGTGTGTGCAAAATTTCTGCATGTTTGTGGATATCAGGAATTGCCCGAAAATTCGGTCATTAAATTTGTCTCACCACAGACAGGCAAGTAAAGAGTACATGTCGCTATGACTGTATTAAATCGATCTTGATGAACAGGCAGCTTGTATTGGTAAAGGTTATACATATTTAAGTTTGATATATACAATTTTATGCCGTATATAATCTTAATATATTTTTTTAGGCTTTTTTATTATCATGTATTTTTTCATATTAATCATCTACTTTCGTTTATTTTGTGTTAGGTTATTATGGAAACTTCACTGATATATGTTATGGCTGTATTTATTATTTATGTGTTTAAGGTATTATATGTTTCTCTATTAAAGTAAAATAAAATAAAATATTTTATATTATTATGGACCATTTGTCGCGGCTTCACTGACGTGAATACCATTTTCTCTGCTTAAGAGACGAATTTTCTAATCTTTTTTTTAGTATTTACATGTATTATGTTTATACTAAACTTGTTTTCAAAGAATACCATTAATAAATTTTCAGGATTCTTCAAATTTCAGTCTTTTACATTCAATATGAAATTAGATGCATTTCATTGAACTAATATATTATGATTAGATAGTATCTGTCTGTGTCAGAAATTAAGAGTATTTGGAATCAGAAAAAAAATATAAATTATGTCTTTTGTCTCGTTAATTCGTTTTTAACTCCTTAATTCCGGAAGATCGTGAAGATATATAAAGCAATAGATAATTGTGTAAAATTTAGGCTCTTGGTACACAGTGTCTCTACTTACTTCGCTTGGTGTGAAAGGCCAAGCTCTTTGTAAAGATAAATAGTTGTTTGGACTTAGCGATGATAGAGATGTTAGTCAGATTTCTCTGTTTACAAAAGTAGCATGTGTACAACATAACGCATACATAGTACGTACACTACAATACATAATATAGTAATGTATATCCTGCATGCCAATAATGTGTGTAGGTATTAAATGTATTTTCCATAGACTATTCTTTTGTATTTTATATTTAATTAGGTATATTCTTGTTTAATTCTTTCACCGTCACTTTAAAAAATTATATTTCCTAGAATCTATAAACTAGGTTTCCGTAACAGTTGCTATACTAAGAGGGACGGAGAAATAACTGCTAGTATATCTGATGGCTTCATTGCTAGCAATATACCCTTTCAGGCTGACCTCCATATGATCCCTTTAATTAATTTTAGTTGAATTTAGCATGATACATACTGATATCTCATCATATACCGGCAAAGCGAGTGTGAGTACCATATAATATTCATCTTACAAAAGAAAATTGGTATAGTAGGTCAGTATTTAATGGTAGTAACGTAAGAAACAGACAGGCTCACTTTCGTATCATAATATTGGATGGTAAGTTTCAGACTAGAAAAATGCAAGGCAGACGGGTGGGTGGTGCGCGTGCGCGGGGTAGATTCGCTGAGAGCGTCTCGACGCTTACCGCGACTAGGTTCACTCGTGGTACGCTCGAGCCAGTAGCGCGATCAGCCCCGTACGGCACACACGATGGTTGCGCATACGCACGCGCTTGCCGCCGCGCTTCTGTGTGCATTGGCTGGTCAGCTCGGAGCTGGTGCCAGTCTTCATTGCGCTATGAGAAGGGAAATCTCACCCTGTACGTGTCGCCGGGAGGAAACCGGCAATGGTGCCATTCTGGTCGTCTGTCAAAGGATTAATGCTTATGAAGATATAGCACGAGCTCTCACCAACAAATTCAGTCCTGAAACGAAGATTGGCCTCGACATCTCTTACTCACAATTACCGGATTTCGATGATCATAGCTTTCGTGAACTCGGACTTTCTATCACAAGACTCAAACTAAATTTCGACAATTTAAGGCAAGTTTTTAAGAAGTTTTTTTTATATGTATATATATATTTCTGGATTTTCTATGATATGTTCATTGTGCAGTTTTTCCAATGTGTGACATTTGTGCCATCTCTTTGTTGTGTATAGAATCTGTTGCAATAACACATTAATACTGTGATTACGATACATCAAAACAATGTGTAAGTTGAATGAGAAAACAACAGGTCTGTGATAAGAGCAGAGCTAGCGCGATGAGAATCGGTTCGTTATCGAAGCAGTGGGCGGCAACGTTCCCAGGGCTGGCTGCTGCTCATCGCTTTTTGCGACGCCAAATCGAGAGTACTTCGCAAAAGCAAGAAATTGTGTACAACTGCTACCACTTATCATCATGCCAGTAATAAAATATTATCGGAAAATGATCACGACCGACTCTCAGTAAATTTCCCTTCGGAATGGGCTTATTATTGAAATGCTTCTTATCAGTGTCATAATTACAATTAATGCAAACATGAAGAGTCTACGTTCCTTATATTTGTCTCTATAGAAGCTCTGTTTAGTATATTACTAGGTTGTTATGATCCTCATTAATTTTTTTGGCGGGTTTAGTTCTCATAAACAACAATTAAGTTGCCCCTGACCTGTGTGCTCGACCCTTATTGACCACTCAATTACTCATTCAAGATTTCCAAGGCAATATGTATTTGAAAACGTATAACATTTAAGTATATTTTTTTCCTTATATTTTCTGTGAGCCCTGTATATAATGAAGTAACTGAAATGATGAATCATATATCCACATAATTATGAAAGCCTTACGCGTTGATGCATAAAATATCTCCGTAATTTTGTTTGTTAATTTGCCTTTTGTATTTGATTTTGGAAAAATAAACACTTATTTTTATTATAGATATTTCTGCAATTTTAGGGTATCTCATTAGATATTGTTATTATTACAAATCTGCATCTAATTGAATTATAGTATCGAATTTCTTCGGAGATAATCCTAATTATAATCGGTATCTAGGTATTTGTTTCTTTTACAAATAAATAACCTTATTTATGTGAAATTACAGAAGGCTCGCTAAGTATTTTTTTGATAGTAGAATAAATATAACAGGGGAAATTGTAAATTGCTTAGGTACATAGTTAGTCCTACCTTTTGTTAGTGTGTTCTACTGATCATTGTGGGGAAGGCATCTAGGAGACGTCTCTCGATAGTTGTCCATATAGTGCCCGGGTTATCTGAGGTCGCCTCTAAAGCAGTATAAAATTGAATGATATCATATTGGTCGTAGTCGTATTCACAGTATTTACTCATTAATGGTGTACTAACAAATTACAGGGGCCATTGTATGTCGTGGATAATATTTGTGGACTTGATACGTATCTAATTATCTGATATTTTACATAAATGTTTTTGATGGTAATAAAGTTAATGATTACGAAGTGGTTACTTATATAAGAGAGTTGCGTGGTCTAATTGTCAAGACTTCAGTAATCGTGAATTGGGTTCTAAGTTCACAACAAAAATGGATGAAGGCTAAATTTTTTACTAAGTCTCTAGTTATAGTAAATATCGTTAATATATATAAATTAATCCGTAAAGATGCTAGCGTTCTTTCTTCCCTTTACTGGTATTGAATTTGAATAAAACTCACGGTAACATGGTATATTATCAATGGAACTGATTTTAAGTCGCCATTTCTCTAATCCTATCACTAAAATAAAAATTTCACCACAGCAAAATTTTTATTCTAAGGACCAATATACCATAAACTAAATTATAATAATATTGGATTAAGAGTTAGGTTTAGATATTGTTTGCTAATCTAAGTAGCATAAAAAAAATAAAAAAATTCTTCGGAATCGATCTTAATGTTGAGAATCAGCAAACTGCTTTTAAAGATCCTATCTGGAAAAAAATATATACAATAACATTTAAAAAAATATATGCTTTATATAAAATACATAGAGCATATTTGTTAAAAATGTTGATTAGTTTAATTAATATTTTTGATGTAAGTTAACAATTTATTAATAACAATATTGTTATATGACTGTATTAAATTAATTTTGCAAGATTTTGTAAATGTTATATGTAACGGAAGGGGTTGCAAAAAAAAGCTGAATTCCAGATATTTGAAAAGCTGAATAATCTTTTTTATTATTATTACTTATATGAAAAGCTACAACCTACCCTTTCGTTATATGTAGATATATAGGTAGACGGCTGATGTATATATTGACATCTACTTTCGAGATAGTGTAAAGCCATCCATTATGCTCAGTCAAAGATACGGATTCCTGAATTACAACTTACACTGTTATGTTTACAAGATGACTTTGTAAATCTCAATAAGTACGACATATAAAATTAGTAATGACTTTATTTAAAGAATTAGGTGTATTCAAATTAGCAGGGTCTACGATCGCTACGATTTCTCGTAGGCATACGAGTACAGTGCTTTTCATCACTTTATGTATTCTGTCTATCTAAATAAATAAATAGTAGTCTTGTATATTTTGAAATAATAAATATTCATCGTAAGTCACACTGTCCAGAGCGATAAAAGCAGAAGGCGGTAAAATTGAGGGCGCTCGACCACAACAAGATTATTGTTTTTACCCGTTCAAAATTATTGTTGTTACCCGTTCTGTACGCATAAATTTAAAATCTGTAATTTTATATACGAGTCTCAAATACAATAAGGTAACAATTTTTTGATGAGATGATTTCTTTATATCTGTTTTAGTTTATCTATTATTTCGAATAACTTTAGCTTAAATGCCTAATTACTAGAAAATCTAATGTCTATTTAATTTTTTACTAGCTTTTGCTAGCGATGTATTTTATATGGATTTTGTAGAAGTAGGTGATTATTTTATTATATTTTTCCTATGGGTAAATATTTAGTAGTCGTATTTAGCCTGCGGTAAAAAGTAACCTATATCTCTGCTGATCACTGATATTCTATTACGGAAAAATACATGGATAAGATACCCTGTTATGTCCCGTAAGAAAAAAAACTAATTAATAAACTACTTCTAGATGACGTATTAAGAAGAAACATGCACCAGAAATTAAATTCGATTTTCAGGCATATAGACTTATAGGCGTGAAAACTGCATAAAATTTGATACAGTATTTTTTGCGTGTATATTAACAATCTCTTCCCCTCATATCGGCAGGTTATGTTAATCATTTCCAATTAGGTACGATTCGTGTAATGTGGGCTTTTTAATCCTCTAGTCAAATTCCAGGTCCGTAAGCAAGGATATAGTGACTCATATTTTTTCATTCATACAAGAGTACAAAAGATTTATGAACTTTGTTATCAAAAATTCGTATTGGGGTCTTCCTAGTGCTTTTTTTTTGTAAGCTTTAACTGTTTTTTAGATGCATATTGTATATTCTTAATTTATTTATTGATAGACTCATTACTAGGTAATAGTTATTACTAGGTATTAAATATATATATTGGCTGTCTTAGTCACGACTCATGGGTACAATAGTCCAAATGAGAGGCTTAGCGCGGAAAAGGGAGACCAATTTACATTACATTGTATATATATAAAAAAAAATATTTTTTAAATTATATTCATAAAAATTTGATGAAAATTTTATGTCTCCCATAAGAAGTTTAATAATTTTTGTCATTTTTTAAATTTTTGATTCGTAAAACATTTATCCTAATGTTTTATAGAACCTGGGTTAATGACTTGATTCACGTACAGCTAATGACTTCGATTTCATTCTTTATATTCTCATCAAAATAGAGATCTGTGGTATTGGGATAGATGATAACACCCCTTGCTTTTCCGTGGGTGTCGTAAGAGGCGACTATGGAAACATTATGATTGATGGATGGGCAGCAGTCTCGCTCTTAAAACATCATCAAAATCCTAGCTGTTGTTGCCAAGTCGCTTACCAAGCATGCAATTACTAACAAAACTCATCATGTATCATCATATATCATTCTGATCAATAACGATATTTAAGTAAAAATAAATAAAATAATAATAACTAAAATTTCATCCCAACCATCTGGCCGAGTGGCGGTTTTCCACCGTGCGTTTTTAAGGCACTTTTTTTCCACGCACAACCACTCTTTGGAATCAACTTCCAGCAGCAGTATTTCCTTCAAGAAAAGAGCATATTCCTTTTTAAAAGGCCGGCAATGCCGTTGGTATTGTGGGTGATCATGGGCGGCGGTAGTCACACAATACAGGGGCAAATGAGCCGCATGCTCATTTGCCCCCTGTATTATAAAAAAAGTCATACACCAAATTGCCCCTCCAATTTGGTAATAATTGATTAATATATATCCTCCTTTAAAAACATTGATCCATATTCATCGGAGGGACGTCATTAGCTTATTATAGTGATATAGACATTTAATTAGGTAGGTGATTATGGATACATATAAAATTATGTGTAATTTTATTAAAATATTTCTTTTTATTGTCTTTATTTGGCGTATAATCAAATTTTAAAAATGGAATCAATTAATCAATCAATAATTTTGTGAAACATAAAATAGATTGTTAAAGGATTATTAAACAATAAGGAATGTCTTCGGAATCGTCTTGTACTTAACAGGTGTAACAATTTTTTAAATATATACTAAACTAATCTTACAAAAAGTAAAGATTTAATTGTTGCTCGTAGTTTGTAATGAATAAACTTAAAAAGTACTCAATTGATTTAAAAATTCTTTCCCCTGTAGAAAATTACATTATAAGTGAGCAAAATAGATTATTCATTATTTTCGAAAATTCCATCTACACGTACGAGGCCGGGACATATCGCTAGTATAGAATAAAATAAGTAGTTTAAGTACAATTTGAAGTTTGTCCAACCATCCTACCCATAACGTATATAAAGATAATAAACAGATGGAGTTACAATATTCAGTGAAGAAGCAATTGAAAAAATATATAGTTACGAAACTTATATATTTAGCATTTAATTTTATTTATTCTATTCAATTCGTTCCTACACAATTCGGCGACATCTATGCTATATGCT